CCAAGCAACCTGGCTTCGAAAGCGGCACGGCACGGCTCACGTGGCAAGACACCATTAAAAGAGCAGTTACAGCATGGGCACCGGCACACGGCTGTGGTACTCTCTGGCCTGGCCTGCGGATCCGACCAGCAGCACTTGTACCAGGAAAGGATGTGGTACCACACGTCCTGGCTCGATTTGCACTGCACGAGTGGGACATAAGTACAGTACCACAGCCACATGCTTGTACACCCCGGTCGTTCGCGTTGACTCGCGCGAAGAAGGCCGAGGCGTAAAGGCCCACTGGAACGTCGTTGGGCTTCAGGCCTGAGACAGCAGGTGGTGCGAAAACGGACCAGCCAAAGTGTAGGGCATGAATCGTTATGCCTGCCAGGCGTGCCCATGTCCCATTGCAGAACAGGCGGTGCTGTGCAAAGAGCACCTCAAGGCACAAAAGGATGCAGGGAGACATGCTCCATTAAACTGCCCCGCACGGTTCAACATTTTTGGTTCTGGCGGCTTGGGCAGGGGCTTCTTGTGGGTCTCTCATCAGCACCACATATCTGACATTGGCCACGGCAGCGGCGTGCACGTGGTGGGACTTGAGAATCCGGGGTTCGAGCTCCATTCTTTCTTGGGAAGCAAGCATTTCTGGGCCTTTCTTGGAACCGAGGACATCGTACCAGGTGACCACCTGATTCAGGTCCTCAAAGTCCAGGGAGCCATCCACGCGGAGGCCGTGCAGAATGTGACTTAGCCACGTGGTGCCGCTGCCCATGCTGCCGGCGATCAGAACGTCCGATGGCTTGGACTCGAAGCCCATGGATTCCTTCCAGGGGAAGAGCTGTTTGAAAGCCATTGTGGTAAACTTCTGCAGCTTCTTGACTACGCCATTTCCCAACTTCTGAAGGTTGCTTTCGGACATGTGCGCCACGATCTCCATCTCCCGGGGACCTCCGGAGCCTCGTGACACCTCAAATGGGTTGACGATGATGATGCACAGCACCACCACCAGCAGAAAGCAAAGCACCGCACCAATTCGCCAGCGGCGAGCAGAGTCGTCCGAGATGATTTTAGGGGGCTCGTAGTCTGGCGAATACTCCCGCTGGATCCTCTCCAGGACTTCCATAAGCACCTGTGTTGCCAGCTGGTCGCCCTTGATATCGAGCCTCCCGTGACGCAGTGCGTTGCTCACTGAGAGCGTGCCCTTCCCCAGCGCCGCCAAGTCGGCATCCAGGATGTGGAAGGTAACATCAGCTCGAGGGTCCACGCCTTGCTGCAAAGAACCTGAGCCATGCCGCAGGTCCAAGGTGAAGTTTCCCTGTGGCCCACCGTCGCGCAGGTTGAGTTGGTACACGAACCCGGCCTGACGAACAAGGGACGCACCCTTCTCCTGGATAGCTCGGCGGGTCTGATCAATCAGCGGCTGGCACAAGAGGTCACTTGGCTGAGCCATGATCGCCAGAACTACTCAGGATTTTCCGCCAGTGGCCGGCAACACTTACAATGAAGAAAATTGGCTCTTGATTCTAGACAGACTTCTGACCCTGTCATCCTACATGTCGTAGATGCCCGGTGGACATGAGGCGTTGATTTATCATGGAAGTGTAACAAACTGCGATAAAGCTTCCTCTTGATTGGCAGCCCTGTTGCAGCAAGCAGCAACATGCAACGGTAGCTGCGACGGTAGCCCAGAATCCCTGCTGCCGTCGCACCTCCCAGAAACGGCCTAGCAACGAGGAGTGAGCTAGATACCCCTTTCCTTGTAGCGCATGAAAGCTTCTTGTCTGCATGTCGGAGGCCTGGCGACAAGATGCAGGCACTTAACTGCAGCATTGCCTGAACAAGGTGCAAACAGAACGCAACGACCGTGCTAGCCCTGAGCATGACAGGCACAGCGCAGGATGCAGATTTCCTGAGACTCTCACATATAAGCCGCACCCCGGATGCAGGGTGAAGGGCGATTCGGCCCTCAGATTCTCGTGCCCGAGCATCGAAACAATCATCCGACTCATCGTTGGCTGAGATAGACTAAGCTGTACACACACACACACACACGCACATGAGTGCACACGCGCCACCTACGACACAGCTGTTCATGGTAGACAAGCAATTAACTCGATGCTGATCTTCGGCAGTAGCTCTGTACAACTCGAGGCCCAGGCTCCGCGGCAAGTCCAGTCCCTTGCGTGTGGTGCAGACGCAGCTTCCCGGCAATCCCTAAAGAACAGAACTGAAGAATGTACTCAACCGTAAACACCGCTACACGTAGCAGATTTTTCGGAGTAACTTCCGTCGCTGGGGTTTGGTGGCATATCTGATTGCTGCCCTTGTCTGACCCCGGATGCTCCGTGGAGTTGCTGGTCTTACCTACAATTTAGAAACAAAGGATCTGCACAGCCCCGAGCCCCCGGCGAAGCTGAATGCTTGCTCGAGAGCTGAACTCACCTAGAGTCTCGCGGAGCTTCTCGTGTCCAGTGTGACTCATCCAACGTACAGTCGCTGCTTCGGCTGATCTCAATTGAGACCTCGTAAGCCTGCACCCAACTGCAATGACTCAGAGTTCGGATGGCCTTGGGTTTTCGGAAAGGCTAGCGGCTAGCAAGCACACGCACGCAACCTGGCTCTGAAACTGAGACTGGATGGCGCGAAGTGGCTACGCAAGGATTCTGCCCGGGCTTAGTATGGTTTTCCAAATGCTGACTTTCTACCTACATTGCACATTTTACATTTGTCTTCCTGTAAACATGCGTGCGTACATAAATACGTATACAGTTACCGTTTACATGTGTATACATAACATACACACATGTAATTCATCATGTAATATGTCCTTGGTCCTTGGCAATTGTAAGTGCCGTCAAGACTTGAATAAAGATTCACATCCCTTTCCGTTAGATGTCATGTCAAGGGCCAAGGGTATATTGGGCAAGAAAGGTCCCTCTGTCTCTCTTCGCCTCCCGGTTTTTGCCGAGCCCATCGCCGACGCGGATCGAGGTCTTGCTGGTGCTCTGCGAGGTCCTGCAACCGGTGCAGGAGTTGGAGATGCACCAGTGCAGTAAGCTCGCTGCAGCCGTCCTTCAGCAGCAGGCGCGCGCACAGCTTTTCCGGGCCTCTGGGAATGGGGCGTGGAACGTCTGGTCTGACTTGTCCTTCTCATATTCGGCTTCTGGACCGGTGGCTGCCGAGGCTCGCGCAGGCGCTTCGGCATGGACTCTCTTCTCTGCCTTCCAGCTTCGCAGCGAGTGAGACCGAACAAGGCTCGGGGCTCTGATGGCTAAGGAAGCACCTCCGCTGCACGGCCCTCGCCACATCGGTCCTTTGCAGGATGCGATGCCCCCCTCAGGCCTGGATCTCGACGGCTTCCTTGGAGGCCTGGAACACCAGGACGCGAGAGGCCAGAAAGGACGAGTCTCTTTTTCTTTCTTTCTGCTAGGCTTAGGGGTCGCTGTGCTCCTCAGGCCATCGGCCCGCGAAACCCCCCAACGTATCATTGATTGGTTGGCTTTGGGGTCTCGGTGACTGCAGCACAGAACAACCTGGTTTGTTTCAGGTTCCCCTGCAGAGAGCCCTCCCTGTGCTCTATGAACCCTCTGGCCTCGCCTCCGCACCCCTAGGGCACTCTTCGAAGGTTCTCTCTGCAGGAAGACCCGGAACTCCCACTTCTTTTGCATTGGGGGCATCATCTTGGACAAGGCAACATATCAACAATTGCAACGCAGGTAAACGTTCGGACAAATACATTTAAATACATATTGTGGCATAGCCCCCCCCCTCCTTGTCTTTGCTAGTTCTGGCGGAAGAGGGGGAGTTCGGTGCGAGGTGGTGATAGCGAACGGTTGTGCCCAGTCAGCAAGTGCTGGCCATTACTCTCTCGCTCTCCCGCTAAACCCAAAACGCATCTTTGCTCTCAAAACTCTGAGGCCTCGGTGCAGGCGAGCTCGTCGAGGACCGCGAAGCCTGGACAAGATTTGGTCCCAGGAAATCTCCGAATCTGACATGGAGGTGGAGGGCCAGGGCTGATCCAAACCAGGGCTCCCTTCAAAGTTCTCTTAAAACCAAAGCCAAAGTCAGCAGTGGAGTTTGGGGCAGGAGCCCTGCTCGTGCCTGGCTGTAGCTGCTGCATCCACCTGCTGAGTTTGACATACTGTGGCGCATGAGTAGGCTCGCTTGAGGAAGGATCTACAGGTTGCGACTTCCCATCAATCAATGCATGGTGTGAAGCAGTGCTAATTACGTCACTCCTCCCGGTTCACCACTGAACCGTTCCTGCAGCATTGGAGAGTGAGTGGCCGCTCTAGCAAAACAACATAGCTTCTTAGTGACCAACCCCTGCAACTGTCTGACAACTCCGGTGCGACGGGTCGTGGGGGTCAAACCTTGTCCAAAGCCGTCTGATGCACAGAAACTGTATGCAATGTCTTCGCAGTTCGGTACATCGGGATGTGTGCTCTAAGAGATTATCAAGTACCTGGCGTGGGGGTGTGTGCGTGTGTGAACTGAAACCTAGACATCAGCAACTGGCCGCTAGCCCGTGTAAGTGATTTGTAGGAACTCGTGCTTGCCTGCTTAGGACTTGGGTTTGCAAGGACTTTGCTTGCCGTGCGCCGTGCCGGCCTGGCTGCCTGTAAGCCATCGCCGATGCAGGGTAGGCTAGGGTACATCAAACAAGCGAGCAAGAGGACATAGGACGCACTTGTGGTAGCTTCTGCATAGGCCTAGTCGGCTAATTGCTTTCCACTTCCACAAGAGACTGGAGCCAAGCTACAGCAGGATGCGATTTGAACAGCATCGGCTCGGGTATCTGCGCATCTGCGCAGGTAGATGAGCACATTGCGGACTGGAGGACGAGCTCAGCACAACTTCGCACCGGTCTTTTGCCATTGCGAGGCCTAGACGACCCAGCTGGATTCGCTGGATAGGCCAAGACAGCCAAGCAAGCTACTTAGCGCACGGTATTGACAACATTAACACCGCAGAAATTCAACCTGAGTCGACCTCTGTGGGCACAGCCGTCCGCTCTAGTTGAGCAGACGCTGTGCTATGCCAGTCCTCCAGCTCCTTGCTGTGCGTACCTCCGTCTCGCCGGCGCGCTGCCCGACCTTCATTGGCACCCACAGAAGAGCGCGGTAGCCACTGGCATTGGCCACTTGCTCGTATTCGATGCGAAGGATGGCCCAGAACATCCGACGAAAAATTTCTGCCACCGTCATGAAGCAATGCAGTATTTCGCGAGCAACAATGTCGGTAGTTAGAATCGTGATGGGCATCAGGGTCAGCACCCATGTCAGCCGCAAGAGGATGTCCATCAGGATAGCAATGTAGTAAACCCTTCGCGGAAAATGTCGCGAAGGCTGGCTGTTCTGAGTTTGCCTCATTAGGTTGAGCTCTACAGCAGACCCTTGCCAAGACTGCGGCGAGTCGCCAAGATAGGTGTCATGCCTGCCTCTTGGAGACAGAACCCCACCATCACCGTGCCCATTCAAGCGGCCCAAGAAGATTTCTTCCACTCCCAGGCCCCAATCCATCGTGACATCCCAGATGGCAGCATAACAAGTTGCGACAGCCGAGGCAAGAATGACGATCCATTTCGGGAATCCTGGCCTGCTGAGAACTACCACAAGCAGGCTTGCAGCATACTTGCCCATATTCAAGAGGTGGCGACGCTGGCCGGTGTCGTAATATCGGCGGGCACACTGCAGCAGCCTGAACCAGAAAGGAGCCCCTCCAATGAGTGGCTGCACGTAGGTTGCCTCCCAAGATGGACAGGTGCTGCCGTTCCGGATGAAGCGCTCCATCGAGGACTGCAGCTGCGGATGATGGGAGCCTCGGTGACTCAGACATCGTGGGGCGACCCTGACGACTCCCGAGACGCAAACAATGCATCGCCCGCCGTGGATGGAACCAAGCCACTCAGGTAACAGATTGCAGCTGGCACGTCCTGGAGCGCACAGTGATGTCTGCTGGCTCTGAGTCCAATGACAAATGCAGAGCTGAGACGATTTCCCGCAGAGCAAGCTGCACCGAGCCCAAAGAGGTACGCTCTCCGTCAGCAAGCCCCTGCAGTCCCGCAGAGGCCGCGCTAGACTTGTGAGCACATCACCTCAGCGAGGCTGAACGGTCTCAAGGCACATCGTCATTTCAGGATACTCGTTTCAGCCGGCCCGCATTCCTCCCACGGTGTCTGATTTTTCCTGAAAAGCCAGCCCAAGGAGCAGCCCTCGATCTCGGAGGTCTCCGAGGCGCGAGCCAATCATGTTGTCACAAAAGCTGACAGCATAGAGTGGAGCCTCACTGGTCCGATCAAGCGCCTTCTATAAACCATGAAGCAGGTGCAAAGAGTGAGTCAGCTTCTAACCACCTGACGGCCTGACGGATCAACAGCCCTAGAAGTAGCCCATCGTCTGAGATACGCGCCAAGCATGTTCTGCCAACCCCACGTATGAGCTGTGCCTGCACAGGATCACGGGGCAACTGCCTTTGCATGGCCCTCCCATATCCTCGCGTGAAACACACTACGGCTCGGGGCCTTGTATCGAAACCGGCATATGGACGAGGGCTGCACCAAGAGGATGAAAGAAATGCCTGTCAGCCCGCTGCTTCGTCGCCAGGCTTGAGTATGCATTCCAGCTTTTCCTGCCTGCAAGAACGACGGGATAGAGGACGTAGTGCCACGAGGCACGCTCCAGCCTGGTCGATGACGACCAAACCTCAGTGACTTAGAGGGCAGAATGCAAGAAAGTAAACGTCTATCGCCCACTGCCGACCCGTGTGCTGGCAGCACTCATTTCATTAGTTTCGCGAGGATGCACCATCAGCTTTCCCAGCATTTTGCCAGGAACACGACGAGGTTGATTCTTTGATCAACGCCATGCTAAGCCGAACACGATGCACCTTCTCAGCCTTGTCATGTCACGTTGCGCATGTCGATGTGACACAGGGTCAGCCTCGGCCAAACAGGAAATGTAGTTCGAAATGTCCTAGCTCTTTAAGAGGCCGTCGAAGACAACATCCTTGCGAACCTGTGATCCAAACTTGCAGGAGCCTAAACGTCTGGTCGTTGCCATGCTACTGCTATCTACTGCTCACAGCTTCCCAAATAACTGCAACTAAACTTGCCCGAGACCTTGAAGCCCTGAAGACAAGACTTCTAGTGCTCCAGCACACGACGGTTAGAATGCTAACGCTGGGATCAATGATGCAACACTCCAAAGACTCAAGAGTGTTTTTTCCATGTCTATATTAATGAACGTTTCCAGCCAGAAGTTCCGCAGTTGTCTCAACCACACAGTAACCGTATTATGACGACGAACACAAGGCTGCGAAAACCAGTCATCAGCAACTCAATCCTGCGAAGCTGGCGTCAGCAGAATGCGCCTTGAACAACATACACATTTTACCGCATCACCTCTACTATACGCATGACTTAGATCCTCATTTGTCGGAAAACCCCTGGGCGCGGGGCCCACCGAGCAGACGCTCGGGCAGCTCTTCCGGCTGCAGCCCCTGGCGCAGAGCAGGGTTGAGCTCGAGGTCGGGAAGAGAGAGAAAGCGGGGAGCGAGGGGGAGAGAAAGAGAGAGGAGAGATAGAGAGAGAGAGAGAGAGAGAGAGAGAGAGACAGAACAAGCGAGTGAGAGCGAGTGAGATAAACCCCACCATCAAGGCGAGCTCTGCGACTATATACTACACATCCAGGCTTCGATACGGTTAATTGTCCCAGACGACTTTCACAAGTCAAATACCTGACAGTTCAAAGTTCAAAGGCCTGCCTCCAGCAGAACGAAGAGCTCCAGGGCTGAAGAGCCATCGTCAAAGAGACCTCGAGGTCATCAGTAGCTCAGTAGCTCGTTCGTGTTGGGCGTCAAGCTACCATTTTGCTTGAACCCTACTAGTAAGTTCCAAACGGCCTGCCTTTCTGACGTCGTACAAGTCCGGGTCTACTTATAGCACACTCCACACTCCAAAATACCTTCCTTTCCAGTACTTCTAGGACAGATACTTGTCGCCCCGCATACACGAACCCGACGAGAGAAGCTCTCTTCGCTCTCGCAGCTCTGCCTCGTATGCGCCGGCCCATGGAGGAGTCCCCCATGTCCACGGAAGCCTCCAGGAAATCCTGAGAAGCGGCTCAGAAAGGAGGCTCCTGGCTTCCTGATCCTACAGTATCCTGCAGTACCTGTTTGAGCTGCGGCGTTTAGCAGCGAGCGTCCTTCTGCGCGAAGTATGTGATTCCTGGGCTCCAGACGGCGAAACAAGCCCAAGTTCAGCATCAAGTCCAGTGAAGTTCAGAATCGTATCTGCTTCAGACCAGCGACGGCATTGATTGGCGATAATGGCCGGCTTGCTCCCGACTGCCTGGAACGAATCGACGAAGCCGGGAAACTTTCGCAAAAACAGCTCCGCCTGCTTCAGCATGTAGGAGCCCTCCAGAACTCGCGCTATGAGCTTCAGGCCTCGCTCTTCCCAGAGGAAAACACACGCCAATCACGTTCGTGCCCTGGGTACCGGGCGCTTGTCGCGCTCGGGCGCAGTCATCTCTTGCAGGAACCTGCATGAAAATGACCCCCGAGCTTCAGTGTCGCATGCGTTTGCTGTAACTCGTGCCAAGTCAGATGCACTGCAGGAATCCAGGGCAGCTCAGCGCTACATAGGCAGCCCCAATGTTTCTTGGGTGCGGTGGCCTCTGAAGAAGTCTGCCCTGCCGTGAGTCCGACCACTCGGCATCCTTTGCAAACTTATGCAGCTTTGCCAACACGACTCCCCTATCTACATCCCTTCTGGGCCTGCGGGACCGACCAGCACGCCACTAGCTGCGAGTCGGGCAGCCGGAAGTTGAGGACGAGCACAAAGCTCGACTTATCTGCGACGTAGGGGCACTTTCGGGCTGTGTAGGTTTGGCATGGCTTGGCCAACAGTGTGGGGCTCTGCAAGGTAACGTGCCCGTCTTCGAAGTCGAATCGGTCTAACGATCTATGCCGGCCTCGCGGCGGGCTTCTTTGGCTGGAGCTGAAGCATTCGAGATCCTGCTGTCACAAACATTCAGAATCTCTGCCCTGACCTGCTTCAGCACTTGCTACCATGCCCGTAGCGTGATGCCACACGTTGCTTCGCCCCGAACGGCAACTTCGTTTGTCAGGCTCTACTACACAACTCGGTCCCGGCCACGGAAAATGTCCACGAAACTCAGAGCCAGCATTGGGCTCTCTGTCTGGCATTTCCTGAAAGAGATAGGGGAGCGGAGAGGTTAAAATGACTGCGACACGCATCTTCAGAGATAGAGAGGTGCTATGTAACTGCAAGCAGGTTAGATCAAGAGGCAAAGAGATCCACCTGGCTTGGAGAACTGAACAAGAGTTGAATCTTCACGTATCCGAAGCGACATTACAGCACCAGAATTTAGGAATCTGCTATAATCAATTAGAGTAGAATCTGGTGCCATGGTTTGGTTTAAAAATCGGAATGAAGAAGCGTGACTGGACACCCGCGGGCTAGTCGTAAAAACTCTTCCCAAGCTCGGCCTCTTGTCGCGCAAGTAATCCGGCCCTCGGACCTGAAACGTAAGAAAGATCGACGTTGCCAAGCTCGCAACTTCTGACTGACCCGGTGCCTTGATTCCAGCACCATCAGCTTGGTCCCAACCTCGCAGTCAACTAAGCATGTTTAACCATGCTTATGAAAACAGCGGAGACCTTTGTCCACAGGTACTTCCTAGCGGCCCCCTATCTCGTTCCTGCAATTTAGTACTGGCGGAAATTGCGGCGCTGAAAGGGGGCATAAAATGTCAGACGGAGCCATACATATTGATCACATTTAATAGGATGTCCCATTGTTTCCTACCAGACCGCATTCCGACAACAAATGTACGGCCACCTGCCTGTTGCTGGGGTGCCGCAGAAATAAAAGCAGAAGCCGTCACTCATTCTGACCACATGTATGCATGCCTGGCCGCACTATGCATGAAGAATACTGCATGGCTAAATGCTTGCACGATCTTGTACGCACATCTACGTCTTTTTCCTCTCTGCGCCGAAGGACACCCTAGGATCGCAGAGGCTCCGGCAGTGCTTCTGTGCCGAGTAACGCCGACGTGGAATGCCGTCTTCCTGCACGTCTGTGTCGGCGTGACATTCGTGTCCAACTACTGTCCGTATCTTGCTGTGAGCTACCGCTGCCGACATGCCCATTGCATCGCATTGCGGCCTCATCCCCGGAACTGCTGGTTGCCCGGGTCGAAGAGCACAAGGCTGGGCACAGCTTTGCTGGCGGGAATGCGAACCTGGCTGTGACTTTGCATGAGCAGAGAGCAGCAAGACGCCCAAGCGAAATCCAGGAGACATGCGTCTGAGATCTGCAGTCAGGTCGCGAGTCAAACTCACGTCGCTCATACTCTTGCCAGAAGTCATCATCTTCCTTCGCAGAGACAGCAGCGAATGAAAATGACAGGGCGACTTGTCTCATACCAATGTCCGCCAATGCTTGGGCATCCAAGTCCTCGGAAGAGGCCTCTGACGACTCTGCAGCAGCTGCTTGGGTGGAGGAATGGCAGCAGCAACAGCAGCACCAGCGCCGTCGCCTTCACAAGGTCACAGGCAGCAAAGGTACCAAAAACACTCTAAGGCATGTGCAATCGCTGCCTGGGTGCCATCTGAGACTCACATTGCTTCCGGCTCAATGTTACACGCGACTGTGTGTTCTACATTACTGAAAACCACAGTATGCATTGCCACTGTTGAATACCCATGGCGGTGGTTTCGATGTACCCACATAGACACAACCTCGCTCCACGGGGCCAAGTCAAGTGCTAAGTCTGACTAATTTCCTAGGCCCTTGCATGACGTGGGCGTGTGGGCGGTAGCCCGGCACTGGGCAATCACATCAGGCGTGGAGCTGCAAGCCGACGGCACCAAATGCCATAATGTGCCCTGCCACACAACACACAACACTTGCGCTGAACGAGAACTGGACCAGACATGGTGCAGCTCCGACTTGGCACAAAACCAAAGGAAGGACCATCCACTTGTAATCAACGACATACATGCCGAAGATGAGGATCCTCGGAGCGACGCTTAAGAAAATTGAGAAGGCATCTCCCACAAGCAAGCTGCTGATTTCCGGCATCTCCAGCAGCATTGTAAGAGGCCGTTTACTAAAGTTTACTACGGCGGTTGTTTGTTGGCAGTCTTCACTTGGTTGTCCCTTTCAGATGTCCTACATATTGCAGGCCCGCCGCAACAACCCCGCGCCAGGCGAGGCAATTCGTGGTGGGTGCTCCCCGAAGCTCCAAGAATCAAGCTGCCGTAAAAGGCGTGGACTTTCCAGCAGTGTAGCAGCTGGGTCTCGGGCCAGGCCGAGCTCAGCAACATGGCCCAGCTGAACAAGAAGTTGGGACCTGAAGTGCACGGCATACTCTTTGGGAAGCTGAGTGCTGCAGCCTACCCTCGACAGTAGACCTGGCAGACCCCGGCGTTGGCCCGAGCAGACTCAGAGTTTTCGGCTTTCACCGAACGAGTCAACACACCCGGCACTCATCCTTCCAAGTTGCGTCCGTGGCACACAGGCTTTGAACCTTACGCTCCAAACCCTGAGCAAGCCGGGATTGAAAAAGAACTACATTGATGCGCCGTGAAACATCGAAGCAGCAAGCGAAATTCAGAAACTTACAGTTGGGGTTTGCGCAGCAGTGGCTTTAAGCATGCTACAGTCGGAATGTGTTTCATGGCCTGCTTTTGAAGGTCGATCCTGGGGAACCCTCCTTTTTTCCGCTCCCTTACCCCTCCACCCTAAAACACACGGGCATACGGGGTATCCAGGTAGCTTCTCTCTGTGGAGGCGGTTTAGCCTGCACCGGGTGAGTCACCATTCCCTTAGCTTGCACAAAATTCTTCCTATAATAGTTTCCCCTCCCAGGTTGCTTCAGGAAGAGCGTCTCGGGGCCGACCCGAATTCTCGGAAAAGGCACGGTCCAATTGCATCTCCACCGCTTTCACCGGGGTCAAAGTTGGAGGAAAGGGTTCGGCCTGACAGTGACAGGGAATCCTGTCTCGAACGCGGGGATTGTCTCCAATATCCTACTCCTGTGGACTCGCAGCCGCTTCCATCGGCGGCCTGAACAGAGGCCGCAAACTTTCATGACTCAAACTCGAATTGCATGACAGCTTAGAGATTGTCTTTGAACTTTCACGCAACCCGGGTTCGGGTCATACACGGCCAGGCAGGCCACGTTGAGGACATACGTGTCCTCGGATGTTTCGTCCGTTGCAGATGGCTGCTGGTTCAAGCATGATCAGATTTGGGAGATCTGCACCACTTGGAGACGCAACACTCTCCCGAAGTTGATCATCTTTGCGCTCGCTCATGCGATGTTCCGCAGCTGTCATGAGTTCCTGCTTTCTTGGTCCGACCCTCGCCACGCACTGCGCCAACCACGTCGTGGGCCCGCACGCAAAAAGGCCCGGCCAAGGCGGCTATCAGTTGATCGGAGAAGGACGACATGGTGAAGTGCTGTCTTAAGCAGTGGAAGTTTATAAGTACTGCACTGCACGAAACGGAATACTAAGCCGCTAAGCTTTTCGGCACGCCACGATCGCTGCTCCCTACTGTACCACTGTTGCACCAGTAGCTATGGTGTGCATTTGCCAGTCCAACCCATGAGTAGCCGGCCTGTCCTGCGGTCCAGCAAGGCAAAGGCTCATTCTCTTTCTGAGTCCGGGGCTAATTCGACATCTGGGGTCGATGGTCAAGATGAAACTGGGCACATAGGATGCGCTGCAACTGCTCGCAAGATTTGCACAATCCCCTGTGCCCGCCAGTTGCTTGGCCCTGGACAAATGATTTACGAAGTTGTCCTCACCTGGGGCGGATTCAGTTAGCAGATCCTTTGCCTGTTCGTGTGATGACGTCTCAAGTCTACCACTTGCCCGCTCATTCAGCAGTTATGCCAACATCCCACCTACATTTCCCGCAACAATGTCACACCCACTTCTGCATTACCTCAACCAGCGTAGGAATAAGCAATTACCTTGTCTGTATTGGAAGGTTCTTCCTAGACTCCCCCCTACATTTCCCTGGTAGTCTCATCCGGCCAAATCTCATGCTGTTTGGCAACTGAGTTGTCTTCTGGTTGTTTACTGCAGATACCCCTTACCTCATTCTGTTCATACAAAACTCAACCATCACCTTATTATCATCCTGCTGACAAAATATCCAAAGGTTTCAAGAATTCATCAGTCAGCAATAACTGCTGTGCATGATTCCACATAGTAACCGTGTTTGACCGATATTCATCTTGCACTTTGTGTTTAGGACTATACGCTTTCCTCTTCTCCCTGCATTGAAGACACATACCAAATAGTTTGTTTGTCATTCTTATTCATTCTTACGATTTCCGAACTCTTCGATTGGAATCCGAGACCTTGCGGTGCCTTTGACTTGTTCACACTGCATGGAATCATATATGAGCCTGTCACCCAACGGACCAGCCACGTTACACAAACTCAGATCTGAGAGCTGGACAAACACGGGTCACGGTGGCCATTCCAATTATAACCAAGACGAGACTAAGGCAAACTCGGAACCTGGCGCACGAAAAGGCATGGAGTCCACAGCTCTTTAGAGTTCCTTCTGGCAGCAGTTCACTGCAAGTTGTCATCTCACTTCTGGCAGTCAGAACTGCGACTTTCCCAATGACACGCCGGTAGCACACTGGAAAGCTACAAAGGAAATAGTCCCGCGAGAACGTGGCGGGGTCCTTGGCAACAAACGCACAAAGGGGCAAACAGCATTTCTGCATGGAAGTTGGGGATGAAGTGAGATCCGGGCTTTGGCGGGCAGCGCCATCAGCACGATTATCGCCAGCACTAGCGCCAAGGACAACCTCACAAAGAGATGCACGTTGAGAAGACCGAGACAGGCAGCGATCCACGATCCGTTCCGCTTTGCTTTGATCAACCGTCGCAGAGAGAAGCTCCAATACTACAGCTGTACGATCGAGCAATTCTTCAGCACATCTTCAGGGTTCTTCCGATCTTGAAGCATCCGATTGAAGCCGAAACGTCCTGAAGCCTCGAACATAAAGTTGTTCGCATGGCATGTCTAATGACTTTCAAACTTCGCGGTTATAGCCGGCCCTGAGTTAGGCCCGGACAGGGGCCTTGTTTTCCAATCGGTGCAAAACTCTGTCCAAAACGAAAAGTACCGGGGCCCTGGCCCAATGAAGAAAAAGAGGAGCCGTTCAGCTCGCAAGGCGGGGCCCTGAAGAAACGAAAGGGAGAGATGGGAGCACGCCCAAGAAGGAAGTAACGCACCTTCGCGGAATCACAAAGACCCGGCTTACAACATCTTCGTTAAGTGGTTGGGCCGCTTGAGACGACTGTGCAATAACAGCGTACCCGTCAGGAGACACGACAGCCCTGTGCTAGGAGCGGGCATCTGCAACAGGCGACATCCCTGATCAAGCTCTAGAAGCTATGATGTACCAACAATTCAAGAGCCAAAAGCCCCATAGAACCAAAATCCATGTCGTGCTCCTGCCTGGAGCCCGGCCGTAGTCGCAGAACGCTTCCCAAGGCCTGGTCCCCTAAACCCCCGAAGTTTCTTTGAGATGCTTGGGAAAACCAGTGATACATACTGGAGCGTTAGACGCGATCACAACAAGTATCATCACCTACACCAGTGACAGCAGTGACCGTACGTGATCTCCGACATAAACTTGTAGCAATTGTGAACGGATAGTCGAAAATACGTGCGATGATAATTCTAGAATGCGAGGCCTTGTATCAACAGAAATCATGATGGGAAGTAGTAACACTAACAGTAGAAACCACAATTGCCTGCAGGGTGGAAAGAATCATTATCATCATCATCATCATCATGTTAGTAGCCACAACGGCAAATAGATAAACATGATATTACTAGCAACAATGGATTAAATGCAACAGCAATCGCAATCATAAAGTGATACAGGCAAAGAATGAACTATAGTAACAGTATTCATGGTAAGACGTATATGACTACGAATGACCATAGAAGACTCTTAACAGAAACACATTACCTGTAGTGTGCAAACAGAAAGCTACAAACTTTGGCCTGTAGTGTGACGCATTGAAATTATAGTATACAAAATCGTAATAATGATAAGAGCTAAAAAATGCGAGCAATGGTAATTAATTTTCATGCTATATGCTGCAAGGAATAATTGTTGTGGGTAGCCGGACCGGGGTCCGAGCCTGCGGCCAAAAGCGCGACCTGCCAAGCGACAATGCTGCCGGAAGATTAAAGCAAAATCTCAGTTTTTACTTTTTTGAGGGCCTTTTTCCATTCGCCTTTGTCAGACTTTCAGAACTCCGATGTCGGAGGAGTTTTCAGGGGTTTGGGGTCCAGGGTTTAGGGTTGTCCCTTCTTTGGTCCTTGCTGCAGACCCCCCCCGCCTTTCGCATGTTCAGGTTGGAAACCAACAGGAATCCATGGTAGCGATGGTTGCTAAACGCTCCGACTTATCGGCTCTAACGACAGCACCAGGACGCATCTAGTGCGGATTTGTTTTCACCGGACAAGAAGTCTTTGTAAGGATGCGTAGCACTCTTGCGAGTTGCCACGAGCCCTCGACAATTTAAAATCGGATGGTGTCCTTTGCACCTCTCGCTTCGCGGCTACTGAGGCACTTCGCAGGAGATGGTGAGAAGACTTCTGACATGACTTAACTCATCTTAGACCACTCTCCGGTTCTCTCCCCAATTTGCGACATGACAAGAATGCCATGAGCCCAGGCCAGCGACTTCGTCTTGGGCCATTGTGTCAGGCCGCGAGCTGCTGAGACGGATCAGTCTACATGCTCAGAGGTGGCGGCAGCCCTGTCCACTCGCCTTACGCTCGTTGCTTCGCCTCGTACATGGATCCGCGATGAACTAATGCGTAACAGCACGCTCTTTGCTCGGATGCCTGTTTGTACCACTGCTATCACCATCGCCGAGTCTGAGGCATGCGCAGCTGCTTCTTTCTGAAGTGCCCTGTTGCACATGTGCAGAATTGTGCAGACGTGCAGAAGCTCAAGGCATCCGCTGCATCTCTCATCGCACCACCCGGACGGACTCGGATGTGACACAAGCAACTGGCGCAGCGCCTGAAGACCTCATCCTGGCCGGCTTTGATCGCACTGGTGATGAAGGTCCTCCAAAATTGCAGGCTGCAGGTTGGTGGGGCCCCCCTGGGAGCATCGCTCTCTCGGTCTCGGCTTCATGCCGTCTCCTGAGAACGGCTTCTGTGACCGAATCTGGCACCGGAAACCATCCAGGCCTGAGTCATCTGCACAGAGTCTCAGATGTAGAATGCCGCTGCCATAACGACAGGAAGGCCCGCGGCAAATAGTACTTGAACCGCTGGAGAGCCTGGCCACAGCGGTTCGTCGGGACCAACAGAGGAGACTTAGGCTAACCTTGCCAGGCCTACGAGCACCAGAAGAACGATTTCCACAACAAACACCCACAGCACAGACTCCCGTTCTACTTATGAGCGGTTGTCAAAATTAGGGTACCTTTTTGGGTCCCCTAAATATAGGTGCCGTACTATATTATTCAAACTCCAAAAGGGACCCTAATTTTGACAACCACCCATATCTGTGCATCTACGATCCAACCAGAAGGGCAGTCCCCATGGAGCACACCTGCTGCACTATGCGCAGGTCGTCCGAACGCGGATCATCTTGCCAACGAAGCACGATCTGGCCACTCAGGACGCATCCAGGAACTTCTAGCTACTCGCTGCATCTCGCTGCATGCCTCCGCGTTGGCCTCGAGCAGCTTATCCAAGTCCTCGCAGAACCAGTAGGCACCGTCTTTCAAATCACTTCAAGTACCAAGCAGCCTTTTGGTACTCGACGTTGCCAGTTCTCTTGTCCCGCAGACCCGGGTTGATCTCCAAGACCTGGCGCAACGCTCGGGGATCGTCCCCAAGCAAGGATCAACCCCAACCGCCATCACCTGGCCTGCACCTCGGCCCTTTGCGGCTGGAGGCTGATCCGGACTGTCATCCGCACCTGAGATGAGGTCTCTACACTTTCGGTTCAGTTGGGCTCGCTGGACCGAGATGCGGGAGGACTCACAGTGGGCATGACCACAGGCTGCGAAATGAATACATGGATCGCTTACAAACAAGCTGCACCAATAGGATCGAATACTCTAGGTATCGCGATGTAGGTATTGACGAAATTACAATTGATATACGGTGACGATTGTTTAAACTAAATATTTAAATTCAAGCAGTTATACTACCTCGGTGGCTGTCGGGCCCGAGCCGCCAGGTATTTACAAGGGTGAACCTGGGCTTCGTTAACATGCGGAACATGTCAAGCAGAACTTTTATTCCCGTGTTCCACTTATCTAAATCACTACTCTGTATATTATATACATAATTGTATACAAACACACACACACACACAAAAAAAAAAAGAAACCTGTATTCTGAAAAAAAAGTGTGCAAAAAAACATAGCATCTATGTTTTATCTTGAGCGCTACAGTATCAGATCCCAGACCCACTTCGACAGTCGTTCGGCTTTCACAGAAATCAAGGCTGAGGAGGCGCCTGGGTGCTGTAGGGGCCGATCTCCAGAGCCGGAAAGTATAGGTAGATCAAACCATCTTCGGAGGCCGGCTCCGTCCTCTCCACGCCGTTGAAGAGGATCTCAGCCGCACGGTCCTCGAGCAGCTGCTCGATCCATTGGGCGTCGCACTTCGACAGCTCCTCCCTCGCCGAGTTCTCCACCACCACACTCACGGAGCGAGCAGCACAGGCAGTACGGGGGTGCTTCCTGTGTTCAGCACGGTGCATCCTTGGGGTCCTTGGCCTCAGACCCGCACATGCCAGCGACCCGGCACAAGCGGAGAGGCCCAGCCCCAGCATTGCATCTCGAGATCTGCGCCCCGTGGGTGGCTGAGGGCCGACACCAGGCCTGCGGGGTGCAGAGACCCACGGCACGGCACGTGGCCCGACTGGGAAGGCAGCATCCATCCCAAAGGCTGAACCGTGCACTGACTACTTCGGCAAACTTCAGATATGCTTCCTACCTTGCGGCTTGCCTGTGGCCTGTGTTCCCCTCCCGTGCTGCATGAAGGCTTCGCAAGAATGTTGACGGATTGTAGCCGTAAAGCTGCACTGCAACCTGTAAGCCGCAAGCAGGCGAAGACCACCATATTCAACTCACGGCTCTCGAGCCGTTATCCTTTTGCTATGAATCGGGCCCTGCCTCGGGAGAAATCCCGGGCTCTGCAGATGCAGATCGATTTTGGAAGGCCTCTGGCTTTCAGAGGGGGCCTGTGGGAAAAGGTGCTTGAGGTGACAAAATGGGATGCGAAATGGGAGGAATTCCTTGGGCTCTCCTCTGTGTCTCGCAAGTTATCTTGGGCATGCCTGTCGAACGCTGGCGTCCAGGGCTTCAAACGCGCCCATGTCCGCGAAAATTGTGTTCTGGCACGGGGATGCGAAAATTCGTGGGCACATCGAGGCAACCGAGCCATCGTCCTGGCCTCGATGTTGAACGGATACTTCAAGGCAATGCCATCTTCACGCTTCAGGATCTTGTCGTGCTTGCGCAGTATTTTGAACCTCCCGCAGTCAAACGCTGTCAGTCTGAATGGCTCTTTCCAAGGATTCAAGCCTGCACATTCCAACGCTCAATTCTTCAACTTTCAAGCCCGAGCAGGCGCACACTGCCGCGTGGTTGAGTTCGGCGTATCCACGTAGGCGGTAGATGCCTTCCGCCAACCGCCCAAGTGCCTTCGGGGGATCTCATTGTGAGGGCACCCACACCCACCAGGATGCGCTGTCGAATGCAGGACACAGGACGCCAGGCCAGGGCACAGAGTCTAATTGTGCCGAGGGAAAACACATCCAGCCTCCAGCACGTTCAACTCCATGAACTGGCTCATGGAAGCCGGCTGGGATTCCGGCGTCGAGCCTGGCATGACGGCGTCCATTGCATCCATCGTCTCAATCATCTCTGAGATTCTCTGAGCATAGGATCTGCGGTCTAACTCGTCGCACGTAAATTTTGGTCATTCCGTCATCGCCACTTTGGATGACTTGCTGCGGGGAGCTTGGAGGCTCCAGGCACCAGCCTGAGTTGCCAGGCCGGCGCGACAGCTCCGTGACAGCTCCGCTGGGGTTTCCTGCGGCGGTCAGGTCTTCAGACCGCCGAGCACCCTCGCTTAGCTCCGGAGATTCATGAGCGAACTACCATCCCCACATCAGCCTCGTCGCTGTCCTTGCGGGGATTCCAAAAAGAGTCTCCAGAGCCCTTTCGCTCTGGGGTGAAACGGCAACGTGTCAACAACACTGCTTGCCTAACCTCGACTTCTGTTGTAAGTCGCGGGTGTCGGCCCGCATTTCCGAAACGCATTACTTGACTCGCAGAGGGGAAAAACAGAGCCAGGAAATGCCTTCAGCCTTCATCTCCAGCTCTCGCATGCTCTCACTATGCATCTGCCAGGAGAGAAGCAACCGGCCGTCTGCCTCCCGTTGCCAAGCAAAGTGCCAATGCACGGAATGCACGCACGACTCCGACGACGATCTCCGACGACGATCCAAGCTCCGAGGCCTCTGTCAGCAGCCAAGTCGGCTGCAGTTCTGCCACGCTGGTCCTGTGTTACAGATGGGCCACTAGTGGTCGCTGTCCAACTTTGCTCATCTGCAAAGGGTGCTTAATTATACGAAAGGAAAGGCGCGCGTCTTGTGCCTGCCTTCAAGGCCAAGATCGCTCGCTTGTCCGGCGCCCCCCCTTGGAGAAAACAGGCTTCCCGGCCCCCCCTTGCTGCACAAAGACCCTGTTGCGTTCGAAGTCTAAGCAATAACTGAACTCCCCACGCTCGGAGCCGCGGAATTTGAGGCTGAGGTTCACTGAGTCGTGAGGCGGTGACTCTGATTGGGCCAGAATCATCAAAGTAAGCTCTCGCACGCTGGACAGGAACTTAAGGCCCCCACGCAGGAGGGCCTTGGCGGCCTCTTCGTGGCCACGGTAGGCGATGAGGTGCAGGGCCTTTCTGTTGTAAATCTGGCGATGTAAGAGCCCCCAAAACAGTCCGGGGCCGAGCGCTGGGCCGAGAAGCCGCTCCACTTCTCCAGGCAATCCTTCAAGCGCATGGCCCGGTCCGGGTCGGCTTCCAACCTGGAAGGATCGGAAGCACCAGAGCTGATCTGGGGTCAAGAGTCCTAAGCTACGTCCCCCGCGCGAGCTCAGGAAGTGCACCGTGCTGCACAAGGCAGGCGAGGCTTTCTTCGCAAGGACTGGCAGCGCACGATTCGCCGTGAGCGCACAACAGGTTGCTATCAGAAGACGAAGACGGGTTTGGCGAGCCCAGCTGCCTACGGACGCGCCGCAGAAAAGTGCCAGAGGCGAGCCCTTGCCGAATGTTGAAGGAGCTCAGAGTCTATCAGAACCTGCAAGCTATCCGAAGGCATAATGATTCGACAGCGGCAAGGGCACCGGGGCATGCTGTGGACCCCAAGCCGATTCAAAGGACTTGAGTGCACAGCCGTCGGGAACACTAACGACAGGTATACTGCAGACACGAAGGTCAGATGCGGCGGGAACCTGCCCTGTACACCGCTGCCGGTACACCCTGTGTGTGTGTGTGTATATATGTATAGATACATATATATGTGCACAGAAACACACACACATACACACCCACAGACACGCCCGCATGTCCGACCTCAGCAAAGCGAAGGTGAGGCTCAACCCAACAGCCAGTCTGAGCCACATCTGCCAAGTGAAAGCATTCAGGGGCCTGACGGGTTTGGCAAGCCCAGGTGCCGTCCGTATTGGACGCGCCGCAGAAAAGTGCCAAAGGCGAGCCCTTGCCGAATGTTGAAGGAGCTCAGACTCTATCAGAACCTGCAAGCTATCCGAAGGCATAATGATTCGACAGCGGCAAGGGCACCGGGGCACGCTGTGGACCCCAAGCCGATTCAAAGGACTTGAGTGCACAGCCGTCGGGAACACTAACGACAGGTACGACGCAAAGAATTTTTCGAGTAAGCCGCCACTGGCCGGTGGGCTCCCAAGAAGGGTCGGCAGTGGCTCTGCCGGCTCTGGTTCAGCTTCCGCCGCAACTTCCATGGGGTTGTGCCAGGTTTCCAAAACTTGCTGCATTGATGGCCTTTGCGTCACGCGAGCCCGCATGCAAGCTCGCAGCTGCTCTGAGGGCCTAGTTTTCTTCAGCAAGTCCAGGAATGTGTGGCCAACCATGTGCACATCTTCTGCGAGAGCGCGGCTGGGCTGGCCTGTCTTTTTTTCCGGGCTTGAGCCAGCTTAGTTGCCCCCAAAACGATCTAGAAACTCCTCGGCCTTCTTCAGCTCCTTTGCTGAGTCGAAGTCTATGAGCTTGATGTTGCTGCAGGGCAAGGCGCTTGCGAAGCAGATGTTGGCCGCTCTAATATCCAGGTGTGCTACCAGCACACTGTGGATATAGGACACGGCGGTGCAGGTCTGCCTAAAGGCCTTGGCCAGGCGTGGGCCGCTCAGCTCCCTTGCCTTACGAGCCTTTTCAAGGCTCTCCCCGAGTTGCTTCATTGTATAGCCGCTAGTTGCGCCAGACGGATAAGACTTCCACGACGTTCGGGTGATCAAGCCTTCTCAACAGCATGGCCTCTGCAAATAGCGCCTTTCTGTCTTCCTCGGGAACTGACAGCATGTTTGGATTGTATTTATACTTCTTGAAAGCAATCCGTGTGCCGTCATGAATTCCCGAGAAGACCGTGGCGAGTCCGCCACTGCCCAGTTCCTTCGTCAGTTCCAGGTTTCCAACATCGACGACGGGAGGCATCGCCGTGACCCTCTGGCGAAGTCTGCTTTCGGGTCCGAAGGTGTAAGCACACGCGCGAGGTAGCCGCACGCTGGCGTCTGGGCTGTAGCTCCCCGGTCCGGGAGTAGAAAACTCCCGGCCGGGGAAGCGTGCGGCTTTGGAAAAAGCCATGGCGGTTCAGGCCACCCGTCGGTATGTTGAAAGGGTCATGCCATCTAATGCTGAGGATGATGTCTCGCCATCGGCCGTGAGAAAGACGGATGTGAGTAAGTTCAGCAGATGGCTCATGATGCTTTCCATTTATGCAAAAGATAGTCGGCTGCCAGCTGTGCATTCAGTAGTTGGCTGCCAGTAACTTGAGCTTCCAGTCATGCAATCTAAGCTTCAAGGCGACGGTAAGCACCAGCCTGAAGAATCCAAGACACATCTTCCCGGAGCTCCGGGGCCCCGAGCAGAGCTTCCACCACCTCGGCTTGCCCCTTCTCGCAGGCAAGCTGCAGCCTCGGCGAGAGATGCAGAGAAACCTCTAGTCTAGTAGAAGCACCGGGCCGGGTATGTCTTGACCCGCCTAGACCTGTGAGATGAGGCCGGTGCGGTGTAAATCCGCCAGACTTGTCCTTCGAGCTTTGCCAAGGTTTCGGGCCAGTCACATCAAGCAAGCCCTCCCAGACTTCGAACACAAGCCTATTTACGCTTCAGACCCATCTAGCGACATCCTTGGCTGCAAGCAGCATCGCAGGGCTGGGAGCCATCCTCGGAGCTCCAGACAAGGCGCTGGAGCTTTGCTGAGTCTTGGGCGCTTTGTGAAGTTTAAGGAGTTATTTAGTGATTGCCTCTGCCGGGACACATGGATTAGAAGCTACTTCATCGCGTGTTGTAACGGCCCCGGCTCGAGAAGAACTTTGCAGAGCGCAGCGTGACCCGCTGCAGCTGCCAGGTGCAAAGCCTCACTGCACAGCTCAATCCACGGCGTCTGCTCACAAAACCAACAACGAAGCTGTCAGAAGCTCGGGTTGGCGGATGTACTCCGTTCCCATAGACACGCAGTGGTTACTGGAGCCGAGGACCCGGCAGTCTGTCCTGCGAAGCGCTCTTGTGCCATCAGGAGACGCTCCAGCTCTGGAGCGTGCTGGAGCCTCAGCCGTATGCCGCAGGCATTGAAAGAAGGCAGTTGAACTTGAGTCGAGGGCCCTGGAAGCAGGGGACTAAAGATCTGTGTGGAAGGAGGCGAGTGCCAGACAAATGACCGAGGAGCAAGAAGAGCGCAGAAAGCTTCGATCAAGAGGCTTCAACTCATCCGACATTTCGAAGAGGACACAAGAGCCACTGTCTGGCAAAGTGACGCTTCTCTTCGAATCGGATGAAAATACTATTCTGCGGGGTCCTTTTTAATCTATGGTATAACATACATATACCCCGTAGTTAGAAGGTGTAATCTACATCTGTTATATACCCAAAGCCCTATTCTAATGAACCGACTGAACCGCTTGGGCTCGCGGCAGGGCCCGCACGGTTTCCAGGTGACCTCGCCTCGAGAAACAAACCGCTCCTTCGCTTGGCTTTGTTTTTCACCTAACATGCTGTGAATAGCAGGAACCATACGAAGTCTCATAATTAGAAGAAGCAGGAAAGAATAGTAAAACTGACATTGGTATCAATAAAATAGCAAGTTATAATAGTAGTGGAGGCCTCAGAAATGGGATGAAGGTAGGTGTGAGCAAGGATCCCTTACATCAAGACTCTTTTTTGAGATTACCCGACCCCTCATAATCAAGATCCCGCTTCAACGAACATACTGCAGATGGAAATGCAGAGACTCCCCCTCCGCTCACTACTGTAATCTACTGTCAAGTTATAGGCCTGTACCAGACAAAACAAAACTATAAGCACCTATCTGTACAGCTACGGAAGACATCAAACTCTTGAGTCCCGCACTCTGCTGCAAGATGCAAAGCTGTATAGCGACCTCGCTCTTTAAACCCAGGAACTCTTCGAGTCTGAAATGTGGCAACGGGTCCACACGGACGTGGTGCAACGTGACTGGAAGGGCTTTGATCTATCCCAGCTCCAGGTAAAGAACTGGACTCCGGCTTCTCCAGCTCTTGGCTGGGAGGCAAGAGGCATGCTGAATGACAGACGTGACTGACGTTCCTTAACGACACTACAACCGGCATTGATTTCAGCTGAGAGTAACTAGAGGAATAAGTATGCAAACTAGAAAAGGCACTTAGCCTTGATGCACGTCTTCACCAGCTGAAAGAAGCTGGGCCCTCCACCGCAGCGATCCGTGGCTAAGGAAGTCTCTGCATATGGGCAGGCTTTCAGCAGCGCGTGAACCTGTACTAGCGTCACAAAACCGAAGCTGGGCGTAGTCACTGGTGCAGCTGCGAATCGTGCCAGGAACCCAGATATAATGAGAGAAATCATTCATCATCCTGCTTGCATCCCTGGAAACCCGAGCTTTGAGGTGGCGGGAAGCGTTAAGAGATCGACTATATTCAATAGGCGCCCTGCGGCTTGACTGTGGCCACACTCCGCGGCCATGTGCAACGCCGTTTGCCCTGTCGAGAAGCACAATATCGTCAGTATCAAGATACCTCACGTAATGCGCTGGCCATGCGCACGTGTGGTACTTAACATGCAGCAGCTGCTGCATCTAAGTTACCAACCACTTACCGTTCACAATGGGACTCAAGCGGCATTCGGAGCTGTACTTGCAATTGTAGCTGCTCGCAGCAGCATTACCATACTGTGCTTCTGCCCTATCTGAGTGTCCTGTGATGCGCTCCCTGGTGGCCAGCAGGCCGCTTGTGTCGCCCACAAGACTCAGAAGCCGTTGCACCTCGCACGAAACATCTCGAAGCGTCAAGGAGCCACAGTGGCATCGACATGCGACGGAATGCCACAAGGCCACCGACATGCAAACAAGAACACCTGAACAGTCTCGGGCAGGCGCCACGGTGGCATGTCCTTTCTCCGAGGCCAAGTGCAACGCGGTTTGACCCAGCTTATCAGACCTGGGCAAACACAGATTGCTTGAAACTCGGAGGGATGCCAGTCCTGCAAATGCAGCTGGCTCAGCCTGATGATGACGCTGATGAGATGTAGCTCACGGGAGACCACTGTTCGATCGACCAGATGCAATGTTCTGAGTTATGAATCTTGATGAAATGATGTACTCCCTCCCACCGCCCCCAGCACCGTCCGGCCGGTGCTTGGGCCATCACATGGCCAGCAGTGCGCCCTTGTCCGGCGCCAGCTGCAAGAGCAGCTCGACCTGCGCCAAGCGGAACTTCTGACTTCAAACGAGCTTGGCCCTCTTGACCCTCACAGATGCAGCTTGCCGCACGCCCGGTCCCCTTCTTGCCGGCAGAGCGATTACATGGCATTGCTCTGGAATGACATGATGAATGCAGCGCAATACTTTCAAGGGTAACACGGAACATAAGCTCCCCTTGCTGTACGACTGTTTTCTTGATTCTGAGGCGGGGACTTGTAGTTGGTGCTTGTGGGGTCTATTGACGTTGATTGCGCAGTCCGATGTGCTGACCGACTCCAACCGTTTCATTCAACACTGTCTTCAGCTCATCTGAGCTCCCCACGACTGCATTCTCCCCTTTATCAGCCGCCACATGAAGCGCCTTCGTTGCGTCGCAGGTGGTCAACTGAAGGTTTGCAGCAGCCTTCCAAGTGTCGGGCGGTCTGCCGGTCAAATCTATTTACAGCGGTCAGCAGCAGGAGGGCACGATCTGGCAGCGCAATCGGGGGCCTCACCACGAGACAACTTAATGACGTACGAAAAGAGCGGTCGGAGTCATCTGACACAGACTTGGCGAGAGTGTGCAATGTGTGCCCTGCGAAAGAACAGCAATTTGACGGCTGCCCGGGCGCCCCACCCGGCATGAGTCAGGATGGCTTGCGCGCACACCGTGTGTCCTCAGATGTGATCAGATGTCGCTTAGCAAACAGCAATACATGATTAGCTGATTAACTAGGTTGAGCAAGAGTGAAGACCACATGCTCGCACAGGTGGTTGGTAGTCGCCCTAAGCACCGGACCTCCTGCTGCTGCGAAATGCAACGCCGTGTTGCCCGCACTGTTGGACTCAGCACAGAGAGCCTCACGGTCAAGTCAGCATTCACTGCACCTTCACTGAATCGCAAAGCCAAAGTAAGATTCTTGCTGTGGGATTTGGTGCATAATCGAGGAAGCACTTCACGACAGCCTGTCAAAGCGCGGCTTCGGCCCACCTGCTTTTCAGCTGCTCGGACCGAGGAACGAACCACGTGCCCGTGTTTTGCGGCGAGGTGCAGAGGCCTCTCACCCCATGGACCCCACCCCACGCTCCTACGCAGCCGCTGTGTTTCCGAGCTGCTGGCCGGAGTGTCGAGCTGTTTTTCTGGGGCATCTGCAGCCTGCAGTATGTCACACCAAAATCCGAGACACGGATTGCTGGATGTTTTCAGACGAAGGCAAGGCCAAGCCGTTCGAAGATCGCTTCAAAAGAGCTCGTGCCGTGGTCTGCGGCGCAAGTTTTGAAACGCAGAACCTCAACAGCTCACACGATGAGCTCCAGAGCTGTCCTCGTGGCCATCCCTGGCCGCACAATGCAGGGGTGCCATACCATCGGCGTTGACTGCCTGGCCTGGTAGGACCATGGGATTCTGTGTGGTGGGAGTCGGTTGGTGCGCCCTTCCCAACTGACGCTACGGGCATGCTCCGATAACCCACCTTGACATGGTAAGACAGGTGTTTTATTCAACCGCAGACTGTATGGGTCAGCACACACTGTATCTACAGATACTCGAGACCGGAGACCAACAGTAACCAGCAAGCCATGAGATAGGAAATCGCCGCACGGGGCAGCATAGCTGGTGACCCATTCCAAAGCTGCGGCCCTCACACAGCTGCATTGGCTCTGGTGCAAGTTCCAGCAGCATGTCAATCACTTCCTGAGGCAACAAACTGCACGTGGGTAGTCTGTGTTTGATGCATGGCAAGATTCTAGGGAACACCAAGCGTTCACGAGCATCAATTCACAGAGTGAATCGCTCCTTGTGCCCATGCACAGCTGCAAAGTGGAGGCCGGTTTGGTTCACACCTCAGCACGACCGGCAGAGTCGACCGTCCATCACAATTTCGATGAAAAAGCAAACTCCGAACTCTGAAGATTTGGGACCGTGCCGGAGGGCGAGTGCATCGCCTGGATGGGGCGAGAAAATGCACAACATATACATACATACACACACATCTATACAGAATATATATATATATATATATGTATCTATTATACTCTGTGTGTGTGTATGAGTGTATGCATGTGAAAGTCCACAACTGGCAACTTCAGAATATGATCCCTTCAAAACAGGCATTATTGGCAGAACACGTTTGAGCAGCTTCGCAAGCACATCCTGTCGATCCCTCCTCCGAAACCTTACAAACACTGAGGCTTACAAGTCTTTCAGTCACATGCCAACTTGTGGCCATACCCACCGTTTTCCGCGAAAATAAAACCCGCCAAGGAACCATCAGCTGTTGCCGGGCCCCTGCAGCAGCCTCATCAGGGCGTGCCACGCAGCAAACGTGATGCATAATTATGAATATGTGAGTAGAGTACTCGCGGTTACGGCAGCAAATGGTGCCAGCAGGAAAGCAGACCTGACAGGCCCTTCCTTGACCGGAGTTCGACCTTTGTACGAAACGGAATGCGAAGCTCTTCGGCATGCCCCGTCACTGCTCCCTACCCCTGAAGGAGCGAAACATACCCATGAGTCATCCTACGACGGTCCGAAAAGCTCCGACCAACTGTTACAGACTGAAGCAAATACTGAGGCCATGGCCACTCCGAGCAGGCAACGGATCGCAAGGGCATTTCCAGCCTAGCGTTGACCGACGAGGGAGGTCAAGGCGTGCGCCGTGCGTGAACAGAAGTTGCATCTACTTCGTGAGCCTTGCACATGGTCTGCAGGAGGAAAGTCAGCCTGGAGATAGATTGCAGATCGCAGATTCTTGCCGTTTCTCCACGGCCTTGAAAAAAGCCTGAGCCCTGCGAGGCACAGACCCTTCCCGGAGCTCGAGCAGAAGCTCTTTCTTCAACGGCTCTTTGCCCTCTGCCTGTGCGACATTATTCAGGTTGCAATGCAGTTAGAGCTTGCAGTAATCTCAGAAACCGCGCAGGACAGAGCGACTCAACAATGGTAGCTGTGTAGTCTACTGTGTTCTGTAATTGACTTCGAGTTAACTTAATATTAATATTCATAGACGTTTAAAGCATACTGGCATATCTGAGCATATCCCACACCCCTTCGACGAGCAAGAAGTAATAAGTAATGTCCACTACTGGCACCTGGAGGCAGAAAAACTTGGCGCAGCTCGTCACAGCTTCGGAAACGTTCCCAGCAGCGTTCTCCTGGGTCCCAGATACGAGAACAGAAAAGCATTGCCTGGACAGCGCTTTTTACGAAACGCAGGCAGCAGTGGTTGCTGGAAAATGCTGGCGTCGACAGGTACAAGTGTGCGCTCGAAGTATCGCCTCAACTGCCACGAAGCTGCGACTTCTCCTCTGCGGGCCTTCAAGCAGAACATCGTCGCTCTCTAGCAATTCTAGCGACAGCTACCAGTCCTGAAGATTGAAATTCAAATTCGATCGCACTAAGACTACCGAAAGGCCAAGGCATGGCAGTCCCCGAGAGCAGCTTGTCGGAAGCCCGCCAAGGCTGGAGCCCTAATGGGCTTCCATGCATTCGCGCGGTTCATGTCGCCTTGTCCAAGCTGGCCCTCTTCGTTCTTCCCCCAAACCCACCAGTCGCCTGCAGTTTGAGCGGCTGAGAAGTCACCTCCCAGTGCCAGGGCGGTGACGTCTCGCAGGCCTGGCACCGGCCTTGGCCCGGCGACATTCGCCTCTGAGCCCAACTCCAGGCCCAGGCGGCCGAGGCTTCCACGGCCCCACATGTAACACTCCCGCGTGGGGCCGCAAACTGCTCCACAGTGGACGGCTCCAGATGCCAGAATGTGAACAGGCGCCGGCAAGCCTTCAATCTTCACGGGGAACAGATGGTTCTCCATGTTTTGGCCTTGGGCCAGAACACCAAAGCGACCCCAACCGAAGGCCCAAACTGTTCCCAGACTCAGCACTAGAGAATGCCATCGCCCCAATGCCACTGCCCGCACAGGACCCCCCACGTCCACCAACTGTGGTTCTGCCATCTGCCTTTGCCGCCTTCCCAGCCCCAGCTGGCCTTGGTTACAATCGCCCCACATGTACAGTCGGTCGCTGCAGATGGCAGCGCTGTGGCAGAAGCCCGCGCTCACCGCGTCCGCAGGTGGCAGCTTAACTCGGCTCAGGCTGGCGGACATCTTCGGCCCACTCTGCCCCAGGCCGAGCTGTCCTCCGAGGTTGCTGCCGCATGCCAAGACCTCACCGGTCTCCATGAGCACAAGCGTATGCTCGCCACCACAGGCAACCTGTTTCACCTTGCTTGCTGGCAGGCCTTCGGGAACCTGAGGAAGTGCCAAATCCTCCGAAAAGTCTGGGGCATCTTTGTCGCCCCGCGTTCCTCTGGATTTGCGGGCGCACTGCCCTTTGTTGTTCTTGCCACAGAGCAGAAGCTGACCCTCGCAGGTAACGATCCCCGTATGGTCGAAACCACAGGAGGCCGAAGAAACCGAGGAAACCGCCGAGCCCTCCGGGCCAAATCCAAGAACTGCTAGCACGTCGCCGCTGGATGAAAGCTGCTCCCCTCGGCCCAGCTGCCCATACGCTGCCTTTCCCATAGCCACAGCACGGACAGCGCCAGCGCCAGGGCCCTGGGTGTTGGAAAGGCGATCGGGTGGCAGGAAGGAAGCCGAAGCTGTCGACTGCGGCTCAGCCACTTTGGCCTTGGGCCGCCAGCGGCCTTTGGTTGGTCCGTCGCGCGAGGGCGAGGACGGACCCGACACGCCGGACGGAGCTGACGGAGCCGAGGGACGCGGCCCTGGGTCGCCGGATGCTCCGCCAGCGCAGGCCTCCTCGAAGCGGGCTGCGAGCTCCCCAACCTGCCAGAAAGCTTTGCTCCGGCAGGGGACTTAGGGGCGGAAGTTACGGTAGCAAGCAGTGAGTGGCAGTGCAGGCGCACCTTCTCATCCCGGTTCTGAACGTCGATTTCCACCACCTCTACTCCGGAAAGCCGCTTGCTCTGGGAGATGAAGCCACCCCCCGCTATGGCCACGGTCCCCAGCACATGGAGCTTTGGGTCCGGGTTTTCCAGAAGTCGCTTCACACGTGCCACAAAGTCCTTGCTGAGGAGCTCCATCTTCCCGATTTCGTCGAAGATGAAAACCGTGTGCTTGCTGCCAGCCTGCTTCGCAAGCACACGGTCCAGGACGGGGAGCGTGAACCTCTCGAATTCCTACCGAAGCGAGGAAGTTTGGCTGACTGGCTGCGCAACTAGAACACTGACACACGCTGCAGTCCTCCACTTGCACGTGGTACTTGCCTGGGCCACCAGGTAAGCAAGAATGGAGAGGCTGCGTGCTACTGGTAAAGTAACCATGAGTAATCATGCTTCTGCATAGCAGGTCGCCGACCATGTAGCCCGTCTTGGGCCCGTCAGCATCAGCCAGTGGTGCGCGACTGCTCAGGTCCAAGGAGACGCAGTCGAAACCAACTCGCCGCCCACGTTCTCTTCGCTCGTTCATGAGGAAGCCATCCAAAAGACCTGATTCTAGATGCAGCTTCGACTCCGTGCTGAGGCAAGGAGCTATCCTGGCTATGATTCGCCAAGCGGCACAAGTCTTTTTGCGCTGCCAGGCGTTTGTAGACCTGTCTCGTGCACTGCTACAGCCGCAGCTCTCCAGAGCAGGAGTCGGAGTTCAAGCATGCTTTGTCTGCTGTGCAAGCCAGGTCGCGCTTGAGCAAAGAGTCGTCTTCCCCGTCCCGGGAGGTGCCGTCACGAGCAGGCGCAAAGGAGCCATCTTGATCAAGCTTTGGATCTGAACTACAGGACAGAGCGTCAGGAATCGCCTTCCATGGTTGCCCGTACTTAGCAGGCGTGAGTGTTGCATGCGTTGCTGCTAGGCTGTTGGCTGGAGCTGCCACTGAAGGCTTACGGTTGGTAGATTGTTGGTAGTTGGTGTAAATCTCACTGAGCACCGCATCCAGCACTAGCTGGCTAGCGGCTACCAGACGACCAAACACCCATCAAAGAGGCACGAGATGCACAGAAGTGATGGGACAATCCGGACATGAGCTCGAAGCCACACACCGGTACAACTTTTAGCAATCGCTCCTGCACCAGCCATGTAGGCAAGCCCTTGCCCTCCAAAAGGCGCTGCCAGGCACACTGCGCCGCCAGAAAATCCTGCCTGAAAGCTCAGGACAAGTCGTATAGTTCTCAGGTGATGCCGAGCATGGCTGCGAGATACTGAGAGGGTGGCATGGAGGGGTAGCGGAATCGAAGGCCACCGTCCTTCTCCTTCTGCGAGACAAACTTTTCCAGCGTTGCTGCAGACATGCTCAACTGCCACGTGCTTCGAGCAATGCCAATCTGCACAGCTCCGCCCACCTCCAGAAGAAGCAATTGTCCAGATTGCGCGAGCCTTACGACCAGAAAGGAAGCCAGCCCCATGTTTGTGCAGAACAGCAGGACAAACGGACTTGGGCCAAGCGCCTCAACTAGAAGCTGGCGGAGAGCAGGCGACGCGCACAGAGGGCATAACGGAGGTACCCCAGAAGATGAAATTGAAATTCGATCCCATGGTCGGCTTGCATTCGTCGAGGGGCTTCATTAGCTTCTCCATGGGCTCCACCATCTCCTTGACGTTCAGTGAGGCAACGAAGGAGGCCAGCCTAATCTCGCTTCAGTGAGCATCGCATCATGGCATCGCAGGCGGCCAGCAGTCTCCCAATGCCAGCAACAGTGAGCTGAACTCACCAACAACAAACTCCACAGTGCTGCTCCGGTCTACGGGAGCCTCCGTTGAGAACGTGTGTCTGCGTGCGTCTGTCAAGGAATGTATGCGACACTAGTGAGAAGATGCGGCAGTGCCCGAGGCATCGGCTCGTGCGCCTTGATCGTCCGGCTGTTTCGGCCTGGCGGGGCAAGCGACTGGCAGGAGCACGGGAAAGTCGAAGTCGCCTGCAATTTTCTGAAGTCGCGAGAGCGAACTCACGAGAATTTCCAGGAACAGATCGGGCGTCGTTACTGACCCCTCGTCCGCTGTCCAGCCGCACCTAGGGCTTCATAGGCGAGCTCGGCCACTGCAACCGTCACGCCCTGCTTGTGCAGCCTGGGATGCCATGGGGTCAATTTTGCTTTTGACATGATGATTCGGTTCGACCGATATTCAGCCTTGTCTTGATTGACTCTGCGCTGGCATATGCAAGCAGTCCATGCAAAGCGCCCGGCTCGGCGAAAGCTTTGCTGTCGTGGGATTTCAGAGCTTGGTAGCCTGAGCTCCCACTTGCGACAAAGAGGCCGAAAAGGGATTCAGCTCTTCACGAAAGACACAGACTCCGACGCTCCCGCTTCTAGGGGGCCGGCTCTGGAAGACGCGCTTAAACATCTGCTCATAGAGCCTCATGGGGACACTGCAAAGGACACCCCTATCATTCAACCTGCCCTTCGAGTTTCCCTGTCGTCAAAAAGGAGGCATGCCGGCTTCAAAAAGGTAAAGAAACTCGTCGTGCTGAGGATCGAGCTGGCAGCGTGTCAACCTCTGCTTCCTGTTCTGAGACCAAACAATACTGAAAACGCTGATGCTTTTTGCTTGGCGCCCACTGATTCCGGAAGCTCGACCAAACCGGAAACTGGGAAACCCAAGCTGGAGGCCCTTACAGACACAAAGCACAGCGCACCATCATGCAGTCAGAAAAAGAAGCAGGCGGAGCATCCCGAGCGGTCAGATTCCCCTTCCCGGTCACTTCCTTGAGTCTCCTGGCTTTCCGTCCATGAACTACCTAACTACTTTATGACAGCTTTTTCACTACATCAGACTGTGTTGTAGATTTCCTTAGTATGTCAATGCTGTACATAAAAAACGACGGAAAGAGCATCGGCCCAGTGTCCTGTCGGACGGAGATCTCGGGACCAGGTCCCTCAGCACGGTGATGGCCGTGAGCCTTCGAGGCGGGCGTGGGCCTTTGAGGCTTTCTGGGGTTCCAAGCTCTTGCATACAGGTAGAGAGGGTAAGGAGCGACCTTAACGTATAAATTACATAGCTGAGGGCTTGCGTACCGCAAGTTTTTGCAGGTTCCCAGTGGGCTGCTCTGGATTCTAGTCCCGCCTTAACAGCCATAACCTGCGTGGAACCATCCCTGAGGTCCCTGCGGGCTGTTCACGAGGTCGAAATTGTCCGGCTGGATCATCTCGGCCTCCACCTCGAGCAGCGGAGGACTTCCCATGACTGAAGACGGTCAGAATGAACTTCGCTTGAAGCCGCACTTGTCGCTTGCAAAGCTGGCAGCTAGCTTCCTTCAGCAACTCAGAAGGACGGACGACTGCCGTGTAGTTGTCTGGATTGCCCTGACAGATTGGTGGTCATGCGCACGAAGCACCTCATATCGCTGGTTACTTCTTCCTTGCTGTAAGGTGACACCCACGACCAAGAGCACCGAAAAAGAGAAAGGACTCAGGAAGTTGTCACTTTCGAGGCCTGCTCACGGAGCTCTGGCATGTTCCGCGTCCACTGGCGGCACAAGGTCTGAAGGTGGCTGATCTCCAGGGGCTTCACGCGCAGCCTCGGCCGGTGCTTTTAGAAGAGAATTTGAAGGTCTCTGCTCTTTTTCTCTTAACGGTCCTGCTGTCCTCCGGGCACAGGATGCTCAACATGCCATACAGCACGCAAGGCCTGGCCGCTGACTCTGAGATCGCGGCTCTGCAAATCCCCACCTGCTGCCGTGGCATGCGAATCTGTCAGCAAACTCCAACAAGCAGCGATTTGACGACTGGGACTGAAAACGAACGTTGCAGGAGGCACTCTAGTGTGTTAGGTACTTCTGCGGCAATGGGATGCCCCGAGGCCATGGGGGAGACGCCTCCTGAAACAGGAGTTGACGGAATCCTCCGCCGGTGGCTCATCTTCAGCTCCATCATCGGCGCCTGCACACGACTGCACGACGACCGACCAGTTCTGCCAAACATGAGTCACGAGATGTCACGAGTCATGTCAAGGCACAGTTTTCTGAAGAGCACGGTGCACTCCGGGCAACGGTCGTGCCAAGGCGCTCGACAGAATGAAAAACGGCTTCCCGGTCACCTCTACGAAAATGACCATCTGCCCACTCACTGCAGAGACGCAGAAAGGAAGATTTCATCGTGCAGTAGTCTACAGTCAGCGTTCTGTACACAATGGAGCTGCAAGCCACAAGACCTCACTTCCGCTGACGCAGCAGGAGCTGGCAGATCAGGGCACTGCCGATGCCGAGCACAAAAGCGCCAGCAATTGGAGTAAAAGACCACTGCCGGCGGAAAACTGTGGGAACAGACATAACTCTTTCCTGAAAGCTGCTGAGGCTGGAGCAAGCTTTCAGGCGATGGCTAGTCTTCTTTGCCTGGCGGTCCACTTGTTCGGGCTCACTGTCATCGTCCTCCGCATCGTGTTTGATCCAGGCTGGCTCAGATAGCAATGCAATCATAGGAACCAGGTTTGGCTTCGGTCCACGTTCAATACCCGGAGCTGCAGGGACAATGACCGTGTTCTCGGGCTGAGCCGGCTTTGCAAAGTCTACATGCGCTTCAGACTCTTCCCTCCCAGAAGTCCGAGAGGTAAGCGCCAGCTCAGCAAACTCTCGCTGTAGCTCCCGCCGCAGGTTGTTTGCAACATCCTGAAGCTCGGATGCATGGCGCTCTCGGATTTCGTTGGGAGTTTGGCCATCTCGCTCTACGAGGTTCGTCACATCGGACTGGATGCCCACGAGGTACCAAATGTCCTCGCCGGTCTCCGCATCCTTCGCGACGCTCAGGCCCCGCAGGTCCAAAAGGTTCACGAAGAGCTCACCCGACTTGCGCCGGTTCTGCAGAAGACCTGTGAAGGCCTTTCCTGTTTGACAGGACTTTCTGAGATCGTAGCGCTGCAGGGTGGCCATCTCACAGTCGTGGTTCAGGAAGCGACAGTTTAGCCCAACAATCTCTTCGCAGGTGTAGCCCGTCATTTCTTCGAAGGCACGGGAGACCGCTACGAGGGGCATGTCCGGCAAGGAGGGATCAGCAATGGAGATTGAGAACGTACACGATGACACGGCTCGGCTGGCAGCTTCTCTCGCCACATGGTCCACGACTTTGTGGGTGATGAGGGGCTGCAGAGCAAGTTCCTGCATGTAGCCGACAACCGGCATTTCATAAGGCAGCAGCATAAGCTCGTATGCCTGGCCTCGGCAATCCACCAAGGCGTAGTAGTCTCGAGCTGCCAGGGGCTTTCCAGTAGAGACACTCAATACGGACTGATAATTTATCATGAGGTGGATATCCCCCGAAGGCGTGTAGAGCATGCCCATCACGTCACCCTCGCCAAGGTCCCAGGGCGTGGTCGGCCGGTTCTGCCAACGTGGCTTAGGTCCGTCATAGACCCGAAGCTCATCCGGGCTGGTAGCCCGGTGGCCGTTGAAGTGCTGAGCCTTCTCCCGTACAAAGGCCTGGAATTCACCGCCAATGCACACGCTCTTGGCGCACCATTCTGCTCGCAGAGGGTACCCATCCCGAACCATATCAGTCGGCGGGATTTCGGTGATGCCAAGCATTGGCCAGGTCGTGTGCCAGCCTTCTCGGAGCACACCTTCCATCCGGACTGCAAAGAAGAGCCCTTGCCGTGTTCGGCGAAGAGGCTGCTCAGTGATCACCACACAACCGTTGGGGATCTCGCAAGGCTCTCGCCTCATTACCGTGCGCCTGTCGTTCAGCAGGATCACCCGCTCCGTCAGGGCTGTGGGGGAGAAGGCTGGGGAGCCAGCAAGATTCCGCGGCCGCGGTGGCAAGAAATGCTCCTTGGCAAGGACAGCTGCTGCATTCTCTGACAGCCCCTGCTGCAAGATAACTCTGATCTGCTCGATGAGAGCATGCTGGTCCTGCTTCACGTGGGCCGTTGAATCTGCGGTGCCCATCTCTGACTGCACCCCCACCAAGAAAGGATGCTCGTCAAGGAGGACAAGGCCCACAGCAAACATATTGAGAAATGTCTCACCATCACGTTTGCGATTGGTCTGGCAGCAGCTGGTGCTTCCCATGGCAGATAGACCAATGAGGCGGCACATGCGAATCATCGACCGCAGGTTCTTGCGTCCAGATCTGGAGATGCAGCACCCCGGCACGTCCTTCAGCAGGAACCGGCAGTTCTTCCCTAAGATCTCATCACGGGAGTAGCCGCACAACTTTGCGAAGGAGTCCGATGCCCCCACGATAGGGCAATCTGGGACGAGGGCATCCGCCAGAACCACAGGCTTTGGGAAGCCATCAATCATGTAGCCGACCTCCAGAGGTCTGAAGTCTTCACATCTATCGAAACCCAGCCCCAGCCCGAGCCCGTAAATAATCAACCTTCTGACCCAAGACAGCGCTCTTTTTCAACAGCTCTGACCTCCTTGTACAAGACTCGGGCGCTGTTCACGCTGAGCTGCCTCACCGGCTGCAGCCTATCTAAGGTCACCGCATCCCCTTCCAAGAGGCTCTCGGAGGGTAAACCATGGCTGGTAGGGAACATCCAGCACGAGGTCGGCTACTCGAAAATTTACACTTCTGCGGCTGACCCCTGCCAGCTGCTGGATTGAGGAACGGCGAATCGAACATGCTGAGGCTCAGCGTCTTATTGCGAGACGTGTTGTGAGACCGCGTCCGTCTCGTTTTCAACTGGTGCCTCGATTTCCTTTGCTCTGCATTCCTGAAACTTCCAACAGCCGGAGGAGACGGCGAGGCGCCTGGTGCCTCAAGGGGTGCATCGCCCAGCTCCAGCCTGCGAAAGCTAGAAGCCACGGATGTTTTGCCAAAATCTGTCCAACACATGAATAGTAGAATTGCGGCAGCATGACATCGTGATTCGTGCTGGGTACATGGGCAGATGCATTCAGACAATTAGTGTTGTGCCGCCTGCCTGCTAAGTACCTCTGACTCCTCCTAGCAGATTGATTGAAACTTCTCAGCAACTTCTCGATTTAGAGTTAACACACAGAAAACATAAACAATAACAACACATTCGCAAAGATGTGCAAGAAAACGATGAGGAATACAAAACGACAAGCACAAGAGAATCATGCGCGTAGTTTGTAGTTTGTACAAAGCGAGGTGGCTAACAGAGATAGCATGAGCGAACAGAACGCAGAAAGCTCTTCTCACCTGCATGTCCTATCTGTTTTGCCTGCTTTTTACCAAACACATCTTACAGTTGTTTTTCTACGCATGTCTTCGAAAATCCCGAGTTGCCCACAGCTAGTTTGAATTTGTTGCAGACAATTGTGGATTGCACGTGCCACATTCCTGTCACGGATTCCGCGTTGTTTGCCCTATTTGTTTTCCCTATTTGTTTTCCATTTCCCCTTCTCCATCATTTGCCAATACCCTTCGGGTTCAGTACTTACTTCACAAAGTCCACAGGCAACTGAACGCACTCTCGGCGCCCGGCAGGGAGCTCACTCCCAGGATCAAGTGCCCAGGTTCGTGCACAATAAGCCTGGCACAATGCTGCCCGACTACATTGAGTTTACCCCCACACGATATCAATGTGCTGAAAGCATTTCTCCTTGAAAGGACGAACTGCCCTTCCAATGTGAGGCCACAAGAGCATAGTACGACAGGAGTGGGATTCATGTCATGCAAAGTCTGAGAGTCTCAAGCACTTGGCAGGGTTGCCTATCTAAGTACGCCACCGCCTCCTCGCACGCATTCGGGCATACTACGTGGGTCGCAAAGCGGCGGTTTCTGCAGTTGGTGCAACGAACCAATTCAGCATGCTGGAACAAGATTCCTCTTGCTTACTACCTGGTGGCCGATTATCTGCAATGCTAACCTGATTGTAACGTACTCTTCTTTGTAGCAGCAAGCTCGTGATGTTATGAGCTTCCATTGCCTGTGCTAGTGTTATGTATGGTATAATGGTGCGACCTATAGTTCTGCTGCATTCTGCTGTACTCATTCCTACTACTCCTCATAACCTGACTATGAACATATTGACGGTACCGGTACTACACAACAGGAGAAGCAAAGGCGCAGTCGCAATAGTATTGCTACTATGACTACTATGACCAATAGCTGCACTCTCTTAGTTATACTGTTATACTGTTTAGCAGTCGTCGTCGTAGCAGTAGCAGTAGCAATAGCAGCAGCAGTAGCAATAGCAGCAGCAATCAGGTAGCCACAGCAGTGTCGTCGTCCTCCTCCTCCGCCTCGTCAGTAGTAGTGGTGGTGGTAGTTGAGTAGCGCTAGTCGTAGTAGTGGAAGCAGCAGGAGTAGCGGTACTGGTCGTGGTAGTTGTGGTAGTAGTGGCAGTAGTGGTAGTGGTGGAAGCAGTATATTGTAGTAGTAGCAGCACCAGCAGTAGACGTAGGAGTAGTAGTAGACAGTATTTAGTACCAAGTGTAGAGGCAGCAAGGAGGAAGCAGTAGACGCAACTGCCGCGCTACCGGTAGGATGAGGAGGAGGAGGAGGATTGGCAGTAGCGGTGGATACTATTAGATCCTAAAACAGTCAGATAGAGCTGCAGCCGAAGACCTGCCCCGACGCTGACTAACTACGCAATTGGCTCCGTGTCTTTGAGGCCCTCATCGATGCCCTCAAGCGCCAGAGCAAACAACCTGCAGGACAGGATGGACGAACGACCATGTGAGCCCAAGTCTGTAGCCTTGACTTGCAGGTCGACTGCGACCAGCGAGACCCGTCATGCACCTGGATCTGAAGACGTCTCGGCCGCCACCGGTGCCACCAGTTACCAGCACACGGCCTCGGCGTCCATCCTACCATTGCATCGTCTCACAGTGCTGTAGCTAGCACTTGGGCCCTCGCTGTCCTCCAGCTGGACGGCCTGAACGCACAAATGATCACACACTTGTGTGTAGATGCATACAGAAACCCTGTCCATGGTAAGCGCGCAGGTCGGAATACGTCAGCCCTGTGGACATGACTAATAGGCTCCGACTTGGAGCGCGTTGCTCCGGGCTAGGCGTGGACTTGCCGACTGCGAGTGCAAGTGGCTGAAGCTTAGCTTACCTCAACACCGCCAACCTGACGTCGCAGTGTACAGTGATGTACACAGAACCCTCCTTGAAATAGCCAGAGTCAGCTGAAGGCGTCTCGGCAAGCTAACATCCGTCGCAAAGGAGCGTCAGCTCTCTTCCATGATTTCCATGCCATCAATGCAAGGATTGCCTGACTGCCTCGGAGTCCTCTTGGAAGGCTACCCTGTCGAAACCTCAACACACGCCGTGCCTGTTGGCCGAAGCGATCGGCGACGAACGCCCAGGCATGCTCCGGAAGCTGTCCCCAGGTTTGACCGTCCTGTCTACCAAAAGCTACAGGCAGACGGAGTTTGGGCTGTAATTGATTGTGCTCAGAACTCACATCTCCGTGAAACTAAGCAGGACTCGGCTTTCAACTGCTGTTTCAAGACCCCACAGTCTTTCTGGGCTTGGTGAAACACCTGGGATACTAGACCTCGGCTTCAGTACCACAGCAGATGCTGCAATGTTACTACATTTACGGTGCTGTCGACCCGAGTGAAGCAGTCGCCCATCATGCAAGCTCCGTATGTGCGACCGATGCCGCACCGCTAAGCAACTCGGGGGGTGGGAACGCGCGAAGGACTCGAGCATGAGTCCCAATGGCAGCCACGGATCCAATATGCTACTGCTAATGCCACCACAACCAAAGTCAAAGGACACCAAGCTCGAGCGTCCTCGGAGAGCCACGCATCCGACAGGACCTAGGGAGGGATCGGAAGGCATTGCCGCGGTCTCGGTGCGCTCTTGAAAGCGGCTGGGCCTATCATGAACCCTGGGGCAAGAAGATCGAGCAGAATTCCTGGCAATGCTAAACACTCCAGGCACCCGGGCTTGGCCGCTGCTGGTCACGCCGCCAAAGATGGCCAGCTGCCCCCTAAAGGGCATCACCTCGCACTGAAAAGCTTTGAAAGAATCTGCTGCACCCTTGACGCAGCACGCCGTGCTGCAGCCCACCTGATGAAGTGATCGCTCAGACCAAGGGGCGCCCTGGAAGTGCTTCCAGGGAGACTCCTGTGGCTCCGCTACTGCAGTCATTGTCATGTTTGACTTCCTTCTGCCGCCGCCGCTGCCGCTGCCGCCCCCAGCAGATTTGCTTGGCCAGACTTCGTGGGTCATGATCCAGCAATCGTTGAAGGAGTGCTGCTCATCGGCACCGCCAGTTATCCAGATCTCGTTGCGGAACTGGGTCAAAGCGAAATTCCAGCGAGGGCTGCATGGAAGCGGGTCCAGCTCAAACCAGGAGAAGCCACCCGAATCCGAGGCCCAAACATCCTTGAAGGCCTTGTTGCCGGCACCGTTGCCACCCATCAGCAGTAGGTGAGGCGTGGGCACCTCCTTCACCTGCAGAGATACCACCACTGCCCGGTGGCCGTATCGGGCAGACCACCTTGGACAGGGAAGCTCCTGCCAGGTCTCACCTTGATCTGAAGACTGCCAGCCATCCCGCAGACGCCGATCCTCATCGCCAACACCTCCCAGCAGAATCAGCTTGTCCTCCCAGCAAACGACCTGGTGCCCACTTCGTGCTGGCCATGCGGGCGTGGGCAGCTCTTCCCACGTCTGGCCATGATCCTGCGACACCCAGGCGTCCTGCAACGGCTTCAGCTTCTCTGTGCTGAACCCGCCAATGACGAAGATGCGGTCATTCTCACGCACGACCTGGTGGCCTGAGCGGGCAGGCCAGGGAGGTGCTTTGGCCCGCTCCCATGCACTGGCCGGTGCCAGGTGCCGGCAGGAGGCGAAGTGCTGCTGCAGCGCATCCGCGGCTTTGGAATTCACGTGCTGCGAGAGTTGCGCCATGGACATGCGCACAGGAAAGCGGAAGATAGCCTGGTGCCACACCTGTGAAGTCACCAGCTCTGCCATGATGCCCGCGGAGATCGACCTCTTTCCAGCACCTAGGCCACCTGTGATGACCAGCCTTCTCTTTTGCTCCAACTCCTTCCGCACCAAGTATCCCATCGTGCTTTCTAGAGCCTGCATTGTTTTGGGTGCTTCCTTCTTCGGGGCCCCGGGCTGCTCAGCATCTAGAACATCCGAAGCTGCGGCTTCCTCGGGCTTGGCAGCCTCCTCTGGCAGGTGCTCTCCCGTGGGCGCCGTCGTGGGCCCTGCACTTTCGGTGCCTTCTTCAAGAACGCCGTTTTCTGTGCTTGGAGCCTTTTCCCCCAAGATTTCCCAGGGCAAGTCGTCTGCATGGATGGATCTGAGCTGCTTCGTGACAGGATCTGTTGACCAGCATTCATCCAGTCCAAAGCGGATCATCTGCACTTGTGCCGCTGCTCCTTCGCTGTCCAGCCCCCCGTCCTCGGGCGCACGCCAGAGCTTGTACCTGTCTGAAAGCCAGCTCGGCTCCTCGATCTTGCCAGACACCACGCCCAACCTCGCTGCCAAGCATACGCTGGCCCACAAAGCCAGCCGCTTGCGCTCAGGAAAGTGCCGGGTGCGAGCCGATGGTACCATCTCAATGGCAGTGTCGAGCAAAGCCCAAAGCATCTGAAGACCGGGCTTCCCCAAAACAACGCGTGGCTTTCCCGAAGAAGTAGGTTTCGTGAGTCTAGTGTGCCAGCGCACACATCGGCAGACCCGCCGAACGAAGGACCACACAAAACGAACATGCAAGCTCGCCTCCGCAGGTGGCGCGGGGGGCGCCAAGTGGTCGATGTTGTCTTCGGGAATGCCTAGCACATGCCAAGAAGCAACAGATTCATCAAAACACTGGCACACGCAGATGGCGGCCACTTTCCATGCCAAGGAGCTTGCCAAAACCATACACAACTCACGAAGATGCTTCTGGTCCGCTGGGCTCTCCAAAGGCGCGAACAGCAATACTCCTGACCTGACAATCACGGGAAGCAGCATTGCGGCAGAGAGAGAGAGGGTGAGGGCAGGAAATGTAATCATCCAGTGTGTGAACGAACAGGCTGTTTGAGAGAGTAAACTCTGTAGATGCTTGTGATGAAAGCATATGAAAGCCACAGACGGCGAGAGAAGAGCAGACTAGCAGTGGCCTGGCCAACGTACCTATCCATCTTGAGCCAGGCAACAGCAGCCAATGCGCCAGACGCGCAAAAACGTGACGGCATCGAGCATCGTTCTCAGCAGGCGGCATGGCGACAAACCGCGGCATCGACGAGTTCGCACTGCATACGGACAGCCTTAGCTACAAAGATTCAGGAGGCCATGGACTAAGCTGCCGTACAAGGGCAAAGACCCAAGGCCACGAAAGGGATCCTGGAAGCCATGGGGCCATGCTTGTCCATTCGCGTCCTGCAGGATGCAGTCGAAGTCGATAGGTGCCGTGCTCTTGGAGTACCACGCAGCTAGATTCCATTTGGACCCCGTGCTCGCCATTTGGCCATGGAACCACGTCAGAAACTGTGAGGGCCGTGTTTGCTTCATGCCGGGAATGAGATCCGAAACAATCTTGGTCAGCTCCGCCATCGCGACACCGTCGGTTGTCGGTCCGCCAAGCTGGCTCTCCACAAGATCAGAGCCCATACCATCGTAGTACTCCACACCAAGATGGGGGTGCGTGTGGCCCATGATCATGTTGTCGACATTGTTGAAGACTTGTGCCAAGTTCAGAGTGTGTTCCTCGCAGACATCGAAGGGTTGAGCTAGGATCCAGCTGCAGACAAGCTCGCTGGCAGCCAGGGCCGAGTTGGCCACAGTCCCCTCCATGTCTGACAGAGCTTCGCCGAACTGCCTTGAAAAGCTCCGCACATCTGTGGGAGCCCCAAGGTTTGCAATGGCCGGCAGCAAGCAGCAACCACCTGCAAGTGGTAAATGCATGATGTCGTGCAGCCAATTGGTTTCTGACATTTGGGCTTCTCCGGGGCACCATGGGCCGTAGGCTTCGCGGAAGTATGGGACCCACTCCGCCTCCTCCTGCAGAAGCTCCGTGGGCCCAACGCGTAGGAGGCAAGGCTTCGAAGGCTCTGCACCGCAAGCGACGGCGATGAGCAGCATGACATCAGTGTCCTCCTGCTCATCTCTTTCAGGGCCCTGGGGGCCCCCAGGGCCCTGACCCTGCAAGAACTGTGCCAGCGTCGGGGATGCAGGCTCGGACTTCTGGCCACGCTCGGAGCCCTTTCCTGTCATGGATCGACCTGGGCTCATGGACGGCGAGGAACGGACCGATGGCGAAGGCTGCAATTTCTCAGGCGCCTTTGTGCTGTAGGAAACTCGCTGAAGGCTGAGTTTCGAGTATCCAGCGACGAAGGGCAGGTCCACTAACTTCTCAAGCAGCTTGCGAGGAAGGTTCTGCCCGGACGTGACCTCGATCCCTCGAACTTGCACTGACTTCGCTACGTTCTTTGGCTCCACCTCGATGGTATCCACTTCCACAGCTTCGACAACTGCAACCTTCCCCTTGGGGTTCTTGCTGTTGCCTCGTCCTTTGCCAGCGGTACTCGTCTTTCTTTTTGGTGCGGCCTTGGACTTGGCCTCAGATTTCTCCGCATTCGCCTTGCCCTTGGCATTCTTCCCTTGCGGGGTCGAAGGGGTCTGAGGCCTGGCAGGTGGCACGGTATTCTTGTTGGGCACCGGAACCTTCGGCGGCATCTCCAGAGATTCCCCCAGAAAAGAGCCTCAGCGCCGCCAGCCTTCGCAAGCCCGGAGTCTGAAGATCAGAGCCATGGCCCCCACAGCTCGGCTTCTCGGCTTCTGCTTTCGGACCGTGAGCTGAAGTAGCGGGTAGAGTCGGCTAGACTGCGGCTAGAGTCTAGAGGGTCTGGAGTAGGCCCCAGGCTCTACGAGGTTTCCAGGCTGTCAGAAGGTAAGCGTCACTTTCTCTGTACACCCCACATGCAGTTCTCTGAGAAGCAACATACAAGCAGGAACATTCAGGGACGCCAAGAGGGACGCAAGCTCTGCTTGCCGATCGAAACACGAATGCGGGGCCCTGCTGTGAGAGCTGCATCAGGTCTAGGAACTGCGTCTCCAGCTCCTGGGACAACACAAGCGGTTGCTTCACTGTTATCCCTCCCACGTTCATCCAGGTTCTTACCTGTTTAGACAATCGTCAACACAAGAGAATCGGAGAACCCCAATCAAACAAATCTTGCATTGTAGAGTAAACTCGCAGATGGAGAGCATACGCTACACACCTCCAGCTCGACTGCAACGGCTTTGCATTACGTGCCTGCAGCCCTCGTCTCACGTTGGCGTGTACACGCTGCACCTCTAGAATGCTGGCAAGGCCGAGTGGGCTTCATGATGCCTGTTCTTGGGTGCTTCATTGGGTCACACCACAGCCAAGAGCATTGAATTCCTGCATACCGGTGGAGACAGACCCCTGCCACACTGACTTCTTCGGCCAAACTCCCACAAGAATCGTAGGTTGCGAAAGCCTCCGTATGACAGAGCAGACTCAGAGATGAGATAACACATCCTGAACCATCACTTCCCCAGGCACAAACCCCGGCCCTCTCCCAGCTTCGGAAAGAAGCGCGTCACGCTCCACCATCAAGGAAACTGCCATGTACGACCCGTTGCATGTCTTGCCTGTCTTGACCCTTGATATAAAGGGCCTCCTTGGTCAGGGCCGCCGACCATGCCTCACACAAGGCCAGCTCTCGTCTCACAACGAAGGAGTCCCGGAGACGGGGGCCTCCAGAGCCAAGTCCATGTCGACTAGCTTGGGCGTGGTGCCGGGCTCAAGCTCGACTGCAAACGTAGTCCTGTGACGGCAAAGAACCCCACAAACCAAACTCTGCCAATCGCTGATCCTTATGTCGATAGCTACGCCTCCTGTATCTTCATGAAACGGAACCAGCCAAGAGGTTGAGGATTAGGCGGTGGCACGGCGGGCGGCAGCCGTTCTGAGGTGTTGCGGGAGACGCCTCGCCCAACAGTGCCGATTTGAAGGTGCGATTGTTGCAAGGTCGAGTCAAAGGCTCCAGACAACTTGGACGTATTTATGTGCTCTCCGCCTAGTTTGCATTGCCTGGGTCTGGTCGCAGACTTGCACTCAGTCTAACGTTGCAAGCTTACGCTCGCGCATGGTCATCAAAGCCTTGATGCGGATGACGACGGACGCAGCTTCAAGCAGATATTGAAAGTGAAATTATATTCGCGGCCTCTCGAAAACTACCCCGATGAAAGAACATTTCTGGACGACTCCTGCACGTCTAAGGTCCCAGCTTTGTGTCCGTGTGGACCTGGTTCAAACTACTCTGCTGCTGGTAATTATGGTTCACGTAGGTTCGGGTCTCTCCCTTCCTTCTCATTCAACCTGCAGACGTAGAAGCGGGGTGGTGTTGCTTGCACAGTGAAAGGAACACTGGCCATACTGGCTGATCTGGGGTCAAGAGTCCTAAGCTGCTCTGATCAGATCATATTCATGATGCTTCAATAATGTACAGTGTACCTTTCTGTTTGCCTGCTCGTGATAATGTTGTAGACACCGCCTCGGTGTCCCGTGACTCCGCTCGCCTACGTCCCCTGCGCGAGCTCAGGAAGTGCACCGTACTGCACAAGGCCGGCGAAGCTTTCTTCGCAAGGACTGGCAGCACACGATTAGCCGTGAGCACACAGCAGGTTGCCATGCGGCTCACCAGGTTGGGGTGAAGACGGGCTTGGCGAGCCCAGCTGCCGTCCGTATTGGACGCGCCGCAGAAAAGTGCCAGCCGAGCCCTTGCCGAAAGTTGAAGGAGCTCAGAGTCTATCAGAATCTGCAATCCATCCGACGGCGTAATGATTCGACAGCGGCAAGGGGCACCGGGGCACCCTGTGGACCGAAGGCCTCCAAGCCGATCCAAGGTCTTGCGGTCCTCCTCGGGCATTGACAGCATATTCCACGGTCTTCTCTGGCAGACGTATTGCCTTCAAACAGTATCGATACAATCCAAATATGCTGTCAAGTCCCGAGGAGGACCGCAAGGCGGTATTGACAGAGGCAATTCTGTTGAGAAGGCTTGATCACCCGAACGTAGTAGAAGTCCTATCTGTCGTGTTGGAGAATGGCGCAACTTCCGGCTTCACCATGCAGCAACTCGGGGAGAGCCTTGAAAAGGCTCGTAAGGCGAGGAAGCTGAGTGGCCCACGCCTGGCCAAGGCCTTTAGGCAGACCTGCACGGCCGTGGCCTATATCCACAGTGTGCTGGTAGCACACCTGGATATTAAAGCGTCCAACATCTGCTTTGCAAGCGCCTTGCCCTGCAGCAACATCAAACTGATCGACTTCGACTCAGCAAAGGAGCTGACGAAGGCCGAGGAGTTGCTGGATCGATTCGTGGGCAACATTGCTGGCTCAAGCTGGGAATTGAGACATCGCCAGCCCTGCCGCGCTCTCGCAGAAGATGTGCACATGACAGGCCACATTTTCTGAAGAAAACCAGCCCCTCAGAGCAGCTGCGAGCTCGCTGCAGCGTGCAGCGCAAAGGCCATCCTTGCAACCAGTGGTAGAAAGCTGGGGCACAACCCTGTTGAAGCTGCGGTGGAAGCTGAACCAGAGCCGGCAGAGCCACACGACAGATAGGACTTCTACTACGTTCGGGTGATCAAGCCTTCTCAACAGAATTGCCTCTGTCAATAGCGCCTTTCGGTCCTCCTCGGCAATTGACAGCATGTTTGGATTGTATCGATAGTGGCCGGGGAAGCGTGCGGCTTTGGAAAAAGCCATGCCGGTTCAGGCCACCCGTCGGTATGTTGAAAGGGTCATGCCATCTAATGCCGAGGATGATGGACTGCCATCGGCCGTGAGAAAGACGGATGTGAGCAAGTTTAGCAGATGGCTCATGATGCTTTCCATGTATGAGCCACCAGCGGCCGCAAAAGAGAGTCGGCTGCCAGCTGTGCATTCAGTTGTTGATCGGCTGCCAGTAACTTGAGCTTCCAGTCAAGCAGTCCAAGCTTTAAGCTGACGGTCAACACCAGACTCACCAGACGTGCATCAAGCTGCCGACGAGTGACCAGCATCATGAGCATCATCTGCGTCAAATTTACCGGCATGCAGCTGGCATCATGAGCATCAGCTGTGTTCCATGGTCTAAGCTGCCCTGCGCATCAAGCATCAGATACAAGCTGTCGACAAACCAGCATCATGAGTCAACTGCCAGCCGATGCCGACACAAAACATCTTTGCGGCAGCATTTTCAGGCCATGCCGAGCAGCAAACTGGCGTGGTTCAGCCTTTCAGTTTTCTGTGTCTGGCTGGGTACAACTCGAATGACGATCCACTTTTCCCCTCCGTGTGTGACAGCCGCCCATGTTGAATGTGTCGTCCGCGAACATGAAATTCCTTGTCGGACAATTTGCAAACCGCTCCCCGAACAACCACCATAAGTAAATGCAAGGGGCGCAGGCTGTTTTAATGATGTTGGTCATCAGGTCGCACCTCCGCTAATGGATCATATTTTGATTACCGAAAACTTGGGGGGGGGGGTGGGGCAAGATGACACCTGCAAGACCTGATTTAGGACCAACGAACAAGTATCCCGGCATAGGCCCAACCGATCGACGCGTGCCCCTGTCCGGATGACTTGACTGACAGTCGATCTGTTCGTATGCTACTGGACAATTTTCTGATAGTCCGCACTCCCCGGCAAATCAAAACGACTCACTTTGAGTGCCTCCCGTTCCAGTGGTGTCATTGCTATCATCATCATCATCATCATCGCCATCATCATGATCATCGTCAATCATACATTGATATCACCACATCTGGGAACCGTCGACATCTGGGGACCGTCGTCATTTGCGGTGTAGTACAGTATGCTGGCGCAGGTAATGATCATGATAGCATTATGACTCTGATTGTTCTCCCGACACCATGTCGCCATCAGCATCACCCGGGCCATGCAAGCATTCAACATCATCGAACTCTCCCGCAAGGCCAAGCCCCGGGCAGCTCCCGCAACGCATCGTTGCATCGCCCCGCAGAGATGTCTTCGAGGCGCCTGGCTCTGATGGCGGCTGGGAGGGATGATGACAAGCACTGCAGTGCAGTGCATGGACAGAAGGGTGGAGGGCAATGCTGCGAGACCGCAGAGGCCCATGACAAGATTTGATAAGCAGGCGGAAACCCGAGGGCGCCCGGGCTACGGCCATCGATGCATGTACCGCACACTTGGGGCCCGGCTTCTTGAGAAAGTAATAAGGTATGTAGGTCCTCAGCTGTCAAGAATCCTTTCCCGTTCGGTTTCGTACTGGAGACGGCGGAAGGCCGAGGCCTCGGCCCCCGCCACTCGGGGAGCTGATATTCATCCAGAAGCTTCGAAAATTTCATCTTCAACACCGGGCCAAGCTGGGGTTAGTTCAGTGGCACTTGCACACCTGGAGTGGGATGTGTGGTTAATGCTCTAAGGCTGCTGAGCGACACGGAGCTGTAGCTGATACGGGTCTCCTACCTCTACGCATGCACCAACACAAGCATACACTCTCGTCCTGCATGAATGCTGCCTCTGGCCTCGGCAGGCTTGTCTGTATACGAAGTCTTGGTCATGTCTAGCTCTTATGCCGTGTATATCACCTACTGGCTCTTATGCCCAAAGTCAAGGCTGCGGCGTGCAGGGCGCATGTTCTAGCAAGGAAGCGCAACGACAAAATTATGTTTAAGTCGGTGGTGGAACGCTGAAGACCGCAAGCTGCAAAGCCTCGCAAGATCATTCGCGGACTATGAGATTCGAACGAGCCCACAAAAGCCCAAAGCATCAAGAGCCGGGGTAGTCGCGAGGAAAACCCCGAAGCGGCCAGAGGACCAGAAGCAAAGTCTCCCGGAACGGCCCGGAACCCTCTTCCCGGTCAGGAGTGGCTGTGGGTGGGCCGGGCACCATGGGCCCTTTATGTACATCGGCGCTGCTGCGGAGGATCTGCGCAAAGCCTGGGCCCAGGAACCTGCAGGGAGATCTGTGGAAAGCAGGTCAGGAGGGCTTCCACAAGCCTGCCGAAACAACAAGCATTTCTAAGATTTTGCTGGAGATCATGGCTACCCGGCTAGCCCAAACTTTAGCCTGCCAAACTTTGGCTCGCGACACCTACGTTTGATTCGTCTTTTGAGGTAGCCTGAAACACTGCCCATTGCCATCCACAGGCTTGCAAACCTGTACAGAAAAAGATGGGCAGTCACGACAAGGACTGCAGCTACCTCTAGCGGTGGTGGTCGTCGTAGAAGATATGGAATGCCATAGAAAACCTTAAGTGCGACAGTGCAGCACTTTTCTTGCCACAAGCGTGATCCCAGTCGAGCCAGAGAGAACATGGGCCCAACCAAAAGCCGCACAGGGACTGGGCACCAACAAAGATTTGGCAGCCCGGCCGTGGCAAATTAAATCGGAGGTGCATGCATGCAGCCGCACCCGAAAACTGCGGACGGGTGAAACAGCAGACATGGGTGTCATGCTCTATGGAATGCCTGCAGTGGTAGCGACTGCAATCATCAAAAGTCGTGCTCAAGTGGCTATTGCTTTTCTGGCCAGGGCGTGTACGGCCTCGGTCGCGAAGTAGTGTGCAGCTGCCGAGTGGGCAACATCCAGCGCAGTTCTCCCCAGATCATCCTGCACCGTCCGATCCACGCGTGAATGGCCCAACAGCAGCTCGCAGGTGCCCCGCTCCCCATTGCCCGCAGCGAGGTGCAATGGTGTGTCACCCGCATCATCGCGAGCATTGGGGTCCACTGCATCGGATGATAAGAGAAGCGAGAGTGCACTCAGTTTGCCGAGAGCAGCTGCATAGTGGAGCAAGGTTCGGCCCATGATGTCTGGCGTTTGTAGTGTTTGGGGCTGGGCAGAGGGAAACACACTGCAAAAGCTTGCCTCATCGATGCTAATCATGCGGACCAACAGGGACTGCGCGGCTTCCACCTCGTCGGTGTTCTGGAGTTCTTGCAACCTTTGGATGGCCTCCTCAACATGTGGGATCTGCTTGATGATGCGCCCCGGCGGCCTTTGTGGCAAGCAGTCCATGGATGGGCAGGCAGCTGGCGTAGCGGAAGATCACAGCTGCTAAGCCAAAGCTTCGAGATTGACATGTTCGACATTCAAGTCTGTGGCGAGCCTGTGTCGTTTGAACAGTTTTAGGCAAGTTGTGCTACGGAGCATCGAGCTGTCGGCTTGGGTCCCGACGCGAGGGTCTTGCCACTCCCGCTCTTGGCGATGCCAATCAGGTCATGACCAGCACTGAGGATGGGCCAGCACTGCGCCTGGAGCACTGTTGCAAGGCCCTCAGTCCCGACAGACGCTTCGACCCGCAACTGCGAAGTCGCCGTGCAACTACGGCCACTTTCAGCCGAACCTAGCAGTTGGCTGTGCATGCCCGGATCTAGTGTATCCGTGAGTTGGAGCAAGCTGAAGAGAAAGCAGGTCACCGTGTAAGGCCTCGAAGCCCCTGCCCTCCCGTCTACTCCGAACCTGAAATCTCTTCCAACGTAAAAACCCCGCCAAGGATCCTCATTCCACTTCGAGCGACTTCGAAAGAATCCCCAAAAGGAACTCCACTCCTATGGCGGCCCAACCCCGTACATTTGGTTAGTAGGGAATGGAAGAATGGTAGTAATAGTAGTTATGATTGTATCCCACTCCTCCATTCCCTACTAACCCAAGGCAAGATGCGGGCCACCTCCTTATTTGGGGGTTCTGATAGTAAGGATCCTACCATATTTAGGGTACCATATTACGGTCCCCTATTTCGAAAACCCCCACCTGGATCGGCGTCGGCTGCTGGAACTTCGCTTCCTGGATCTCCTGCAAGACTTTGGCCGGCAAGGCGGCAGCCTGCCGTGGAGTGGGACTGCATCGGTCGCTGAGTCTGGCACTATGTAATATTATGTATATATATATATATATATATATATATATATATATATATCATAAGATATATATATATATATATGATATGATATACCTTATGATATATATATATATATATATATAGTTATAACTATATAGTTATATACATATATAAGCATGCATGCATGCATGTAGGAATGTAGGCATGCATGCATGTACAGGTAGATAAACAAACGAATAGGTACATAGCAAACAAAAATGACATGAGTGCATAGACTACATGACACAGAGATCTGCATGTTCCAAGAGCGCCTGTGAAATCTTCGCCCAAACACGTTGAAGCATGTCCAACATCGCCAGTACTAAGTGTAGGAAGTGCTTAAACTTAAAATGTTGTTCTCATTCGCATCATCGCGGCTGTTAAACCTGCTTAAAATGTCCGTTTAAAAGCCTGACGCGAGCTTGACATGCTGTACTTCAAATCTGCCGCCAGAAATGCAGCGAATAGACCTTCTGACGCGTAAGTTTGTTGAAACACTCTAAATAGCTGGCATGTACAGCAGACTTCGTAGAGTAGCGATCTCTCTCTGTTGCGAACCTGAAGCCGAATCCCTCTCAGCAGCGTGAAGTGTCAACGCTCAGCGGCAATCCGACAGAGATCCCCGCAGCAAAACACTCACACATACGAACCTGAAGAAGGGAAGTCCAGTTCCTGCCGGGGACCGGACAGTGAAGTCCCGAATTGGAGTCGGCACATTGCCGCTGAATGTGCTGATCACCTCCAAGCCGGTTTGCGAGTCCGTTGCCGCAGTCGTAGCCATACGCATCACGCACGGTCGGGACCGTCACACGATTCGCGCAGAACTTCTTGAACCTGCAACCTACTGACCTACTGGCCCTGGTCCAGTTCTCGACACGACGACTTCTGGTCACCCCTACTTTTGCGAAGGAAGACACGGAAGAAAGATGAGGCGGCACACAGATGCTCAAGCCTTCATCTCGTGCTGCCGCCGATACTCCTGCAGCACAATTTCATATGTCAGTGCATGTATCAAAAGTTTGGTGTCACAATAGAGGCATGTCCGCAAGGTGATGGCTGATAAATCACAGCCCTCCCTAACCCCACCCCTCAACCCCTTGTCGGCACTGTCGTTGCTGGAAGTGTCTCTAACTCAAGAACAGCATACACTAGCTCAGCTGGAATGTTCCGTGAAAAATACATGTACCGGGATCCCTACTGGACCTTCTGACACAGCCATTCCCGCTCCAAGTAAATTAGCCAGGGAGGAGTGATGCAAGGCAACTTGAAAACCTCGCCATGATGAGCGGCACCTGGGCAGTCTGTGCGTCTTGGGGACCAGAAGTCCACCTGCGCTGGAAGCGTTCAGTTCTCTGAGCCTTCACGGCACAACGTGACCACAGCGATTATCTAGTGAGATCCCACTGCACCAGTAGAGATAGCTACAAGTAGCATGGCAATGGGGCACCAATCATCATGTGCCCTGATAGCGTAGCAGTCCTCGTATTGGAAATGCTTGGCGACGCACAGCCAGGTGCAACCCACACTCGTGGCACACTCCGCGTCTTGTGACGCCGCAAGTGCAAACATGAATTTAGCTGTACAGTACAACGAGAGGACCCCTTCACTGACCACGGCGCTTCACCCCGGGCGCCACGTGGCAGACATGTTGCAGAAAGCGTGTTGCACGCATCCGCTCGCACCCGTTGCGTCAGCGCATTGGCCTCTTTCTGGTTGGAATTCGCCTGAGAGGGGACAAGCTGAGGATGCTTTCCAAAAAGACTATCTCTTCTGATGTGTTTTTCGCCATGTAGGTTGCCAAGTCCTGCGACTCTCATCAGAAACGCGTGCCCTACGTACACCCAAGGAACTCTCCATCCGAATCCAGCAGCTGGCCAAGCTGACCCTTGAAGATGGCTTCCGGGCCTTGGAACTCCCAAGATCACCTCTGTGAGGAACTCTTTTGGGAAATCTGATAAAGTCGTTGAGAGCTCGGCTGATGCCCGTAAGCCTGTATGGCTTGCCCCCGAGTCCCTCGTACCTCGGTTCTCGCTTTCCATACTTCGCCTTTCAGGCTCTTAGCTGCCTGGGTGCCCGGCTCGTTTCCGCCGTACCAGATGACGATGTGGTGATCCTTGTAGTTCCTCGGTTTAGTTACGTCGCAGAACGAGGCTAGTTGCTGATTCCTGTCAAGCCGGGTACTGTAAGGACGCCCACATCTGCGTCGAGCACTCTTTCGCGCTTGCGTGGCCGAGGCTCTCGTAGATGTGGCACGGCCGCCATTTTGAAGACGAGTCCTGCACCTCCCAGCAGCGACCGACGTGATAAGAAATTCAACCGAAGGCACCTCTCTATCCGGGTGGAGATGATTTTGCACCTTTTTTTTCTTGGTGTTGGCACTTTTTTTTGGGGCGGGGGGGTGGGGCTGGGGGTTTTGGGTTTAGGGGGGAGTTACCTACGTTCCCGGGTTTCGGTTTTGGGGGGGAGTTGCCTACGTTCCCATAGGAAAACTTCTAGTTTGTTTATATTCCCCTAGTAAAACCGTCTTTTATTTAGTTTCAAGGTGGAAAACCAGGACAAGGCTTTTTTTCTTCTTTCCTTCCTTCCGTTTGCCCTGTTTTTTTCCTTTTCCGTCCTTCCCTTCTTCATTCCTTCCTTCCTTGCCCTCCACGGAAGGGCCAAAAAAATATCAAAGGGCCAAAAAATTGAGTCCCCCACCTCTCTCCAAGCCTTTGCGGTCACCAAGGATCATGTGCATTGCAGGTATTGCATTCACTACACTGAACAAGGGATGCCCTCCTGCACGTCTCTAGGCTCGCCTACGTTCTGGCCACCCTTTCTATGTCATGGTTCCGCGAGTGGCAACCGAGGTGTGGCACTCCCATGAATGAACTGCACAAGTAATCGTCCACGCTGTCTGTCAGTTCGGAGTTAGCAGACGTCGGGCCTGCATCCGTCTTTTTCAGCATCTTGTTCATGCGGATCTTACCCCAACCGAAACTATGCCACGCTCCCCACTACTCTAAGCATGCACATAAACAAGAGCTGCCATTCCATAGCATAAATCCTGCCAAGAAAAAAGCTGCTCTCAAGACAAAGGTACCTTTCATGAGTCGTCCGAAAAGTGAGGCATGCCAAATTGGCAACATGTCCACTAGTTCCCATATGCAGTACACGCAGCAGCTATCCCGTGCTTTTGCTGACACCAGCAACAATAGCAACGAGGGCTCAAACGATTCCAAACCATATCAAGCCTGGGGAGCGCCGACAATCCAAACCCCCCCCCCCCCCCCCCCCCCCCCCCCACCCCCCGAACCCAACATTCATTATTACCAATAACCTGTACTTATTTGGGGTTCCTTATTATGATAATTATAGTATAAAGGGCCCCAAAACCCTATTCTAATTAATTATGACAACCATCAAGAACTGTGAAGCCATGCTGCAGGCCTCGAGGGAGGGGTCAGAGCGAATGCGATAGTCGCCCCTGTGAGGCATGCTGCACTTGGAGGATATCGAAACAGCTACTGCCCTCTGCACCGCAGTATTCATTCCCCACGCAGCGGTTACGATCCACCTAGCGAGAAGCACGGACTTATGTAGCTGTAGCAGTAGCAGTTTCAGTAGTAGAAGCAGAAGCAGCAGCAGGAGGAGGAGATTTTTTTATGCCCTTCGTCTGTCTTTGCGTCGGCCTTTCTTTCTTTAGTTCGTTCCATCGTCCTTTCGTTTTGGTTGATATGTCTTTCGTTTGTTTCGTTCCTTCATTTCTTGTGTTGCTTCGTCAAATATTTCGTTCGTTCGTTCTTTGGCTCTGTAAGGGCCTTGTTGTCGCTCTTTCTGCGTGGCTTTCCTTCAGTTCCATTTACTCTTGCAAGGCTTAGTTTTTCTGATCCTGGTGGATTGCTGTGATCCTTATTGACATTTGTTCTTTCGATGCCGATCCCTACAGTGCTGCATGTTCAGCTTTACGTCAGCAGTCTACAAATGCTCTAAGCCCCTGAAGCAATTACTGCCGTTCATGTTCACTTGCTCGAGTCCTAGGCCTTGGCGCCCCCTTGAGGCGCTGGCACCACAAAGAGCTGCCCCGAGGTCTTTTCGGCTGCAGCGGCTCCTCTCTGCATGGCTGCTTGCAAAGCATCACCCTCTGATTGAAAGAGCACTGCCTACTTCGTTGTTCCCACTCCTACTCCTACTTCTCATGCTCTTCCTCCTTATCCTCCTGCTGCTACCACTACTCCTAATCATACCACGACACTACTGCTACTAAGTACTACTACACTAGCATTGCCAGCACTACTACCCCGTGCCGGCAAACGAGAGCGGATCAGCGACGAAGGCTGTACGTGCAATGCTGCCAATCGTGACCGCTTGCACCACGTGACCACTCGCACCACTTGAGGGGGAGGCCAAAAAAGCCACTGTCGATTGCAGGCACCATGCGCTTCCAGCACTACAAGTACTGCTAGCAGTACTAGTACTATTAGTACTATTGACTAGTACTACTAGTACTGCTACTAGTACTCTCACCACTACTACCACTACCAGCACTACAACCACAACCACGACCACCGCCACGATCACCACCACCACGACGGCGACTTGGTTTCGGCCGTTGCTGTCGCGGCCGCCGTCGTGGTCTTGTTGTTACTGTGTGATCTTTACTTCGCATTTGTAGTTTATACCTGCTGCAACGTGCTGTAACTGTCAATCAATATCTGCAGGGACACGGTCATCCTCTCGGAGGACAGATCAACTCACGCTCGTTTTAATCTATCGTACGCTGAAACGGCTTGAGGTCCTGAGGTCTTTTCTTTGGCTGCACGAGCGGCTTTGTTGCCTAGAGGCACGGGCCCGTTCTACTGGGACTGGTGATGCACAATTGTATGCGCTTACTTCAGGATGCTTTTCTCGGACAAGCCACTCCCCTTCTTGACAGCTGTAACCTTTGGAGTGGCTCTGGGCGGCGCTTTCGGTGCTGCTTTCGCCTGCATGAAGGTCAATCAGGATCATGTTGAGAGGGATGTCTCGCTCCAGGCATTGCCCTGCATCCCTCCCGCGCTGTCAGCTTGAGGGGTACCCGGACCCACGCACTTCTCTTACATTCTACAAGTATTTGCTCGCTGTCTCCAGTATCTGTGAAGGGTTCTCCTTGCATGCTCACAAATACCTTCTTCATCTGTCAGGCACATCAGCCTTTACGCGATCTGGCTTTTTCGGCCTCAGACGGTCTGCGGATCTTCGGATCCATTCTGCACATGATGGAACCATCAGGTGCCGGCGTTTTTTCGCTTCGCTTGGCAGGCTTGGCAGGTGCTCGCTTCACCTTTGCAAGACCTTTGTCGACGTGTAGCATGAACAAAGCAAGTCAAAGAATTCAACTCAGCCCTTGGCGCTCACTCCGCCGTGTAGGTTCAACCTGACTGCCAATCAGACTCGCACCGGCGCCAAGCCAAAATTCTGAAGGATGCGCCTTCTCGAGGTTGGCCTCCCGTACACGGACAATACCACGAGTCCCTAGGTCAACCTGCAGCTGCAGAGAGTGCCAGCATTCCGCAGCATGCCGCGACAAGCGAAGGGGGCCGTGCCAGGAAGCGTCCGCCGTCTTGCTCGTTTTCCAGTCTGCGGAACTTTCCCAACCGGCCGTTCATCGATGTGTCGGACTGCAAGCCCTTCAGCCTGCGATGATCTCTTCACCCGACTGATGCATATGATGCAGCGAGCAAAGATCCATGCAGGCAGCTTTGTACTAGCAGTTGTTAGCTCATCTCCAGCAGACGGCAGATGCCTGACGGAATCTCCGTCACGTAGTATTTCGGCGAGTGGGACGGGAGGTGGCACTTCAACTTCCCTCCCGCTGCAAAGAACAATGAGTCACGGAATTGAAACTACCCGTGCCCACCGAAAGCTTGACACATGCAGAAAATTTAGCTTCCCGCTCTGCGGGGGAGTCGTCTTTGGCCACTTCTGTCGCTTCTTGCTCCTCTTCCTCTTCTTCCTGCTGTTCTTCCTGCTGTTCTGTCTGCTGCTCTTCATGCTGCGCTTCCTCCTGCTCCTGTGCTTCCTGCGCTTCTTGCTCGGCTTGCGCTTCCGGCGCTTCCTCTTCCTGCTCCTCCTGCTGTTCTGCGTGTTCCTCCTGCACGTCCTCCTCCTCAACCTCAACTTCGTCCGTCTCTTCGATACTCACCTTATCGGTTTCATCTTCGTCGCTCATGGCAACACCCTGTGGGAGAGCGAAGGACAAAGTGGCTTTGCGGCTTTGCATCGTATGGGTTGCGAATGCTGTTGCAGCTTGAAATTGCCTAGCGAGCAGCTGGCGTCAGTCACCATGTGGATATGATTCGTCCATGTTGCAGGCTCCGTTTCATGTCAAGCTAAAAGCAACTTCTTGTTCGAGCCGAAACAGGTCGGCCGACACTTCCGCTGGAACCTTCCATTTCTAGCTCGGACTGATCCAGGGCGAACCCATGCGAACCCACCGTGTATACCGTGTGCGCTTTTGTCATCTTTTGGAGCCGCGTGCTACTCCTCACCATGGCCGACACCTTCAGCATCCGAGGATTCCGGCAAGAGTCAAGGAGATCGAAGGTGCCGAGACAACGGCTGTGCCCCATGCAGGTGCTGTAGTGCCGATTAGGCTGTCCGGCAGACATGCCTGGCCTGCACAGCACATAAAGGAGACGTCTTTGGCTTGCTCGGAGCAGAGCTTTGGGGCGGACCGCAGGCGGAAGATCTTGCAAGAGCCTGGGCAAAGACAGAAGGTACAACTTCAGGAGAGAGCCGGCGGATCATCTTGAGCTTCGGACCCGGCAGCGGCTTCACGGCTCTGACGAAGCCGCCTCACATGCTGGAGCGGGGCAGCGGGGCAGCTGCCCCCGGGCATGGAAAGCAGGAGCTCTCTAGTTGTCGTTGCGGGCTTTGCAGCGGGTCGCAAAAACAAGAGCAGCTGAGCCAAAATGACCCTGTGCATAGATTCTTCGCTCACTGCCTTCGACGGTCGTGGCGCTGCGCTGGCTCGCACCCTGCATGCGGCTGCCAGACCCTCTCGCAGCTGCGCGCAGGACCTTCGAAGGCCAGGAGTCGGGAAGTCTCCAAGTGGGGGGGAATGGGTCACCAGAAGAGCACACCTCGAAGCCAATGTCAGTGATGGGCTCCGAAGCCAAGGCCTGGAGGAAAAGCGCTGGCAGGAGTGGATGAGCCGGATGAGCCGCCTTAGCCATGGGCAAACGGCCTGGCCTCGCTTGGCCCTGGCCTGTCGAAAGCGCACGCGCTCGTGGGCGTGGGCCGAGGGGGCCCCGGTGCCGTTCTGGCTGTCTGCAAAGGTACCAGGCCTTGGCTCAAGACTGCAAAAGGCGCACGAAATTGCCGGGACCCGGACGCTTTTTGGGACTTGCACCGTTGAGCCGGACAGTCTTTAGGACCTCCGAGGAGACGTGTCAGAAAGCGGTACAACCTCGATTGCGGACACTTTCGGAGCACCGAATGGCCTTGGGCGCATTCTCCGCAAAACCCCACCAGGTCCTGAAGAATTGCAAAATGTTTCAACCGCTGTCCCTGCTAACCGCTTATTAGGTGGTCTGACAGCTCTTGCACGGTGCCCGTTTAGCATGGGGACCGTCAGCGACAGCATGACAGTCCTGGCCAGCGATAATACCTGGGCCAATCGTCATTCAGAGCTTTAGACGATAATTCTATAAGTCTGACGAATAACCGCCTTTGAAACTCCAGGTTCTAGCCGTACTTCATGCTGGGCTCCCCGGCTGCGCCTTTTTCGTGTTCTGCCACCTTCCCATGCAAACCCATGCACGGCCTTCCCTCGGACATGATAATATGAACGTGACAAGATGAAGGCTCACGAGACCTACGAAAAACACTGAAGTGGCCAGTTTAGCCTGCTCACACTTTGTAAGAGGTCTACACCGCTTAACATGTAAGACCGCAGCAGCACGGGCCCCGACCTTGCACCCTGTAATCCGCGAAGTCTTCGCGATGCCGGACGGACTACCACGGCTGAAAGAGATACGGTGAGGTGATGATCCAACCCGTTTTTGTACGAATAGCAACCGTCGATCAGATCCGCTCCAATATCACAGCTATCGCGAGACGTGAAAGTGAAGCGAGAGTCTCCATCCAGGCCCCTTTTGCGGTGCAAAAATCGCCGGAGCTCCGAGAAATTTTCGAACTGAGCGGAGCAAGTCCGAGCAAGGAGGTCTGCCAAATCAGACATGCTGTGATTTCTGCAGAGCTGCTGACAGAATCGCTTTGCAGCTCAAAAGCAGCAGTCTCTGTTCACCTGGTTATGGTTGGAACAAGAACATGCTGAAATAATTTTCTGTGCGCGGTGGCCGGTGACACTTCGAGTGGCAGCACCAAGTCACCAAGCTCCCTGGCCCTGAGACACTAGGGTGCCCTATACTCGCACTATACTCATGTGACAGCAAGTTACGGTAAGAGCATGCAACTTGACAACAGCGACACCACACAACAACGTTTCATGCTGGAGTGTGCCTTGTCCAGGCATCGGAAGATGGGGATGTTCAGGTGCCACCTGCCACCATTCGGTAAAAGACACTTCGCACCAGACAGAATGACCGAGTTGTGCACCTCATGCACGAGTGAGTGCCAACATGCACTGTGACAAACATCAGACAATGCAAGTTGAGATGTATTGCCTGAACATCCACTACCAGTAGAAACACAGTGAGACATCTGCATTGCCGCTGGTTCCAGGTGCTCCCGAGGCTGCCGCATGGCACCTGGCTGACGCCCAGAGCTGGCAGAGGCACGCCGGGATCGGGAAGCACCTCTTCGGTGAGCCCTTTTGACGGGAGCTAGAAAGCTGCAGCGTGCACCCATTCGCTTTGGATCGACGTGGGTGCCTGAACCCCCCCCCCCGCCCCACGAATTAGCATGCACATTGCTTCTTTTGCGCGTCTCTGTCCGCTGAGTTGTCACTCTTGCTCACTCGTTGAAGCCACCTCGTGTTGTGAAGCCCAAATTACAACGTTAAGTAGTGTATTTAGTAAAAAGATGTGGAAAGAGTCAAGAGCATGCAGAAGTATACTGTACGGAACCGTTTGTTTGGGCAGCGGACAAACGGAGGCGACTCAGAGGCTTGATCTCGGGCCCTCCTCGGAAGACCTCGGAAAGGGGCCCAGCGCAGGGACTCGGGGACCCGGCCGGGACGCAGGGACTCGGAACCTAGGACCTAGGACCTAGAGCCGCCATCTTTTTACGAAGGGCAGCACCATCACGTCAGTGCTAAGCTCTGCCGATCGGATTCACTACTCTGATCTACTCTGCCATTTCAAGCGAGGCCAAGAAGCCTGGCCAGAACTCCGCATGCAGCTTCTCTGCCTCCTCAGCTAGGAATGGGCCGTCCACCCTGATAGGGCGCTTGCCTTTCGCCAGTGTCTCGCGACAAGAGGCCAAAAAGTCGTCCCCAGCGTGGCGGGCTAGCCCCGCCTCGGGGCATGCGTACACCACGCGGTCGATCATAAAAGACCAATATATCGCACCGCAGCACATGACACACGGCTCGGTGCTGGTAAACAATTCGAAGGAGCAGCCGTCAAAACGCTTGGACTCCCGTGCAGCGGCAGCTGCTGTGCCTAGGAGGCGAACGCCACACATCTCCGCATGCGCCGAAGGGTCGTTGTCGGTAACAACGCGATTCTCTGCGTCGATCGTCTCCAGGACACCACCGTCCGACTTCCGTACCACGATCACGCAGCCAAACGGGTGATTCCCGTTCTTTACAGCCCGGCGGGAGCACTCGATAGCGTGCCGAAGAAGCGCTTCATCGGCTTTGGACAGTGCTGCACAGGTATCGCAGCCCGCCATCTCTCTGAGCCAGGAGTGCTCCGGTGAATCCACGAGTCCACATTGCGTGAAATTCACCACAAAATGGCCACCCTATGACCTAAGCAACTTCGTGAGGCCAGTCTTGGATTTGAGGGTGCTGCTGATGCGGCACCACGTTGCAGACGAAGTTTGGGGAGGGCACCTCGTACCTGGCCGAGGCTCCCGGGAAACACTAGCAGTCACTATCACTAGGAAAGTCCAAACGTGCCCTGCAGTGCTCATTTCCCGTCCACTCAAGCTTTCCAGTTGCCAGGTTGAACCTGAAGACCGAGATGTTGTCGGAGTCCTTCCGAACGAAAGTACTGGCGTAGCTGCACACAGGACAGCCAGCATGTCCTGGTTCGCGGTAATGAGCCACTGCCCGGAGCTGTCAAACTGAAAATGCCTGGACTCGCGCAACAGCCAGAATGCTCGAAGTTCGAAGAGCAGAGTCGGGGTCGTTAGTTGGCATGAAGGGGAGCCAATCATTTAAGCCAGGCCTGGGGGTCGCTCCTCGGGTGTGCCTCGGCACGGGCGGAAGGGCCCGCTGGCTTTCTTTGGCTTTGATTCTACCGATCTGAGCTCTGGGCTGCGTCACGGCAACCGACAACAAGCCTCTGTGGCCGTGCGTGTAGTGCACCTGAAAGCGAAATGCATGCCGGACGCCCATTAAAGCGGATCTCAGGAAGCCGGGTTCTGAGCCCTGAAGACGGTGATGCTGTCGTGGCCCCGGTTCCTCGGGCGGTGCCCGGCAGCGCTTGGCTCTGGTTGGGAATCTCTTCCAGCCCAGCTGCGAGACGAGGACGAAATTCCCAGAGGAGTGCACGGCCACTCGACCGCAAGTGTTGGCCTCCTGCAAAGATGAGTCGGCATCATTACAGGACATCGGCGCTTCCAGCTCGGGCTGCGGCCCCTGGGAATGCATCTGGGATGGTGCGAACGGACCTGCACCGGATGCCATGCCAGGGCCGAACAAATCTCAGAATCCGGGATCCCGGCTGCACCAGGCGCAAGGTCGGCTGCGCCTGGGCGGCTCCCGGGCGCCCGCCTTTGATGACTGCCTGCCAAGTTAAGGAACACCAGCTCCGCTCCAGGCCTCGGATGGAAAACAGGCGCCTCCGTAGCTTCGTGGTCGAATTCGAAGACCGAAATGTCGGATGCCAGCTCGTTCACCTAAGCTCGACATCGCAGTTTCGATTGGACAGTGAGAATTTCAGTGCGACCTGCAGCGTCACAACTGTCAACTCCATCCGTCGAGGAACCCAGCAAGAGCGCATGAAACAACTCCTGGGGCGGCTGCCACATAGCAAATCGGCAGAGTCGGGTGGAACTCGATGTACCGAGGGCCTAGAGCCTTGCGGCCTGCGTGTCTGCGAGGGACCATGTCAGGAGGCTCAAGCATCAAAAGGGCTCCGACACTGCGAGTAGTGGCTTTTTCCTCTCTAGGGCTGCTCCTCGAACTCCAGTTCGGCCAAGGTCGCCATGGATCCCATGAGATTCAGATTTTGACTCACCGAGTAACGGTTGAAGACCACGTTGTCGGAGAGCGTTCTGGTGCTTTCAGCCTTGTCAATGATCTCGTCCGCCTCTGCGGAACCAAGGCTGGGCCGTCCCGAGGAGGACACGAAACGCTGAAAGTCCAAGACAGCGGCCACCGGGATTTCGTCGTCCGGCGTATTTGTTGCTGCCCTTGGCCTATCCTTGGCAGGTGGTGTGCTGAGCTTCCCCACGTCGAAGGAGGACTCCGCCGCCGTGGCGCGGCTGCCGACCCGCGCAAACTCCTTGCGCTTCGCGTGACTGGATCGAAGCCGCGGCCCGAATCCCTGCAATGCTGGGCGGGCTGCGACATGTTGAAACAAACCAGACGTGGCTTCGTGGCTTTGGGCTTAGGGGTTGGACCTTGGAGGGGAACCTGGGTGCGGAGGTGATCAGAACCCTGCCCTGAAGTCCGAATCAGAAGAACTGCCTCCAGGGCTTTCACAGGCCGCTTGGAGGTGCTGGCATCGAAGGTGACGCCTCGCCAGCCACCCCCTTTGCTGAGAGTGTACATGGCCGACAGCTGATCTGTTTGCAGCATTTGCTGGTGTAAGGCAATCGAAGACAGCGTGGCAAAGGCATGCCGCTTGGAACTGCTCTTTAGAGCCTGCACAGGCTTGATAAGGAATCCCACTGTCTCATCGTTTGCCACCCATCGACCACGGCAGTGGCTCCCAATGAGGGCCTCCGCAGGGCAAACCGCTCCGTGCGATGTCCGCAGGAGCCGCGCCGGCTTGTTCTGAGTCCCGGTCTGCACCTCGATCTGCACATCGGAGAACCCCGGCACTGTGATGAGCAGGGCATCGATGATTGCATCCTGGCCGCTGATCACCTCGTTCGTCTCAAACGTGCAAAACTCGCCGATGCCCAGCAGTTCCTGGACAGTCCCTTTTCCAAGCCATCGTTCCAAGGCTTGGATTTTGGGCTCGTTGCCGCCGGTTCGCAGCGTGGGCGTGACAGGCTGTAGCAAATCTCGCAGTGTATCATGCTCTGCATCCTCCAAGGCTTCCGACACCGAGGGTACGATCCGGCAACCATAAGGAGCCAAGTTCCAGCTTAAGAGAAGCATCTCGTCATAAGGGCTAAGGCTACAGAACACCAGAGCAACATCTTTCGACGCACACATCTGCGCCACTTTGAGGAAGTGCGAGCAGGCAGAGTCGTTCATGCCCTGGCAGGCTGCGCAGTCAATCACCAGGGTCTTGAGGTCCTGGCTGCCTCGCACAACTTCCTTGAGGTACGTCGCGAACGCGATGGCCACACCCTCGAAAACAAAACCTGTCAGCCCCACGACCTGGGTCCTGTCCCCGTACTTTTTTAGGATGCTGCGCTGGGCATCGGAGTAGAGTGCCCCGGATCTGAAGTGGATGCCGGTGACATGATACTTCAGGACCTCCAACTTCGTCAAGCGAAGCGAGATAAAGCCCACCGCAAGCACCAGCCCAAGAGCAATACCATGCGTAATGTCAGAGAAAACAGAAATTCCGACCATCGCCCAGATTACCACGGTCCCTGACCACTGCACTCTGCGGGTTACCAGGACCGCCCAGTCTAGAAGCATTCCTCCTCCCATCTGCATCAAGAGCCCACCCAGCAGAAACCGGGGCAAATAGTCCACAAGTGGGAAGCCAGAGCCCCACATCAAGAGATGAAGTGCAGAGATGATCACCGCAGTGTAGAATGCCGAACGTGGGTCGCCCTTCACCCCCTCCTCCGGCTTCTAGAAAAGGAATTTAACTTAACACGGAAACCAAAAATTACGATTATGCATCCCTATTATGGCAACTTAGACTGAATTCCTCAACAAGGACCCCGTCCTTGTTCAGGTCTGTCATTGCGGAAGTTGCATTCATCGGAACTCCGCCTACCAAGCCGCCGAAGGCTGTGGCAAGCCCCAGCTTCCACATTTCCTTGGTCTTATCACATTGTCATGCGATACTATACGCTATGATGTTCTTGATTTACATTATCGGAGTCCCTTCACTTCCGGTAGTTTTGTGCTTGTGCCCTCCAGGTGTCTCCGTCAACACTGTAGGGCTCGTCTGCCAGCGCAGATTCAATAGCAATGACTGTTAAGGCACGCATGATCGTCGCCACCAGAAGCAGAAGCAACGAATCGAAGCTCGGCATCACGTACTGAAGATCAGCCGGCCAAGACCTCGGGTCATGGACCCCTATTGCGCACACTCCACTGCCTAAGGCACCCTGTAGCGTACTTGGGCTTTGGCAGCTCACTTCGAGATCTTCGAGGGCTCCGAGTCCCGAGGGCGCGGCCAGCCGAGGAAGATGCCGACCGGCGGCTCCGAGTTGGTGCTCGCAGGCGAGAGCCAACCTAGCTCCGCCAGGTCCAGTTTGGAGTGGCCAGTCATGCCGGCCCAGCCGTAGAAGCTGGTGAGCATCCTTCATTTCCCAGGCACTCAGAACACTTGCAGCACCATTATTCCTAGAACCGACACTTTCAAGAACAAGGTGATAAGACAAATCCGGTTGCGCGATGATGAGAAGCGGAGCGCTGTTGCTGGTTCTTACCCCATACAGCTTGAGGCCAAGCACAGTGCTGGCGAAGAAGACTGCAATGACCGTGGCCAGATGTCGGGACTCGTTGTCCGGATCGCCCAAGAGAATCCTGGAAGGATGAGAGGGTCTCAGCACAGTTCATGAGCCTTCCGAGAGTCAATTCATGCTCAGGACACTGTTAGCCAAGCGGCTTGAAGGCGCCCATGATCACGGCGGCTCCGATCATGGCCAAGAAGCCGGCGACCACCGGGTAGGGCAAATACCGCAGCGAGGCCATGATCCGCGGCGTGAACCATCCACAGGCCCAGAGGACCATCCCCAGCAAAAGGGCATGTAAGTGCAGTGCCACGAAGGCTGTGGAGTGGCCAGCCTCGGCCAGGTGTGAGATGGACCGTTGCCCTGCCTGCAGGAAGAGAGTGAAAGTGATGTCCGGGCAGGTGATGAGGAAAGGGCAGTTCGAAGCCAGGTTGTGGATTAAATTTGCAAAGCCCGCGGAAAAGATGCTCGCCGAGGACAGGAAGGAGACCGACAGCTGGGGGACCCTGTGGAAAGTAATCGGCTCCATCAGATGGGCATAAGACACGCAGGAAGCCAGGCTGATGAGCGTAATCGGGGTCGCCGTGAGGAACGAAGTCAACAGCTTGGAAGCCAGACCAGTTTTTTCCACGTTGGACGCCATCGAACAAGGCGAAGGGGACGCGGCGGGAAAAAGCGCTTGTAGGAATCGATCTAAATCTAAAGCAATAAACTGCCGCCGCGAAACGATCAGAGCTGCACGGACTCAAGCAAACCCTAAAACCCCAATCCCCACGCTTCGAGCACCTCGAAGTGACCTTAACTAAATCCTCTCACTTAAGATCCCAGGATCCTTTACGCTCTTTTGGTCGCTTTGCGGCTGCGCACCTGGTGGCCCAGAAGACATGGTCCCGGCGGCAGTGAGCTCACCAGCCTCCGTTGAGCGTCTCTTGTCGGGTCTTTGTGCTCAGAGTTCAGCCGAAAAAGGATGCTTTTGTGAAGACCGCTGGCTGCTCAACGAAGACTGGGAATTGACAAGAAGAGATACAAACAAGCGAGAGGGAAGAAACGGAGGGGGAGAAAGCTGACAAAGTGTGCAAGCCCCTCGGGCTGCATGCCTCCGGATCGTAGTAGAACTGTCGGATCAGATCCATGCCTCACTCACAGAGCCAGTTTAGAGCTTACCATGAGCTTCGGTGGAATGGAGCCGGGAAGGCCGAGATCCGGCACGTAGGCGATCCGGCCTTTCCGAAAGCTCAAAGTCTCAGAGGGCTCCCTTTGATCTGACTGGCACAGGGGCAGGAAGGGCTCCGCGCCATAGAACGGGTCCAGGATCACGGCATGCGAGTGCGGGTCCGCCTGCCTCCTCAGCAGCAGATTTATCTTCTGGACACATGCTGGATCTGACGGGGACGTTGGGCTTGTTTGCTCACTTTTGCTCCAAGGCTTCACTGTGCTGGGACCTTGGCTGAGTGTAGCTGGGCTTTCGACTCCTGCTGTGCGCTCGGATCGTTCTCCGAGTGATTGACATGGGCATCGTGACGCGCCTTTCGCCGAGTCAGGTCTCTCACACCACGACGCTCTCTCGAGCGCCAACCGGGCCTTCATCGGCCTTCCCTCGTTGGGATCGAAGAGGGAGCGCCGGCAGCTCACCTGAGGCGGCGCATCTGCTCCTGCGGCTCTTTCTCGGAGTGCTACTTTGGGCCGTGATGGGCCCGTCTAAGCCCCCTGCGGCTCCCGTCGCCTTGTCCAGGGCGAAGACGCCGATCGTCGCCTCAGCACAGCACTTCCCCTTCCCCGAGGCCCCGAGGCTTCGGCTTCGTCGTTTAGTGCTTGGGGCGGGAGGTCAGCTGACTATTGGTCACGACGAGCTTGAAGTTCAATTTACCCATGTGTTCCCTTAGCTCCAACTAATCATCTTTCGCTGCAGCCGCTTACGCACTGTTTGTTGATACGATACATGCTGATGGAAGGTGGTTGTATTGTCAGAAACAGGATTCTAGCGCGCGCCAGCTTCTTCTGTTGCATCGCACAACTGCCGGACATGTTTCGAAACCATCCGCGCAAAGATAGAAATATAAAAAAAGTGTCCAAGCGTCGAATCCTGAAAAGCTGAGCGCAGGAAACAAAACGGGCTGATACCGAACCAAAATCCCGAAAGTCGCATCCAGACCAAACTGAAAGGAGTCCGAGCAGCATTCCAGTAGTTGACCACCAGCATATTCTCACATGCCTGGTGCTGCTTCTACATGTACCACCAGCCGCCACTATCGCTGTCTGTAGTATCCTAAAGCAGTTCATTATCACGGTTACCATTATCATCGTCGTCGTTGCCGGGAGCGTCTTCACTTAATGTTCAGCGTCATTTTCATCAGTGTCTGCATCACCATCATCACCTAGAGTCACCAGGCACCCTCTTCTCTCGAGGGCCTGCCTTGTCCAAGGTGATGTAACATGTGGAAGTCCCCCCAGCCTGAAGCAAACGTCTTGGGCTCTGAGGCGGCCTATTGGTTTTCTGTGGTATCTCCAGCTTTCAGCTCTGCCCCGCGCATCGAAGCTGCCGATGTTGGTAAGCTGCCCATTCTTCGGATTAACCTGACAGTGGCTAAAATCGGTACGGTATGGTACAGTGTCAAGTCGTCGACTCTGAGAGGGGCCGGCGCTCCAGGCATCGATCTTGCCGTTTTCCGCAACCGACTCCGTGCCTGCAGCGCAGCTTTTGCCTGGTGGCCGTACCGGGAAACATCTGCCGAGCTCGCTGCAGGTGTACATGACGTTTTTCCTGCCACAGACACTGGCGCGAGACGCGAGCGCGCTGAGTGCAGGGATCTGGCCGGCCTTGGGTGCCAGCGCGAGAAGGCCGGGTTCATGCAATCCTCCTGAGCTCTGCACGTGCGAACACCACTGACCACTTTCAGTCTTCGACCCACCGCCCGGAAACACTGGAGGGCCTGGACCACTGACAGCAGCACCAGCTGGCCGTCACTGGTGTCCATCCAGAAGGTGTAGAGGCTGAGGTCAGGCGAGTCTTTTCGTTGCATGCTGTTGTGTTGCATGCATAGCAAACCGAGCAAGAACGGAAGCAGCTTTCAGCAAGTGACGTATTTCGGCCTCTTCTTGGCCTCTTTGCCCCGGGGACCATGTGCCAAGTTGTCGAAACCTGGCTACTTGGCGCTAGGCAAAGCTTCGTCTAGGAGCCCTGGCAGAGAGCTTCAGCTGCTCAGGTCCGGACGCGTGTAGCATGAGATGACAATCAGCTGGTGCCGTCGGCTGGTCGCAAAAGCCTCAGAGCAGTGCCTTCCAGTGAAAACACCCTTCAAAGCACTTCGATCTGTCGCCTGCGCGCGACATTCGCAAGAAAACACAGAGCGCACGCGACGCGACGCATGCATCGCATTCTGCTGATCCCAGGGGCTGTAATTGGCGCAAGTCGATCCGCCATAGTGGAAGTGGCACACAGTGGCACTCCCGGCAGTGCCGGCAAAAGGCTTTAAAGTCGATGGAGAGCTGATGAATCTGGATCAAAAGATTGCTGTCATGGTCTCCATGAGTTAAAGGTAATTACTGGCTAGATCTGGTTAGTCTGCAAGCATGTCTCTGATGGATAGTTTGCTCGGATAAGCTGATTGTTTTCGGCAGACATAACAGTTTGGAGGATCTTGACTTGCAAAAGAGCATTGCAGCGCTGGCATTGCATACCTGTTGCAGGCCGAGAAACATCTTACTACGTCAGAGTGTCGCTTGCCGTCTTGTCAACATGGCCCATGCTAAGGTGCCGCATTTCTGGCTTCCGCGCCATCTTTGCTGCCCAACCGCCAAACGCACTGATTGCGTACCTGGCCGCACGGACGTCGAGGAGCTGCGCTGCACGTCAGAAGTTCCGCCGAAGGCCATGCTGCTTTTTTTCCCTCTCTCACCTCATACAGCCCTCGGTCTGTGGGTCCGAGGACAGAGACGCAGCAGGGATGAAAAATTGCGACCGGCAAAGCAGATCTGCCAAAAGCCATGAGACCACGTACATGCATTTACCTACTCCCCGACTTCGTTTCGGGAAGTCCTCGACATTTTCAGAGCATCACGGATCGCCTTGTGTCGCAGGGGTGAGACTGGGTCCTTCGCTACGCCAAGGTTCTTTTGTTCGGGTAGGCCAGCTTTCCAGTATCGGGAAAAGAACCTTCGAATTGCCAGATAGTCGGGCTTGGAAGCCGCACAAGGCCCGCTTCGCTGCATGTCCACGGCCCTTCTCTCATATTCTAGGCCAGTCTGGGCTTTTGGCTGCAAGCAGGTCCAGTGGCGGGCACCCACTGTACACACGACTTCAGCTGGCCACCTGTGAGAGTCCTCCGCACAAGCAGATGGACGTTTTATCAGAATGTCATCAGGAAGGTTTTCGAAACCTGTGACGACATCCGGAGACCACTTTGAGTCTGGCTCACAAGCGATCACCCCGATCACCCTTCTGGCCTCGACAAGCTCGCATGCACCCACAGAGAGCCGATCGCAGGATTTCCGCGCTTAGGGCTGGACATCGGCTGGCCGGCAAAGGGGACCGGATACTGCCTTCTCGCAGGTCCAGTCGCTTCGTACTAAATAAACTGTAAGCCGCACGGAAGTGACAGCACAACATGAAGAGATGCTCCCACCCTGACTGCTGGAGGTCCAGGGCTCCAATAGTGGACTCGGAAGCAAGAGGGACCTGCCAACACTGACCGTGCCAGCAGAAGCGGCGGCTCAAGCAAAAAGACGCACAAGCATGGGGCTGGATCTCCGCCACACTGTGCCTCAGGTACATCTTGGATCTCTCCGCGAGCGCCAGTGGCCTGCCAACTGGGTGTCAGATATGTAACCACGACGCAAGCGGCAGAAGTTGAGCCAGAGAAGAAAAATTCTGCGAAAGCTTGCGGTGTGCACCCACTTGATTCGCACCTGACCGGCGCGAAACTTCATGTAGTCGGCACGGAACGCTTGCAGTTCGGTCAATTCGATGTCCTGGTGAACCGTGAGCACGACGAATTACAGCCAGGCGTCTTCCGTTCATACCCGGAGATGCAACGAAACATCTGAGGCCCGCAAACGTCTTGTGTGGGCGGTCCTTGGGCAGGAACGGCAGCGGCTCGCCCAAACCCTCCTGCAGCGCCAGAACATGCAAAGAGCTGCAAGGAGTGGATGAGGCGGTTCCAGTGCCGCTGTACTATGGCTTGGCTCTGGAGCGGAGTTGCTTTGCAGACACGCTCCTACAGAGTCTACTTTACCAGGGCAGTTTGGCTTCCTACCACAATGCAAGATCATTCGACAAAACCAAGCTTTTCTCCGTTGCAGCCCGTTCCCCATACCGAATACCCCATTGCGGACCGAATTGTGGTTGTGTCGTTGCACAAGGACATGCTGGCAGTTTCCAGAACCCTGTCTTGTGCTTTCGCCTGCCAGCCTTCGCGGTCCAGACCACGCTTGGCTCATCCACAGGCCAATACGGACCACTCTCTGCTCAACCTTCTACCATGACAGCACCAGGCGTCTTCGGCTTTGTGTTGCTGATGCTGTGGCTGCAGTTCTTTGATGTGAAGCTTGGCAAGTGAATACTCAGCTTTGTCCCTGCCTTGGCTTGTTGAGCTGACTGGTTGGAACGGTTGGAGGTCCCCGTTTTCGCTGGGAAACCGAGGGGCATCATTCCCCTCATGCCTCTCATACCCCGTGCATGTCAATGAACCTGACTGCGGATAACCTAGACCAAGTTATCATTGTAGTCTGTCTTCCCTCAGACCAACGCATCAGCTTGAGTTTGGCGTCCGAACGACCCAGGACGAAGTGACCAACCTCGCACTTGAACATACTTGAACCAACCTGCGAGGATGCAAGGCAAACTTTGGCTTGCATCCTGGCAAGATGGCTGGCATCCTGGCATGCTTCAATTGACATATGCAGCCTTGGTTAAAAGTCTGAAGGTTCCGGTTCCAATCTGCAGATGCTTCGATGACGAAGCCTTCACACGATTTCAAGCACTCAACTTGGCTGGCATTGAGTTTGGGCGGGAAGCCATTTCCTTGCGTGTTGGAGTCCTGTGGATTCGTTGAGAAGAGGCACTCAGGGAAGGCCTACATGCATCTCTTCATTCATCTCAGCCTCTCTCATGCCAGGCATCACTCATGGCCGGGATTCCGGGTGAAAAAACGCCTCGCCCCGACCTTTCCTCGAAACCTAGAACAGCCTCACGGAGAGACCTCCCAGAGCTTCTCTCCTCCGAGGCCCAGGGCCCCGAAGCCGCCAGCTGCGGATCTTCCTCCTGAAACTCAAGCGGCTCAAAGTTCTTCAGCCATCGGAATTCGGAAAAGAAAACGTGACCTAGGTTCCTGAGTATAATAAGCGTACTCTTTGTCCCTACTAGTCGCTTTCATGAACCCAAGGAGAAAAAGGGCAAAAGGGTACTACTCAGGGAAACCAGTAATTCTAGCTGTAGAAGAGCTGGGAGGCCAAGCTGTTTGTGGTGTCATTGCCTACAACGACTTTTATGTTCAGCTTTGTTTTCGTCGGCATTATCGTTCATGCTGGAAGGCTGGAAAGGAATTCGCGTAAGGTGAAAACAAGCACCTATGCTGCAGGGCCCGAGCAGTAGACACCCTCAACCGATGCTGCAGCTGCTCTAGATGGTATGGACTTGTATGCGTGTTCTCTCTATGCCTGACGCTAGAATCGACAAGGCGCATTCTTGTAGCGGAAGCACCTGCAACCTGGAGCCTCGGAAACGGACTTGCGCAGTAGCCTGCTCTTCGGGCTCGTCGATGTGAAGGAACGTGTTCTTAACCGAGTACATCACCTTGTTCTCACCCCGCCTTGGTGTGTTGAGGAGAAGGGCCGAGCATGTTCCGGTTTCCCTAGTCCCGAGATCGCAGTCTGTGTGCACCAACCCAAGCCTAAAACGGGCCAAAGAGCTATCGACAGGGATTGGCAGAATGGACGAATGGACTTGTCTTCGCTTCTTGCTGCCGGATTCGCGCGGCCGTCTCGGCTGCTTGGAGATCAGCGCTGGGCCTGCACGAGAAAGGAAGTCTGAGCGGTTTCCATCGCCGGTTTGCAGCTCAGCGCACAGCGCACAGAGGGTGCGGTTGCTGGTGTGAAGCTAGATACTAATCGCAGCCATCTGAAAGTTTCTGAAGGCAGTGATCTACGGCCCGCTCACCCGGTCCACCCAACCCGATCTGCCTGCTAGCTTGCTGGCCTGCCTGGCCTGGAGCCATTGGCGTACCCTGCAGACGAGTGCAAAGTGTTAGCCAGAGTTGTCAGCCGCAAATCCGGCATGGAAGCGAAAGTACGTGCTTCGAGCTGCTCATGGAGCAGGAGCTCAAAGCCACCGTACATACCTCGTGCCTGCGCCTGAGGGGCGGGGCTTCCACACGGCGCGTCCTGCCAAGGGAGGGCATCTGCGGCAGCCTGCCCTCGGACATAGACTTCATCAAACAGAGAGGTGTTGAACCCTGCACCTCCCTGAGCCGTGGGCACTTTCGAAAGCCATGAACCGACGAGCAATGACCCACGAGAACCCAAGCCCCTCGAGCCACAAGACACCGGCTTCCAAAACGACAGGATCCAAGCGCCGCGAGAGATAGTCGCCCGCGACAAAGGAAACGATTCCAAAAAAAGGACGGACCAGACTTCAAGGTCGCATGTACCGTGACACGGCATGAGGAACCACCCCAAAACAGGAACTCTTACAACCACAAACGAAATTGAGATAAATTGAGCATCCGTCTGCCTGGCTTGGGTAGCCGCACGGAAACGGCCGCACCATGCCTGCGGGGATCGAGGTGATGTCGTGCAGCTTCTGCAGAGGCACTCCGAATCACACCCCTCCAACTTTGCTCCCTTGCCTGGCTGTTGGCCAGGGGCAAACCACCCAGGGAAGGCCTTGCGACTCAGGGTAGTAAATTGTTGGTCCCTTTGGCAGTACATAATATCAGGGGGCGGGACAGTATCCCGTCTGCGGGACCACGCAGAAGGGCAACACAACAAAACAGCATGCAATGATTTTGCCCTCTGTAGCAGCTGGGGTCCAAACAGTCCCCATTTCCGGCCTGTCATTGATTGCAATCTGCGTCGTGCTTAGGCGGCATACAAATGCATCTGCGACAGCATGACCGCCAACAGCGGGACGCTACATGACCGATGACATGTACATTTGCACGAACTTATGCCGGGCGCCCGTTCCGGTGCGCGGGACGATGACAAACGACAAGGGTTGGGACGTCGAAGCTTAGCAGCTTGGACAGCACTACAGTCTCTATCACAATGTAGGGGAGCTGGAAAGGAGATAAGATGACGTCGTGTGTGTCGACAGATCCCAGGTCCTTCAAGAATTGCTCACTTGCGAGTTTGCGATAGTGATCCCGGGAACGAGTGTATGGAGATGCAGCCTTTTTGATTCACCCCTGCCGATGACACAATCCTCATCACCTTGACATAGACAGGAGCGAAGCAGCTGTTATGCCTTCGAGATACTTTTGTGTGTGCATCGTGCTGTCCTCCGTTTGGTTGTATCAGCACTTCATTGACACGTTTGGAGCATGGGCTGATGAAGTAAATTCAACAGCATCCATGTTCTTGGGAAAGAAATTCGAAGATGTCAAAACTTTGCAACGATGCTACGTAGAAGTCGTCACTCCTCGAAGTTATCCTCAGCACCACTATCGATGGCGATGGTGACGAGGAGAACGGCTGGATGGATTGATGGAGATAGATGGGGATGGATGGGGACAGATGACGAATCAGGATGGATGGGGACGCATGGATGGGGACGGATGCGGATGGAACAGGATGGATGGCGACGGGGAGGGATGGATGGGTGGGTGGGTGCCCGGGCGAGTGCGTGGATGAGGGCTGGGGTCGATTGCTGACTGCATTGATCGATTGTCTGGATCGTTCGATTGTCGGCATTTTGTACTTCACGGCCTCATTAGCTAGTCGGCGTGAGCGATTGATTGACCGATAGATTGAGTGAATGCTTTTGATAAGGAACGGAAGAGGAGTCCTGAGACAGCAGTGAACGGTCGTAACAATAGGACCACACGACAGCAGAGCGATACACCACAATTTGTTCACTTTACGTCGCCTTGATATTTCCCTACGACTAACTACTGGCTTACACGGCCTTGGGGGCTCGTGGCCCGCAGGCCAAGCGCCCATGGGCCCTGCGGGAGGCGCAAAGACACCTGAAGCCGCAGTCGAGTTCCGTGCGGGTGGAAGTGCCATACGACTAAACCGAGACCACGACTTCAAAAAACGCTCCGGATCACGTCCGACGTGAGTTACGAGATGTTGAGGCCAGCTAAGCCCTTCAACACCGTCTCTCCGCATTAACATTAAACATGGTCTTCCCCCAAGACCCGGTCACACCGCCCTTGCATGTAGCTACGCCACAGAAAGATCAAGCCGCAGGTCTAACCTAGCTGTTTCAGCAGTCCAAAGTGATCCCAAGAATCTGCACCAAAACAACCAAATATACAAACATATCATGCCGAAACAAACTATGCAAAATCAAGTGCACTAGCAACCTACGTCGATCCCACCGTCCACCCCTGCACCTCCTAGCACAAGGAGTGGGCAGACTGAGACGCATTGTTTTATCTGTGGCGGCAGATCCCTGTAGCCCGGAGATGCCTAGCTTCGAGCTAGCAAAACTCCAGGGAGGGTTGGGTGGGTACTCTGAAAATCTTCTACCCCCCAAAGGGGTTCTAGCCGTAACGGCGACGGATAGAACACATTTAGCGAAAACACCTTCGATGTTTTAGCTGTCGACACCTTCGATGTCGAAGGAGGAACTTCGGGTTGCTAGCACACACAGTTGTCCCTCGTCCCTCGTTACAAGAAGCGTGCACTAGCAACCTACGTCGATCCCACCGTCCACCCCTGCACCTCCTAGCACAAGGAGTGGGCAGACTGAGACGCATTGTTTTATCTGTGGCGGCAGATCCCTGTAGCCCGGAGATGCCTAGCTTCGAGCTAGCAAAACTCCTAGCAACGCCACTCGGGCTACCAGGGTTCTAGCTTCTTGGGCTTCTTTCTGAAACGCATCGGTTTCACCGACCTAGCTGCTTTCCGCTTCTTAACTTCGCCGAAAAAGCTTGCAGAGTGTTCTAGCAGCTTGCCCAAGACTCGCCACCGAAGTTCGCTGCCAACTAGCGGGACCCGGAACTCTGGAGAAAAGTGATCGAACTTCTCGTTCGTCAGGTCGTCTGCTAGCTGGTTCAGGTCACGGCGGACCCACTGTAGCTGGAGTTCGCAGTTTCTAGCTTCCAGCTCTTCTGCTAGCTCCATTAGGACTAGCCCCGAAGGAAACTTCGTGGTCATCAGCTTCTTTAGCAGAGCTTCGTTGGACTGGTTGTCCGTATAGCCTCTCAAAGCTACACGGGACAAGGTCCTAGCCCTGCCTTCTGGGATCCAAAGCCGAACTGCAACAAGGGTTGCCAGTAGCTCTAGAGCCGCGATGACCTTGTTGGGGTCACCTTTAGCGAAAGCCCAAGGTGCCCAATCGGCCTCCACTTCCAGCGAAAACCAAGGGCCCTGGCAGCCGGGAACTAGCTCCAAGAAACCCCCGATCCAGGCTCGGCCCGCCTCGGCCTTAGCGTCGGTGAAAAAGCTGAGCGGCGCCTCCGTAACTTCTAACGGGGTCGGCTTCTCCAGGCGATCTGCTATCCAGCTACAGAGCACTCTTATCATGGTGGGCAACTTTAGCGGGCCTTGGCAACCTTGCACCGCTGAGGACCAGGCATATAGCGGTCCGAGAAAGGGCTTCTCCCAATCTAGGGACATCGCCGCAAATCCCAGCCTGCCTAGGCCCTGCGCCATCTCCTTGGCCGAGACGTAGCCAGCTGTGACGGTGTTCCGTAGCCAGGAGACCAGCCAGCCTGCTCTCTTAGCCGAAAGCCCCAGGCGGTGGCTAGCATACTCGGTCTCCATGCCTAGCCACTCCACACGGAAGCCCCCTCTCGACTTGGCCCACTTGAAGGGAAAGCCCAGACTAGCGAAGTAAAGGTAGCTGAGCGGGATCCCCTGTCTCCCCTTTGGGCCACAGCCTAGCGACTCCAGGTCGTCCGCATATAGCAGCATGTCTATCGGGTACTCTGGCCCCACTAGGTGGTGGACCAGTCTCAGACCGCAGGCGGCGATCCTTGACCACCAATAGCTCGCGCAGGAGAGGCCGAAAGTGCCTACCAGATTGACGTAGACAGTCTGTGTAGCGGGGTCCCCGGGGACCTCTTCCTCTAGGCTTATCTGGCATGCCAGATAGCCGTGCTCCTTGCTCTGGTGCTTGTAGCGGCGGTGGGCTTTAGCTATGTCGCCAACAACCGAAAAGGCCACCTTCTTCTCCGCTAGCATCTCCCGGAGCAACTGCTTCTTCTCCCGGGCTCCTGGAGCGCGTAGCTTATCACGGCATTTGATGCGGTGATTGACTCTCACTCCATGAGTAGCATCATGGATGATGCGCTTCTTGTTAGCTGCCTCGTCCTCAACAATGACGGCTAGCGCAGCTATAGCTCTGTGGTCGCCGTACTTCTCGACAAACTCACCTAGGGTCATCTTTAGCATGAGGCCTTCGGCTACGTCCTCGTCGAACTTCTCCTTAGCAAAGGACTTGTGTTCGTCGACCGAGGTGTAGTTAGGGACCCACGCTAGCGAAGCCTCCCAGGGAGCGTTCTCCAGCGGCCACTTTAGCTGCTCCTCGTAGACGTGAGGCGTGCGAGGTAGCGGGTCGAGGATCCCCACAGGAAGTCCTGTCTCCGCCGCCAGGAGGAACTCTCTATCCGGGTCCCCTGCAGCCTCTAGCAGCGCCCGCATGAGCCGTAGGTAGAGGGGCTGGCCTTCCGCCACTTCTAGCAACTTCGGGTCTGTAAGGTCTTGGGCCTCTAGCCAAGCTTTCCAGACTTCCCTGAGCTCCGACTGTAGCTGAGGGTCCGACGCCAAGGAGCAAGCCGTAGCGCCTCCCGAAGCCATGCGGAAGGCCTCCTTCTCTAGCTCCTTCTCGGAGCCCAGCTTCCCAAGGACCACCTCCTTCATTCTACACCGTAGCCAGTCCCAGTTGTTGCCGCTAGCGAGGTTACGACGCTCCGGTGGCCAACGGCCAGGGGAACAAAGTCCCCCGCCGTCGTGGAAGTCCTTGTAGCCACCCACCTGCCAGCAGCGACGGGGTGGTCCGTGACCTCCTTGTAGCCTCGGGCCCTCCGGCTGGCAAACAGGAAAAGCCTCCGGAGTAGCGTCCGGGTGCTCCGTAGCGGGGGCCCCCAAAGTCTCGCCGCAAGCAGTGGAAGCTGAGGCCACCGTGTGGAGCACCAAGGCTGCTAGCCAGCTGCACATTTGCGGCGGCCAAGCCGCTGTACCTGTGGTAGCGAAAGCAGTCGAGGTCCTGCGTGCTAAGAGACCCGGCTCGCGGCTAGCAGCAGGCAAGGGACCAGTGTAGTAGCCGTTGGAATCAAAGGCAGGCAGTGCTTCGTAGCAGCAATCAGGCAGATGCAGAGGCGTCTTTAGCAACACTCGAGTAGGCTTGCTGTAGCTTGTACCAAAGGAGCGTTGCTGAAAAGCTGCCGTGCGGAAGCCTGCTGAAAGTAGCTCCGGAAACTGGGGCCATTGCCACATAGATGCGGGCCTCTGGCCTTTGTATGGCCCGGAGCCTAGCGCACCTAAGTCCTCTGGCTGCTCTAGCACGAAGGCTGAGGCAGCCCCCTGGGCTACTAGCTGAGCGACTTCAAAAGAAAAATCAGCAAAAATGTTGCCTAATATAGCTCGGTCCCTCTGGGCTGGCGTTAGCTGCGCGTTGCCTCTGGGACAGCGGCCCACGGAAGTTCGCCCAGGCTGCTCTGGAGAAAGTAGCGCAGGGTGGCGAAAGCAAAATTGCACTGAACTCTCTAGCTGCGATCCGCTGCAAGTAGGCTGTGCGAACCTTTTCTAGCGAAAGGTCATATCGCTTATCGCGCAGGATGTCTACGCACTCGACACGAGACGTCCAGACCCATAGCAGTAGCAGTGTGGTGAAGACATGTAGCCATGTCCCATGGGCGCACCTCACCCGCGAACAGGTAGAGGACCTTGTAGCTGTGCGGTGGGCTTCAGTTGGAGGGCTTGCCTCCGTCGCCTTTGGCACCGCCCGAGTTGGGGGTAGCCACAGGACGGCCGCCGACTTTGCACTGGTAGGCCGGATGCTTAGCGAAGCATAGCTGGCACACATGCTTGAAGCGGCAAGCCTTCTTGTGCGGGCAGCCTTGCTTGCTATTGTAGCGAAAGCAAATTGCCTCGCCTTCCGGTGTTGTGGTAGCCCCATTTGCCACGCCTTTGCCCTTGCCTTCGCCCTTAGCGCCCTTGGTGCCCTTGCCCTTGCGTGGCTGTCGGATCCAAGGGCTATCGGGCGGGGGGGCGGGGCGTTTAGCATGAAGGGCCAGCGGCGTTGTGAAGTGCCGCTCCTTGAGGGCCGCATCCTTGTAGCTTTGCTTTAAGGCCTCTGGGAAGGAGAGGGACTGCTGGGCCATGAGCTTGTAGCTGTGTTTGCGTATGGCGTGCTCGTAGCTGAGGACCAGATGCCACGGCGGTACCAGAGCACCGGAATCTTCACTAGAACGTAGCCCATATTTTAAAATCTCCCAGCAAGTATTCTTTATATTTTTCGAAGACAGCCTGCGTCACGTCCTTTAGCTCCGAGCGAGACGGGTCTGGCGGAGCTGCGCCTCCTGTGCTTGTTGCTGCTTTAGCTGTTCCGCTTGGAACTCAGCTAGCAGCTCTTCCTGTCTCTTCTCTAGCTCTGCCAGGTGCTGCGCCTTCATGGTAGCGAGGTCGATGACTTCATCAGGTGGTAGCGGCTCCTGCTGCACCACTCCGTGGACCTTGTCCACTAGCAGGGCCCTCTCGACCTCGTTTAGCTCCTTCTCCTGCTCCACGGTGAGGTCATCTAGCGAGGTCAAGCTCGCTAGCCAGTCAAGGCGGTTGGTGTAGCGGGAGCCCTCCGGGAAGCGTTGCTTGGAGGCCCCTTCCGCTGTAGCCGCACGGAGGCCTAGCGGAACCTGGGCCTTTCTGACCGTGTCCACTAGCGCCTGCAGCTCGTCGGGATGCAGCCGAGCTCGGAGCACGCCTTCTAGCGTGTCCTTGTCGGACTGCACCCAGTGCTTGACCGCTGTAGCGCAGTCAATAGCCGAGTGCTCTGTAGCGGGCACTTGGGAGCTAGCCATGCCGATGGCTGCTAGCTGTCGCTTTCGCTAGGGTTTTCCTAGCACAGGTATCTCGAGAAGGAGAGCTGTAGCGAAAGCGTTTCCCATAGCGAACCCTTGCGCACTCACTGCCTGACCTAGCCCGCCTCGCAACCTTCGAAATGGGGTTAGGGACAAAGGGGAAAACCCGAGGGAAGCCTAGCGCACACAGCGACCGCAAGGACATGTAGCAAGACCGCAGCAAGAACATGTAGCAGAACGTGGTTCTCTCCGCTCCTCTTCTGTCTCCCCCCCCCCGAGAAGGACCCCCCCCAAGGAGACCCCCCCAGAGGAGAAAAAGCAAAACGAAAGCAAGATTCATTTTAGCGTGCCAAAGGTACTTGCGTAGCCGTGGCAGTTGCCAGGCCCCCATTAGCCAGAGCATTCGCACTCAGGCCCGGGATGCTATCAAGCAGCCGGTTCTACCTCTAGCTGCGGTTCATCCCCCGAGTGAGCCGTGGAGGTCTCCGACCCATCTTCTAGCTCCTCGGGAACGTCGTCTTGCTGAGGCCAGCAGAGGCGGCACACATGAGTATACTCGGTGCTTGCTGGAAGGGCATCAAAATTTTTAGCATTCCGAAAGTAGCGGCGCTGGCCCATCCAGCACCCTTTCCCGCAAGCCTTGTGTAGCCTGAAGACCGCCCCCGGCTGCCCCACGACCACATAGGCCGTCTTCCTGCCCTGCAGTCTAGCCGGTTTGGGTGCCCGCTCCTCGCTGGAGCTGCTGCTGTCCCCACTCGACGTGGTGGAGCTGCTTGAAGAGCTAGCACTGGACTCTAAAATCGGTGGGGGCACCACTCCAGCCACCGGTCCATCTAGCTCCACATCCGTTTTCCAGGTGATTTCTAGCACCCGAGCCTGCCACTCAGCCTGCGCTGGCGGCAGCCCTTTCTTATCAACAAGCCAGTCCCGCAGCGAAGTGCCTATCTCGCGTTCGTCTAGCACCTCGCTGTGGCCGGCTCCTTTTGCAGCTTTGGCAAAGATTGCCTGCAGCCGAGCGACCCTTCCTGGGAAGGTTCTAGCATACGTGTCGGAGCTCTCTGGCTTCCAACGGCCTAGCAAATCTTTGTCGGCAGGCGGCGTCTCTTGTAGCGAGAGGCCTGTTGGCAAGACCGACCGCTCACTATGCTCAGTCCAGAACCCTTGGACCACAGAAGGCAGCCCAAGGAGATGTAGCAGCGCTGCTGTAGCCACCACCGCGTCCGGGTACTCCGCGATCTTGTTCTCTAGCAAGCCTTGGCCGCCCAGACGCGGAAGGAGGTAGTCCCGCTTATAGGGTGCTTTTTCTTTTAGCAACTGAAAGCCAACTTGTAGCCACGTCTTGCGTTTGAAGAATGCGTGCTCTGACACGCACACTGGTAGCTCTTTGACCTTCTTGTTGGGGCCGGAAGTCTTCGTCTTCCGTAGCGTGGTGGTCAGCCTCCCCTCCACCAGCCGTAGCTCATGTGGTAGAATGGCCTGAAGGTCGGACCACCTGAGTGTAGCCCATGTCTTCACCAGCTTGGCCCAGGCCCATATGCGATGCCCCACAGCTTGTGTAGCATCAAGGACCAGGTCTTCTAGCTTCACTAGGATGAAGACAGGGTAGCGTGGCGCCCTCTTCGTGAGGGGTGTCCCCTGTGATAGCTCTTCCGTGATACTGTCTCTAGCTGCCAGTGCGAGACGTCCCGCGGTAGCTCTTTCTTCCGCTGGGAACTCCCCGACCTTTTCCAGCCAAAGTATAGCACTATAGATGGAAGCAGGTATAGAGCGCCCACATGGTTCGTCTCGCCGGACCACCAGATAATCTACCAAGTCAGCGGGGCGGCCCGGCGGCCTTTTAAGCTTAGCCTCCCAGAGCCATAGCCGCCACCTTTTGTAGATAGTGAGGTAGCGCTTCAAGGTGGTGGCTCGCGTGCTGCCTGCCAGCATGCTAGCGGCACGTGGCGGGTCCAGGCTGCTCTCAAGTTGCTCTAGCACAGGTGCTCGACACTCCCGGAGTTCTTCGTGTAGCCGAAGGGTCCACACTTCCAGAAGTTTCTCTCCCCTGGCTTGTAGCACACTCCCCTCTAGGATCAGCTTCCTGCGTCGCTCCCCGGGAGGGGGTCTAGCAGGATCTTCTTGCTCCTCTGGATCCGCACCACGTAGCCTCTTCTCCGGCGGTTCCAAGGCCGCCCAATAGAGAGGCTCCCGGTGGAAGCCAGCCATCCTTATCTCGACTGGGCCTTTCCCCCTAGCTTCCTCGATCAAGAAGCGGAGCAATTGTTCTAGCTCCGCACTAAAGGGGATCCTCAGCTCGAGGGCCAGCTGTCTAGCTAGGCCCGGAACGTCCTCGTCCCGTACAGTGGCAAGCTCCGGATTGCGGAACCCTTGTTCTAGCAGGTAGTCGCGGCACTTCCGTAGCAGAGGGTCACGGATCTCCACTTCGGGTTCCGGTGACAGCGGCTGCGCATCTAGCATTGCCTCCACTTCGGATAGTGCCGGACTATCCGGAACTTCTTCCACTTCCATAGCGGCGAGCGGGGGCCTAGCCCCCGTTTCCTTTCCTATAGTACTCTGAAAATCTTCTACCCCCCAAAGGGGTTCTAGCCGTAACGGCGACGGATAGAACACATTTAGCGAAAACACCTTCGATGTTTTAGCTGTCGACACCTTCGATGTCGAAGGAGGAACTTCGGGTTGCTAGCACACACAGTTGTCCCTCGTCCCTCGTTACAAGAAGCTTACTTGGGTCCCTGAGCCCCGCTCCAACTGCCACGCCGGTTGGAAAGGGTGCCGCGGCCGGAGGAGCATTGCTGGCGGCCGACGGGGTCTGCTTCGGAACCTGCCAGGTTCATGCGGCAGTCGCAGCGGTTTGTTTCCAGTCTTACCAGGAGGCAGGAAAGAAAGATGGCGCGCCGGACGGTCCAGCATACGACACCCTGCTGAGAAAGGTGCCCAGCGGTATAGCCCTGTCGCGAGCAAACTCGGAACTCCGGCCTCCACGGGATCCGGATCCCAGAACACCTCGTGGTCGTCCTGATGTATCAGTGGCATGTGCAGAGTAACATCATGCAGATTCGGGTGGCAGAAGGCATCAGCGCCCTGAAGAACCTCAAGGCACACGGCACGCGTCCCTTTTTTGGCTCTCGCCACGCAATCAGACACTCGAATGGCTCTTGTTTCTGTTCACCACTTGGCGCCAAACCCCTTGCCGCCGCCTTTGTAACTGTCATATCCTTTCGAGCCGCCGCCCCAGCCACCTGCGTCACCCCAGCCACCGGCACCTGCGCCACCCCAACCTCCATCGCCCTCGCTCCCCCAGCCACCTCCGCCGCTTCCACCTCCTCCACCCTTGCCCATGGCGGCCATCATCATGGTCATCATTTGCATCATCTCTGGTGGCATGCCCTTCATGCCTCCCATTCCTCCCTTCATGCCTTTTCCACCACCCTTGCGGTCGGCTCTTGGAGTCGCGAAGGCCACAGTAACCGGGTTTGCCAAGCCCTGTGGGACGTTGCCATTCACATGGTCCACGACCCACCTGGCATCGTCCACAGATTCCATGATAACGAAAGCCGCAGCGGCCGTCTTGCCAGCAGCCACCGGCAGAACATTCGCTTGCTTCACGCCGCCGTACTGCTTGAAGATCTGCTTGGCCTGGACACTGCTGCAGTCCATCGGAAGTCCCGTAACAAAGAGCTCCTCGCTGGGAGGACCCTGCTGCGGCCCCCCGGCCATGCCCGCCATGGCCATTCTCAAGGAGGGGTGCGTTGCTTTGCGCTATGCGATACTATGCGTTTTATGCCTTTTGCTGCCTAATCCTTGCCCTCAAGCTGATAGTGCTCCTTATGGACTCTAGCATGCTCGAGCTATTAGAGTCGGGGTATGAGCATTGACCATTTCGCTCGACTCTGCGAGGATGCTGCAAGTCGTTGACTCTTGCACGATGAACGCCTGTTTACTGCGGCCGGGGCGCCAGGATATCAGAGCACATGAGAATATTGAAACATATTGAAACCACACGATGGAAGCTAGATCCAGTGGCCTCTACGAGCTCGTCCAGGAGGGAGAGGGGCTGGTGCGCTCCATTACCTGTAGTGGCCTCGCGGTTCGTTCCAGGTCCAGTAAACAGACTGACTTTTTGTTGGGTGTCTCTGAGTCTCTCTTCACCCGAGACTCAAATTTGAGCCGTGCTGCTCTCTGACTCTCCATTGCTGTTTCGGTGAGACTCTTTGAGGACCCCACGAGCGCGAAGCAGCAACCTGGGCACTGCCAATAACTAGCGACAGGCATAACTCCTTCCTTACTCTCCGTGCTGCATGGCGGATTTGGCTGGGCTCAAAGCTTGTTGTGTCCACTGAACAGCAAGATGCTGATTGCCGAGCCCGACGCTTCTCAAATCTCCCGCGCTCATGTCGCCAGCGTCAGTCAGACCCAGCGGTTGTGCACAAAGGAGAGATAGGCTTTGCATCTCCTGCCGCCGTGAGCCCGAACAACCGCAACAGGACACATCAGTGGTGAATAGAACACCAAACGATCCCGTACGTACCAGCCTCACACTGCCGTAGCTGAGGCACGAAGTGCAGCACTCGCCCAACAGACCCAGTAAATTCCATCCGAATTCCTTATCGCAGCTCAAAGAAACACAAAGAGCCACCCGGAGCCCGATGTCCCCCCAGCGGGTCCCTCGGCTTCAGCGAGTCCATACGCCGAGCCGCCTCGGCGAAGAGGGCGCGGAACATCCCCTGGCAGGCGCCTGCCATCGGATGCGCAGGGGAAGTGCAGGGAAAGGCCGAGGAATCTACTTAGAGCCTTTAGCCCTTACTTCGGCTTTCCGAGCACCTCTGTCACGGAACGATGAAGAGCCCTCGTCGCCTGACACCTCCGAGACCCCCCACCTTCCAGCAAGGCTGGAGGCTGCAGCTTGGCCAGGTCTATGGAGAAAACCCTGGCAAGAGACGGGTGAAGTCAATGGCTGTGCTTTGCTGTGCAGGAAAAGCGTCACAAGACGTCGATAGTTAGAAAAGTGACGACACCCACGACGCACGTATCAACTTCTCTTTACTTTACGATCTATCTGGACCATATAGAGTGTATAACTTATAACACCTGCTCTGGATCAGCCCTGCAAGCCGAGAAAATCGACTCGAAGCCAAGCGACCTGATGAGGTGGAGCAGCACAGTGTTCTCCAACATCTGCATCCGATCTAGAGCCTACCAGGTCATCACGAAAGGCAACAGAAATGGGCTGCAGGGAAAGGTCATCTTGCCACGGCGTGCACTGTGAGGATGGCGAGACTCTGATGCCCCAAAGAGACAGGTAGTAAGGAGACACCAGCGTACACCAATACCTTGAAAGCTTAGTGGTACCACTATTACGTACAGCAGAATGAGTAACTTACTAGTATACTAGTACCAGTGCTGTTACTACCAGGGGCCAAAGGGCCCGAGGAGAAGCTCAGACCGCCTCGCGGCCTACGGCAGCCAGCACGACGACCTCAGATCTCAGAAGCGCATATCCGCGGGCTCATCTAAGTACAGCCATGGTTGACCATACGGGTAACTCATTCCAGTAAGCTTTTCTGGAAACTCCTGCATGCAAGAGGCATCCCTTGCAACACATCGGAATACCACTCTTCCAGAGCTTGAAACCTTGCCTTCGGAACCAGGAGTCCACTGTCTAGGCTTTCATGCAGCCGCCGGCAGAGTCTGCTACAGCCCAACACACCCTTCCGACACCTTTAAACTCATACCAGAAGCCTCCAGGCCATCCGACATCCTGCCAACATACTTCGTTGCACGCACTCTGCAGGACTCCCGGCCGCACCGGGAGCACCGACGAGCAGGAAGGCCCTTCGCAAAAGGAGCTTACTCGTGATCGGCACGTCGGAGAGGAATTCGACGAGTGTGTTAGACGATTCTTAGGAAACGATGGCTCCTGCGGATACTCGCCATGAAGGGCTCCAAGCATCTTGCATGCCCATCTAGTTGCATGGCTTTTGCCGGGCGGGGGGGATGCCGTGTAGTCCGGATTTGCTTGATTGATCGCAAACTCAGATCCAGAGGTGTTGGACCGTGTCTCGTTCCCCCCAAGTCTGAACCCAAAGCCTTCAAAGCCCCGACTCCCTGGTATCAGTCCTCATACTAAACGTCCTGACAGTATTGATCACTGGAATCCCAGGGCCCCGAGCGCAGCCAAGTTCACCAGCAGCTGGTTGGAGAGCTCGGAGAGACGGCTCAAGGCCTGCAAAGGACGAAAAAGGACGGGCCCGAGATTCTGGGGCCTCGAGGGCTTTTGGGATTCTAGATTCTAGACTTCAGGCCTGTCGGCCTTCAGGTTGTGGGAGCTCTGCGCTCAAGAGTCCCCAGCTGCTCTGATCGCATCTCCATGAGGCTTCGTTCGTGTACCGTGTACTTTTCCGTTTGCCGATACTGTTGTAGGCACCGCCTCGGTGTTTCGTGACTCTGCTTGCCTACATCCCCCGCGCGAGCTCAGGAAGTGCCCCGTACTGCACAGGGCAGGCGAGGCTTTATTCGCAAGCGCACAGCATGTTGCCGCACGGCTCAGCAAGTTCGGGTCAAAGACGAAGAAGACGGGCTTGGCGAGCCCAGCTGCCGTCCGTATTGGACGCGCCCCAAACAAGTCCCGAGGCGAGCCCTTGCCGAATATTACAGGAGCTCAATCTACCGTACCATTCAAACCATCCGAAGGCATGATGTTTCGACAGCGGCATGATGATTTCGACAGCGGCAAAGGACAACCTCTGGACAAACGCCCTCCAAGCTACTTCAAAAGACTTGAGAAGGTGTTTGCAGCCGTCGGGAATGCTAACGGCTGGCATACTGCAGATACCAAGGTCGGATGAGGCGTGTGTGTGTGTGTGTGTGTCAAGTGTCAAGTGTGTGTGTGTGTGTGTGTGTGTGTGTGTGTGTGTGTGTGTGTGTGTGTGTGTGTGTGTGTGTGTGTGTGTGTGTGTGTGTGTGTGTGTGTGTGTGTGTGTGTGTGTGTGTGTGTGTGTGTGTGTGTGTGTGTGTGTGTGTGTGTGTGTGTGTGTGTGTGTGTGTGTGTGTGTGTGTGTGTGTGTGTGTGTGTGTGTGTGTGTGTGTGTGTGTGTGTGTGTGTGTGTGTGTGTGTGTGTGTGTGTGTGTGTGTGTGTGTGTGTGTGTGTGTGTGTGTGTGTGTGTGTGTGTGTGTGTGTGTGTGTGTGTGTGTGTGTGTGTGTGTGTGTGTGTGTGTGTGTGTGTGTTGTGTGTGTGTGTGTGTGTGTGTGTGTGTGTGTGTGTGTGTGTGTGTGTGTGTGTGTGTGTGTGTGTGTGTTTGTGTGTGTGTGTGTTTGTGTGTGTGTGTGTGTGTGTGTGTGTGTGTGTGTGTGTGTGTGTTTGTGTGTGTGTGTGTGTGTTTCTATATACATATACATATACGTAGATAGATACAGATATATCTGTATCTATATATATATATAGAAAAAGGTGTGTGTGTGTGTGTGTATACATATATAGAGAGAGAGATACATATATATATATATATGCACAGAAGAAACACGCACGCCCGCATATCCAACCTCAGCGACGCGACAACTGTGTACAGTGAGGCTCAACCGAACAGCCAGTCTGAGCCACATCTGCCAAGTGAAACCAGTCAGGGAAGCAGCTAAGTTTATGCTTCATAAACCAACAATCCAGTCCCACCCTCCAGCCAAAAACCAATGCCAGCTCACACCCATCGACCAATTATCTCGACCAGACCGATCTACTCCGCATCGGGGCCTCAACCGAAATCCTATCCCCGGCGTACCAACTCCAACCGCTGTCCCAAAGGACTCTACGTCTCTACGTAGTGTAGTACTATAGAGTCTGTCGTGGGGTGTTGCATCAGTGTTGTGAGTCTTATGGCCGTATGGCACTTGGGGAAAGAATAGCAGATCATTCGTTGCGCAGGTGCACACATTGACTAAAACTCAGGTGGCGTTCATCTACGACGGAATCTACGAGAGCTGCCCTTCTTGAAGGCCTTGCGCTCTTCGGAAAATTGTTTTCGAAGGGCTCTTCGGTCCCGTGGCCTGGACCACCCAGGCTCGTCTGCGCTGCTGTACAGAGCCCAGTGATAACTTTCGGCCATGGCATCTTGGCCCGCGTTCCCTACGTCTTCCTCGTGCGAGATGGAGTCGATTTCCACCTCTTGGTGGCTGCTTGAACTGGTCGCATCTTCTGTCTCCTCCTCGGCCTGCTTCTTGCAGGAAACAAAACGATCAATGAATTCGTCAACAGGGATCACGGTTTCCTCGGAGCCGCTGAGCTTGAGGGCGTAGAAGCCATCCAGTCCGACCATGAAGAGCGTCTCCCCCACCTTGAAGAAGTCACCAAGAGTCATGGACCCGTGTTCCAAGCCCACCTCGGCGTGCACTCCCTGCAGTGCCGTGAAGGCATCATAGAGCTAGTGGAAAAGCTCTGGGCCATCCGTGTCTGGACATTGGACTGTTCTGGCCAGCCCATGTGTCGCACGAATCCCGTTCGTGTCCTGTTTCACATACGCCAGCCATTCTTGCATGGCCTTTGGGTGGCCCACAAAGGTTGTGAGAAATGTGCATTCGAAGTGCTCATTAAAAAAATGGACCTCAGCTGTCCGGCATTTCGCCTCCTTGACTTTTGTCATGTCTGCGGTTTGGAACTTGTAAAAGTAAGGGTGGGCTTCCCTTTTGAGAGGCATCTTGAGCGGGATCGGGACTGCGCCGGTGAAAGCCTCCAAAATGCCATCCATGCGCATGAAAGTCGCCGAGGACGCATTTTTCAAAAGCTGCCGTTCCTCGGCAGGGGGTGCATGCCAAGCCGTTCTTTTTTGGCGGGGGTCTTAACCACAAGGGGCATACAGTGTCAGGAGAACCACTGAACACCATGCTTGGTAGTTCGAGGATTTTGCATCACACGACGATCAGCACTACTTGGGGCGGACTAGTGACTAAAAAAACGCTGGTTGCCGTGTGCATTACTTTCATTATTACTACTTACTAGCACCACTACTACTACTACTAATAATAATAATAAAATAATAACTACTACGATTGCTACTACTAATACTACTGCTACTACTACTACTACTACTACTACTACTACTACTGCTACTGCTACTGCTACTGCTACTGCTACTGCTACTACTACTACTACTACGACTACTACTACTGATACTACTGCTCCTCCTACTCGTACTCCTACTCCTGCTACGACCCGACTGGTAGTGGTAGTGGTAGCAGCAGCAGTACTAGTTTGAGAAGAAGTTCGGGGCGGAGAAGGGGACCAAAATTTAACAAGAAGAGAACTAACTGCCCGAGGACTACTTTCTCGGGTGCTTCCTGCCTCGGCGAGAAGGAAGACTTCCCAGGGATCCAAGGATACATCGTGGATTTGCGAGAGCGCGAGCCGGATCACCCAACTCGAGGTCACGAACTTGACGCAAGGATCGCGGACGCGTGGAGCACATTCCTCCAAATTCGCATCAAACGAGTCTTCCGACATCGCCGACATAGCGCGGGAAGCTGACAGGGACCCTGCAGTCCTTGTCTGTTGAACAGACGCTGTTCAACGTCGAGTCGATTCTACGTTGCATGCTCCGCACGTAGGTTCAGGGATCGGGTCTATGCTGAAGCTATATGATATTCACACAACAACATAGCACAACGATGACTTCCTTCCTCGTTGGCTGCATTTGAAGGTGGTCTTGTTTAACGGCTGCATACAAATGGCGTAGATTGGCGTAGGCCCAACTGATCGACGCGTGCCGCTGTCCGGATGACTTGACAGTCAAAACGTTCATATCCTACTATTGGACAACTCTCTGATGGAGTCACAGAAATGTGGGTAGAGTTCCCAATGCGTACTCAGGTAAAAGCAAGCTGGCGAGCTTGCAACCGGAAAGCAAAATGCAAACCACTGCAGGCCATTGCAAGCCTGCTGCATGGCGGCAGTGCAGAAGTCGACAGCATTGGATATCTTGGGGCCACCTGCCACCGGCACTCGGCTACCGAATTGCAGCTCCGCGGCTTACCTACAGGTATTCCCCGTCCCCACGTGCCTCCTTTGCCGCTGCCTTCCATATTTTTCGCCACCTCAGCGTCTTCTTGCCGTTTCAGGACATGCCTATGCCAGTGAACAGCCAGCAACCGGCCTTTGCAGCAGCCAAAGAGCATATCGCAATCTCTGGCATGCTGAACCTGGAATAAGAAGCCCACTGAAGTCCCAGCAACGGATGGCAAGATTGCTGTGCTCGCTATACATGCACATGATTTGAAGGCACTTTCAATTAGTGACAATATGAACAAATCGCATCTGTAGAGCAAAGTCAGGAGATGGGGGTCTGGATCAACCCTCACATACGTGCAGAGACACACATGCACACGTACACATGCAGCCGCCATCGCCGCCACCCCCGCTATAGCCGCCGCCGACACGACCACTGTCGGAGCAAGAATATGGGTGATGTCATGGCTTGCTGTACCAGCCGTGTTGCCCTTCATTTTCACGCTAGTATCCCTACAGCCTTGGTTCCCAGCGCGATCATTTGTACTTTTGCTTACCAGCAAGTCTCCAAGACACACGTTTTCCTCACTCGTCTGATAAATTGCAGGCCTGTCAAGTTGACGGGTTGCCGCCGGCAGCAGCGCCATAACCGCTGATTGCCTGAAAACAATGCTTCCGAGAAGCAAAAGTGCTGCCTGTTGCGAGACTGTCAAAGAAGTGCAGCAAGCGAGTCTCCAACAACAGCAAACCTCCAGCCCCATGCTGCACGCCTTCCGAAATCCTGTCACGTCTGAGCCGCTGGCAATGAGCTCTGCCTGCATTTCCTGCGAGTCAAAGCCCACCTCAGCCGGGAGAAAACAAAACTTCGTTACTTGCTTAAGTGTAAAGTGTCTTTATCTGACAAAGCCAAGATCGTGTCTGCGAAGATGCCCGTCCCGAAGATGCAGCATGAATCAAGTGTAAAGTCATTCTGGCTGGCTCATCCAAAGCTTCTGGTATCCCTAGCGATCTGAAAGCCTAGGGCGAGGACAGAATGTTCGTCAGCTGCTGCGGCGTGAGCACCTTCGGCTCGGTTAACAACAAGCAAGCCGCTGTGCGGATGTCATGATTTTGGACCAGCATGGAGAGCGTAGGCCTGACTTCCTTACTTCGACTTTGACCATGACTTTCACGCAAATGCTTTGTTTTAGCTGCTAGATTCAAGCTTGATTGTACATAACATGACGACAAACGTCAAAATCCAACGGAACCGCGCACCCGAAAGCTCCACTCATTGCACGCCCTTCCCTCTCTCACCTTCACCAGGCTTGCTGGCCGGGTCAAGTAATCAGGAAAAACACATTCGACCGCATGGACTGGCAGTCTCATAGGGACCCTTAGCGGGGTAGAGGGGAGGGGGGTGGGGACTCTATTAAGTGCTCATTACGGGTATTAGTGCCCCCTACCCCCCAAGCGTCCTTATGGCAGTCGGAAGGTGCCCATCTCCTGGCTCTTACAAACTCTTGGCCCCTTGGCCCTGCACTAATCGCTGCGCCGCCAACGACGCATTGTTGAAGAACGCCTGGGTCCCAAGACCCGAGGATGGGCATCGGGGCTGCGAGGATTGAAAGGCTCGGGCCGCTTGGAAAAAGTTGTTGGCTGCAAACCCCCACATGATGCCAGCCACCTCCTCGGTACCAAGCATCAGCCATTTCCGCAGTCATTCGGCTTGAGACGCACAGCAAGCTGCTTGCATCCGGTACTCGACTTCGTCCCTGATTCTGGGCGTCGGGCCTGTTGCTTGAAATCCTGCAAACGGACGGTCGCACGTCTTGCCAGCTCCTGAAACAGCCTGAAGGTGTTCTGGACTGCAACATCGCGAAACGCTGTGCAACTCCGAAGCACAATTCACCGCAAATCAGGAGGCAAAACGCGAGCGACTAGATTCACCGAACTCTGCCAGGCCTCTCGTGCTGAATCTGGAGGAGGCCATAGGCCCAAGCCTTCTCGCAACCCAAATGTTCTAGAGCGGCATTCGACCCTGACGAGATACATCACAGGTCTGCGACAGCCCCCCTGCATCCCACAAGTTCAGGGTACAAACGGTGTTTGCGGAAGTGAGCACTTCGCTGGGTTCGGTGCCGTGTTGGCCAGCTCACCGCAGTTGGCAGTGTGCACCTGCAGGGGTGAATCTCCCGCGCTCCTGGCTCATTGACCTGACATGACGTGAGGCTCCGGCCTGGGAAATCAGGTGGTCGCCGATGGACTGAAAAAGCGCTTCCTCCTTCTGCCTCCGGAACGCTTCCATGAAAGTGCACTTTTGTGCTGGAGAAAATAAGGGCCAACAGTCTGGATCGGTCCAGGATTTTCTGTGAAGATGCCTGAAGGTCGCGTAGGACCACACGATGGTGACCAAGCAGCGGAGGGTAAACTCCTCGCAGATTTCGGGAAACTGTAGTCACTTAACATCGTTGATACGATGCACATCGGAAACCCAACAGCTACAGCATGTTCCATCCCGACAGCCACCGCACTCCCTGAAGGCCAGGTAGACTGAAAAGACCAGGCACTTTCCAGACGGAACCTTTTCTCACCCTGGCGCAGCTCGTCCATTCAGGTACCCATGCCCCTTCCAGCGCTCGGTGCGGAGGGCTTCTTCATGTCGCTTTTCCCTTAGCTGTCGCTGGCATGTCGGTCGGTCATTTGTGTACTGTGTTCGCGCGGGCCATGTGAGAAGAAAAGACAGTTATGTCGAAGGCTTGCCTGTCGCCGACGACAACACGATAATGGCCACCCCCAGTCACGACGACCACGACTATGACCACTACACTACAACCGTCACCACCAAAAACTACTCGCAACACTCCAGAACTACTCGCAACAACAACAACAACAACAACAACAACTACTACTACTACTACTACTACTACAACGACAACGACAACGACAACTACAACAACAGCAACAGCAACAACGACAACAACAACCACAACCGCAACAACACCAACCCGTTTGAGCAGAAAGAGCAGCAACAACAACCACCACAACAACAACTACAGCCACAACACCACCACAACCACGGCAGCAGCTGCAGCAGCAGCAGCAGAAGCAACTGCAGCGGCAGCCGCAGCGAGAAAGAGAAACAAAAACAAACAGCACCACCATAACCACCAGCACCATCACCAGATATCACCAGCACGAGCACCATTGCCGCACCACAGCCAAAGCCAACACCACGACGGCAGCAACTGCAGCAATAACCACCACTACTATGCATCCACACAGGGGTTGTTGCGTCCAGAACGGAGAGCGCTCCAACTGTCGCGACGAATGTCATTCACAAACGGGTTGCTGAACTGCTTCCTTTTCAGAGCCCTGTCTACTAGCTATTGACTATCCACTCATAGTTCAACAGCCACTGCTCATCCAAAAGCTCAACCAGATTCTGCTTCTGGCAATGTCTTGCTATCATGCTGGTGTCAATGTCGTTGTGCTAGCAAGCACTACATTAATCACCTTTCTCATCATCATTCATGCCGTCTGCATCAATTCAACATCAGAACTGTCATCGAAAGCTGTTCACTCAATGGTGACGAGCTTCGCCTGCATGCTTTTGGCCAGGCGCAGATTGCCTTGCCTGGTGCGCCGTTAGGTTTATTGATTCACTCGCTCATCCAGAGTCAGGAGCCGACATGCAAGTATAGAGGCTTCAACAATCACCTATACTATACTATTATGGGGGGTTCCTTATTGTAACTATAGTAAAATGGTCACCAAACCCTACTCTGATTCTTTTAAAGGCCCCAATAGCACGTCAAAACCGCAATCTTCCCCGCCTCTCAGCTTCATGTCGGCATTCGGCTGCTCGAGCTCGGTTTTGGGCGGTGCAGATCCTCGGTTGTGTTGAAAGACTGTGCGGTGCTTCCCAGTCGAAGAAGGGAGCTCGAACAAGCATCGCATGATTCATTCTACTGTAGCTGTCATAAGGAGACCCCCCGAAATAGTATAGGTACCTATTCACCCTACAAGAAATGCACAACAAATGCAAGAAAACAACCGAGAAGCTCTCGGGCCAGATCGCTGTTGATGTCGGTGAGGGCAGCGTTCTTTTCCTTGGATCTCTCCAGGTCCAGCCGCAATTTCTCCTGCAGCTTCAAGTCGGTACGAAGTGGGTGGCACTATCCTGCAAGGGAAACGTCCTACGACTCGGAGACATGAAATTGCAAGTCTGGTGTCCTGACGGAGCTTCATCTCGGCTTTTTCCTCGTAGAGTTTGTTCAGCTGCCGCGTAAGCAGGCAGTTCTGACAGGTGCTGGGCCGGTAGGCCGGCCAGGACTCTCAACCCCTCAAGCGACTGCTCAGACAACTTGCGGCCTTTTTGTTCCTGCACGAAAAGCAATTGCAGCCCCTCAGGCTGTTGTCAGATTATCCTGGGTCTGATTCTTCGGGGTGTGGATCGTCTCCAGTATATCCTCGACCAACTTCGTATTGCCTGAGTTTGCCAGCCACATCTGCCGGCAGACGCAGCACATGACGGCCATTCGACTAGAAAGCAGTCATTCTGCTTGGGTGTTGAGCTAGCCATACCTCTATCGGCAGCAAGACGCACAAAACTTCCATAAGCCTGACCACGCCTCACGAAGAACCTCCGCCCCCTTCAGACCGGTTGCTCAGGATCCAAACGGAGGTGCCGATGGCCAAGATCATGGCCAAGCCTGAGGAACACATAGTCGGCCTCCTACGAATGCACCCAAAGCACAACCCTGGTCATCGTGATGGTTGCACGAAGGCTAAGAACCCTCCCTGGTTGATGTCGTCGTGTTGTTGCGACGCTTATTGTTACTTCAGGGTGCTTGGCGGTGTTATCTTTCATAGTGTTTGTTGCTCGTGTCATTGTTAGTGTTCCTGGTCTTGCTCTTGCTATTGATGTTGTGTTTGCTCCCGCTATTTTTCGTTTAGTTGCTATTGCTATTGCTCGTAGTGCTGTGTTCGCGTCATGAGTGTTATTCTCGTATTTGTTCCTGCTAGTGTTCTTGTTATTGTCATTGTTCTTATTATAAGAAGAGTTAGTTCTCGCATTCCTCAACCTGTGGGTGGTTGTCAAAACTGTGGTGCCTTTTTGGGTCCCTAACCTAGTACGGCACCTAATGTTTAGGGTGCCCAAAAAAGGGACCCTAATTTTAACAACCACCCATGTGCATTATCTTTTTGAAGATTGTTGTTAGCGGCTGTTGTTCTTACTCTTATGTGTCCTATTCATCTTATGTTTTCTCGTCTTCTCAATATTGGTATTATCATTGGTCATTCGTCGTCTTCTTCTGATAAGTGCTGGGGGAGCATCGAGCGGAGTATTACGAGGGTTTCCGGAGAGGCTCCTGAGTCTGATGGTTCAGTGACCCAGCTGCTATGCTCGAAGAAGCAAGAATGCACTGCGAGGAGGCCGCACCATTCACAGGGCCAGCTTCAGAGTCTCTCACCCTCCACTGGTACAGGACACATGTATAGTAGCGATATTTTGCATTACCCGAAACAGGGGTATGGCACCTGGCTCAACGACCAGAATTTAGACCCCGCTGTCAAATACATTTTCGAACGCAGAAAACGTATCGTCTCACGGTACACCACTCAATTAGGGCTGTCGCTGGCCTGGCACAGGGGGGCAGGAACCACTGGGGTGGGGGGGGAGGTATCCCTGCATTATTGCATTACTGTAAGATTTCATTATTGCATTGTTGTACTATTGTACGATTGCAGTATTGCTGCATTGTATAATTTATTATGAATCTATTAAACTGCATTATTGTATTTTGTATTAGAGCTATTGTTCTTGTTATGATTATTTTTGTTATGATCATTCTGAAGATGCTTGTCATCATTATCATTGTTAGAACTGTTATTGTTACTGCTGTAATTGTTATTCCTCGTACTCGCTGTCTCCCTATTCTTGTTAGTTTTGGTGTTGGCGTTGGGCTGGTGGTGCTGATGCAGAGTGAATTCGTTTGAGTTGTCTGTGTAGACGTACTTCGTTGTGGAATCTGCCAAACATGTTCGGCGGCGGTGGTGGCGGTGGGCGGTGGTGGCGGTATGCGATTCTTCAACCTAATACAACTCCCAGTGGCTGGTTGCCTGTTGCGTAAATGTCGTGATCTTGCGCTACAGTCAAAACTCACTGTGACACGAACAGTCCACAGAAGTCTTGAGCTAAGAAGGATAGATCTGGCAAAGGCACCTCCCCGGCTCCCGCAGACCTCAGGCGAGAAGCTTTCTCTAGACTGTCGGAGAGCAAGCTGGCTTTGATGCAGCGGCCAGTCGCACAGCAGAGGACGTAGCGAAATAGACGTGGGGCGACGAGGTGCTCCCTCTGGTTGGGAATGCAGAGCTGTGGGGTGTCGGAATATCTCTACTATAGGTTCCTAAATGACTCGACTGCATGCATCACCGCCAATGCCGATTCCTGACAGTACGGTGGGCCGTATGCGACGTCGATCTCTCCTAGCGTCAAGAGTCTGTGACTTTCCTGTGCAAGCGCCCGAAAACGGGGCTGATCCACACTTCTTCCGCTCCAAACTAGGTAGATTGCACCGGGACAACCGAGCAGCCCGCATGAACGTCGCGAGTTCAGCCGCAAAACCCAATCGCCGCAAAGACCCAGGCATCCCTGCGTCCGAGGCGCGACACGTGCGTCCCAGCCGCGCTCCGCCCGGGTTCGCACGAAGAGCAGAGGGGGAAAGACCATGGCCATCCTGGTCCGAGGCGGCAACCGAATCTAAGTCAGGGCTTAGGTGAGGGTTACGCAGAGCAGAAGCCATGAACACTGAAATCGAAAACGCTGTAAGAGTCTACTAGGGGGTGGAGGAGGGAAGAGGCAGAGGCGTGGAATCTAGGTTCTCAAAATGGCAGAAATGGCAAATGCAGGCATCCTCAGCTCCCTGCCGTTACATGCCACAACACCCTGGATGTGGGATTTGGGTCTTTTTTGAGGTTTCGGGCTTTCCTTCATGAAACTGCCAGGAGGCCTGCAAAAAGGATTTCGTGTTGAAAGTTACCTAGGGGGGATGCCTTTGCAGCTGAGGCACAAGGTTGCACAGCAGCCTCCGCCGAAACGCAAACAGTACTCGAGGCCTTCCAGCGATGGCGCAAAACGCCACCCCTCCCCGTGGGCGTCGCAAGGGATCTAGCAACAACTACGATGTTACCAACCTGTGGCTACACCTGCAGCTACAAGCAGTTACATGAGGGATGTGGCACCTCCAAGCGCTTGGGCGACCACTGAGAGCCTCAGTGTGGGCCCGGATGGACGGGGAGAACAAGTTGCCACTCAAACCAGACTCTGCAGCTTCCCCTGCCCAGGCGCATGGACAAGAACAGGCTGAGGCCCACTGACAAAGCCTCAAATTTCAGGCAGCTGTCCGCAACAAGAAGTTACCGCTGCTAGCTGCTAGACTCTAGTCACAAGTCTAAACTGCTAAAGATGCCCTTTGCAGTCTTGCTCAATACCTTTGAGTTGCCAAGTTGCGGCAAAAACAGGGTACGGTGCCTCGTGACGCAGCTCATCCTTCCGCAGGCAAGCTGACATCAGCACATTCCTCAGACGAGGTAAGAGATGGAGCTTTCGAAGCTGCGGAGGCGAAGGCAGTGCCAGCAAGGGCTGAACGTACTGCCGGCAGAGCCACCGAACTGGGAACATCATGAAGATGTAGGAAATGAAGACCTAAGACGGGTTTCTGACTTCGACTTGCAAGTTACAGCACGAGAGTGGGATAACCTGGGCACGCAAACAGCTACAGTCGCTTAATTGGGAGGGGACCTCTGTGCAAACCTCAATCAATTCGTGTAAAGATGTGACTGGATGTGGTTAGCTGCCAAGGCGCCAGAACGAAGCCGCACCTGCCCACACTACTTGAATAGACAGTGACAATGCAAACAAGCAACACTTCGTCAACTGAGCAGTGGTAGACTCTGATTACGTTCTGCTCAATGCGCAAAGAGAAAGTGCAGCCGAGACACCATCGGGCCACCTGATCGACAGGACGCTGACCTTCAGGGGCTCAAAGCGCATGGCAGTCGACCGCACTCTGTGGACAGCGCCTATCGTTGTCAGCGCGCTGTTGGTGCAAAGGTCGGAATACCGCAGATATACCGAGTGCCCGAAGATCGCTGAGATAACCTGAGAAGGTCTGGACAAGAAGTTCAGGTAAACACTTGTCAGTGTAGGCGTGGGTCTTACAGATTACTGAACTGCGTATCTTGCAAGCATGGAGCATAAAGGAGAAAGTAGACCAATCCGGTGACTCGCCGAACGTTCTCCCACGAGTTATCCTGCATAGATGCCTCAGTGTATTCCCAAGCTTGGCAATGCGCAACATTGGCGGGATGCGACCGACATCCCCATTCTCCTTGAGGCCGCCCCTTCTCTGCATCCAATGTTCTGATTCCTGACTGGTACCTCCGCAAACCCTCCACGGCGCCAACCAGGAAACGGTGCCGATTTTGCTACCTACGAACGCATCTGGGCCTGGCGCAATGGCGAAGGTGTCAGATCCACCAAATCCGTTAGTGCAACTGAGCGGCCAAGATGATGGGAGACGATGCTTGGGTAGAGTATGCCAGAAGAATGACCGGCAGCACCTGCCCAGATTACAGCACTGACTCACACTGCACTGCGACCACCAGAGGTATGGCTTCTCGGAACAAGATCGGGAGACTTTCAATTCTCCTGCTGCTGCCTCCCGCGACGAAAAGACCCGCGAGACCGAGAGCCTTGATAAGCTTCGACGGGTCCAAGGTGTAATACAGCAGCTTTCCGGGCTCTCGACCTCCGAGAAGCACGGGCCAAGAAGGTAACAATAAGTCAACACTGGTCATGATCCGCAAGACAAGCAAGAAAAGCTTCATCAGCCACCAGCAGTAGTTGCAGTAGCCGGTGGTGGTGGTGGTGGTGGTGGTGGTGGTGGTGGTGGTGGTGGTGGTGGTGGTGGTGGTGGTGGTGGTGGTGGTGGTGGTGGTGGTGGTGGTGGTGGTGGTGGTGGTGGTGGTGGTGGTGGCGGCGGTGGTGGTCGTCGTGGTGGTGGTGGTAGCAGTAGTAGTAGTAGTAGTAGTAGTAGTAGTAGTAGTAGTAGCAGTAGTAGTAGTAGTAGCAGTAGTAGTAGTAGTAGTAGTAGTAGGAGGAGGAGGAGATACTTCTAAGTATGCGTACACGTGTAAGCATTAGCACAAGCACGAGCACACGCGTAAGCGTAAGTACTAGTTCAATTGTAGATGCAAGGCTAAAATGAACAGTGTAGTTGCAAGTGATAGAAGCAAGTATGCGTGTACGTATAATCAGAAATGACATACTTGCAAGTCTTGGTATGAGTTTTAGTTTTAGCCAGGGCACCAGCTTCAGAACAAGCATGCGCTAAAGTGAAGAATAAGTGCAGGTAGAAGTCTGAGTATAAAATAATCATAAGATGTATAAGTCCAAGACGACACCAAGCATAGGGAAAACAAGATAAGTGTAAGTACAAGTAAAGTGGTCAGAGCAGTAGTAGTAGTAGTAGTAGTAGTAGTAGTAGTAGTAGTAGTTGTAGTTGTTGTTGTCGTAGTAGTCGTTGTTGTTGTTGTGGTAATGGTGTGATAGCAGTTGTGAGTAGTCGTGGGAGTAGCAGTAGTCGTCGTCGTCGTAGTAGTAGTAGTACAGTAGTAGTAGTAGTAGTAGTAGTAGTAGTAGTAGTAGTAGTAGTAGTAGTAGTAGTAGTAGTAGTAGTAGCAGTAGCAGTAGTAGTGGTGGGGGGGGGCAAAGCAGCAGTAGCAGTGGCAGCAGCAGGACCACCGGCAGCAGCAGTCGTTGTCGCCGCAGTCTTCTTCGTGGCAGTTCTCTTCGTCGCGGTCGTCTTCGTCGTGGTCGTAGTAGTCGTAGTCGCCGTCGCAGCAGCAGCAGCAGTAGTAGCAGCTGGTGTTGCTGGCTCAGACACAGCTGATGATTTTAGCAGTGATCATAGCGACGGAAACTAGAAACCTTGATGCTGATGCAGATGGCCATGCGACCGGTGACCAGCATTGTAACAACGACCGTGCGGGCTTGACCCACGACAGCAGGGTGCATATCGGCAGACAAGGCTCCCATGTGCTCCACGAAGGTGTCACCCTTCAGAACGTCGGCATAGCATGGAATTGCTATGGCCAGCATCTGGATCACGCAAGCCTCATGTCTGTTGACATGTTGTTGCTAGCTCCTCCAGCATTCCTAAAACAGGCGGAGCTCTCGACCCCTTCTGATGGTCACGAATCTGTTCAGCAACATGAGGATTCGTCAGAAGTTGCAGCTCACTTTCCGAACCCCACACAGCCCAACATGGCCAGGCAGCAAATGTTGCAACCGAGGATAGGACTGCTATCCTCTTCAGCGACCTTTGCACGTCGTGGGCTGGATTTCAACCCTGAATCCTGCATGTCCTGCTGCTGCCCTTGCAACATCTTGTAAGAAATTCTTGTACTCGTCGACTCTTCGAAGCTGTTAACACTTCCCTCCTGCAAAGTCCCCCGGCCTGATGAAGGTAAACGGGACCAGCAGAAGAAACCCCACCGCAGCAGCTTTCTTCCTCTCCCTTAGGCAGAGAACAGCTTGCGTCGCGCCGGCGAACCACCTTCGCTACTACGACTGGCCTGGTGCACGCCGAGGGGCTGCTGCCACTCGAAAGTGTCTGCCAGGACGTCCGCGACCGTCACAGCCTCGGCGGCTCTGACATCCACGGCAGGGATGACCGGCGGGTACTTGGGTCTTCGGAAAAGCCAGGTCGAACCCAAGGACCCAAGGATTCTCAGTTTTAGCCAGCCACTGGCACGGCCACTTCTCAAAATCAAACCACCTCTTGGCCTCTTGGCTTCTTTCTGATGTGATCTGCTCCCGGGGCACCATCAAGGGCCTACCTTGATACGGACTCTTTTGGCCTGTATGGCGATTGATTCTTTCTAAGTCTTTTCAAAGCCGAGTCTGAGGGCTGGACATAGGCAGTGCAGGAGCAGCACATCCTAAGGCAGAGGAGAAATCAAAACGTGCGAAGGGATGAGGGGCTGGCATACTTTAGTGAGCTGATCAACCAGATTTGGGTACCACCACTCCCCTGTCTCACTGTCTCAGTCTCTGCAGCTGAGGGGCTGGATGGTCATGAACGTGGCAATGACGCTGAAGCCGGCCGGCCCGAAGCACCATTGCCCAACGTCGGGGTAAGACCTTGAAAGGCCGCTTTGGCCGTCGGCAAAAGGAGCGCTGCTTGAGAGCGAAGCTGAGGCCCTGAGGCCCGGACACCTTGACCTTCGCTAGCTGACAGGAACGATAGATCAAGTGGAGGGTGTATCCTGAGAGCTCTCGGATGCCCCGCAGAGCGCAAGTTGCCCTTCCAGCTGCCACTTGCTGCTAGGAGGCTGTTTAGGAAGTTCGATCCAGCATATAAGGCGAGGCCCAGCACCAGGCCCACCTGTACTTCTGTTGCAAGGTAGCTGCAGGGTTCCCGGTCAGAATTCCTCAGCAACCCTTGAAGAAGCTCTGAGGCTCTGTGGTGTTTCTGGGCAGCTCAAGCCCAAGCGGAAGGCTCGGAACCGGGCGACTAGCGTGTCATGGCGTGTCTCGCGCTAGCCAAGTGCGCCACTCCCGCCTCCGAGCAAACCCAGCCGACTGCGAGCAGCGACACGCCCAAAGCATTGTTGAGCAAGTTGAAGATCCTTAGACGGACTGACAGCCAAGGAGCTTGAAGCATCTCGAAAGGCAAACGGGACGCGGGTTGCGTTGCTTCAGTGTTGGATGCCTGGCGTCGCTTCAGTGTTGGACTGCAAGGCGGCTTTGGCAGTCTGCTCGTCAAGCCTTGTCAAGTCCGGTCCGAGAGTCGAGGGTATCTTAGAGCTAAGCAACACGACTCAGGTGCTGGCTCCACAGGGAATTCCACGAAGGAGCTCACTTCTGCACGTGCACTGGGGGACTGGGGCTCCTGCAAGTCAGGATGAGGGGAGGATAGGCACAGGTTCGTGCCGTTGATGATACAGTAGTCAGCAGTCTCGTGGCGAGTTATCAGAGGCTGAAGCACAAGGCAGAACACTACGTTGCAGTCCAACTTGTTCTCCCGTCCTCGATGCTGAGGGATCTGCCTGCGGAGTCTATGGGGCATAATGAGGAGTGCTTGATGATCTGTGACTACTTAGTGACCCGGAAGGATGCCTTCCGACCCCAGATGCTGCCGGAACATGCTCAACATGAGCCCGCCTTGGGAGGCGAAGGGTCGGTCATCCTCTGAGCCTACCATGGCAGAAGGGCCCCTTTAGGGCACGATCCCTGGCTTCCTCCTGCCGGCTTAGCATTGAAGCCAGCTCGGAGCCAGACAGCTGCATGCGCTTCCAGGTCACGTTCCGCGACTCCAACCATGTGTGTATGTCTCCTTATATGTGTGCACGAAATCACCGTATGTGTTTATGCCTGTTAGGTCAGGTGGGCAGGGAGGTAGTTTCGTTACGCAGGTAGGGAGGTGTTCGGTCGGTACGTAGGCCCTTGGCTAGCCTCGATGGCTTTCGTCTGCTGCGGAATGGCTTCGCTGGGCCGCGCGGGCTCTGCTTCTATGCACCTTGGAGCGGCATGCTGCCCAAAGGGTTTTAACTTTAGTTGACTCTATTGAGTGAGTGAGTGGCTACTCTGAGGAGACCGTGCTAAGGCCCCATCCCTCCCGGCCTTTTTACTCACCAGACCTATCAAAGCCGGCTCCCAGAAGTTCGGCCCCATCAAACGTCTTGAAGGAATAAGTCTATCTAGTATATCAGGGACTGCCTCCGGAACCGTAGCACCACAGTACATAAAACTCGAAAGCCGAAACCAAGCCGAGCTGCTGATCGATGGCCTCAAGGAGAGCAGCTCGAGCTCTTGGAGCATCCTCTCTGTGCTGGGCCGCCTCCTTCGCCATCTGCTTCTTGAGTGTAGCGATCCGTGTCCTGGGCTTTCTGAAGGGCACAGATTCCCTAGTCGAGCAAAGCATGTGTGGAGACTTTACAGGATCAGGATTGAAAAGGTAGTCAGCAGCTCAACAACTCAGCCGAGCTTCATGTTGCCCGGCCTCTCCTTGGCCTCCTTGGCTGAAGTCACTCTGAACACGAACAGCTACAGAACCGCGTGTAAGCAAACGGAACCGAATCCTTGCATTCATGAAGCCTTGGCCGCATCAATGGCCGCGTATATCAGGCCTCGAAACTCGAGTGCCGACGCCAAGCAGGGCGTCCACGGCGACATCACTCTGGTCTTGCCTGGGCGCTTGCAATAAGGAAGCCTCAGAGCCTCAAATATGCCAAGGGCGCATTCCGAAGTCTGGGCCTCCCGCCGTGCACATCGGAGGCGAACTGGAATGTCCAAGGGGCTTCGGCCATCAAGGCCTCCAGCTCCTGCCTTTCCAGAGGGTGCACCTCCTCGGCAGTTTTCCCCATTTGTCCCGTCGCCCTTCTGCGCTCCAGATACATGTTGAAGCGCGCCAGCGCTCGTTGCCGCGTAGTCACGGCCGCGACATGTATTGCTAGAGCTTGCTCCAGGGTGGGGATGTGGGTGGCTCTCATCCGGAAGGATCTCCAACTGACATCAACCGCAAAGCCAGTTCGGTTGCGCGAGAGGCCCTTGCTGTTGTTCTCGTCCAGCTCGACATCCATTGTCACTTGCATTTGTTTGGACATGGCCTGCAGCTTGTCTTTGAACTTTCTGAGAACTTCGATCTTGTAGAGCTTCAGCTCGTCGGCAGGGCACTCCCCGCGCAGTAAAAGTGCCGCGAAGAGCCGGTCTGAGCACTCGCTCAAGCTGGTTTCTTCTTCAGCCTCGCAAGGGCCAGGGAAAACAAGGAATTGCTGGTGCAAATGCATTCAGCGTGCGCTCCTGCTCCAATTACAAACGATTTACCACCCCGGGAAGTCAACGAGCACTAACATGTTGGTTGACGAACCTGTATTCCGGCAACGGGCAGTGAAGAGTAAGAGCTTTGTGGAATTGGGGTTGTGGACTCGGGGCTTGCACACCTGGTCATACCTGTTGAGATTCACGGCAGTAAATCCCAACACCACCATGAAGTTGGACCCCACACAGTGGGCCCTATGACCTGCCACGGGTCCCAACAGTATCTAAGGGCAGCAGCTCACAGCGTCTTGCAGACTCCGCCGAACCCCTCAAGACTGTACAGTACCCGTCCGCACGAAACTGCAATAAACCTCTTTTGGTTCCGGTCGGCCTTGCGCAGGGAGTCCGTCAGGGCCACGTAGGCCGCTTGGACTCGGCGGAAGGAGGCTGAGGAGCCGCCCTTGTCCGGGTGGGTCCTCAGAGAGAGAACAGAAAGAGGTTAAGACCTGTAGGGACGAGTACTAAAGTACTGCATCGACTGCAGCTGAGGCGCTGCAGCGCCCTTTTGCGATAGGCGGTGTTGATCTCCCGCAAGGATGCTCCGGGGCACAGCTCCAACTCTTTGTAGTAACCTCGCTTGCTGAAACAATCTCGGAGCATGGCATTCGCCGAGACTTAAACACTTCGACGATAGTGCTCGAAGGCAAGAGGCTTTCAAGGTCGATGCCAGCGGCAGCCATGTCTGGTGCTTCTGGTGGCGCCGCTGGTGCAGTGGCCACTGCATCCACCGCTTTCGACTTGAAGAAGCTGGTCAACGCAGCTTGCTTCGCCTCGCCTGAAGGTGGAGCCGGCGCAGCTGGCGGATCGGCCGAAACAGCTTCTGGTTTTGCTTCTGCCTGGGCTCAGCTTTAAGCGACTTCGCACGACCGTTTTAGACAGCGCACCGCCCCGAATCTGCCAGGCCACCACCGCTTGCTTCCGCGCAGCCCGAGGTCGTGGTTGCGCTTTGCCTTTTGCTTCACGCTTCGCTGCTGCCTGAATCTTCCGGCCGTGGAGTCAGATGGCACGACACTGCGCTCAAAACGCCACCCTTCCGACCTTTGGCAGCTTGCGCTTGCCCGCGCCAAGGTCGTGAGGAGGCGGGTCGGGACACTTTGCCTCCGGTCGGTGGGGCTCTCCGGCCTCGCAGCACACACGAGGGCAGAGCAAACAGATCGAACAGTTGACAGTTGGCCCTGCCTTCAGCTCTGCGATGATCTTGTCCAGGGCTCCGCCATGCTTGCCCTTGGTGTTTGCCCTGAAGGGCAGGCCCTGCAGCTTCTCGACGATGCCTTGGTTCCGGCAAATCTTGCAGCGCGGTGAAACCGGATGCAGATGCGATTGCAGCAGAGCTGCCTGGTGCAAGGCGGCCGGCCAACTCCACGCAGGCTTCCCTCTCACGATGGAAAATCTCTGCGCCATTAGGCCGGTTCGTCACCTCGAGAGCAACCCAATGAGAGGGGGAGAGCCCTTAGCTTTTCTCTTTGGGGGCGGGGGGGGCATCTTGAGGCGCTCTCATTCCTCGTCTATCCATCGCATGTGCCCAACACTAAGTAGAGCAAGCCCAGGCTCGAGCAACTCTCCCCCTCTCTGTCTCCCCTCTTCCGAAAAGCAAAGCGTCGAGGTCTGCAAGCTCCATCAGCTTGCGCTCCATCTCGGAGGCGGCCGCGCGCTCCTCCCCAGTGTACGGGCCGCGATCCTTGCAGCAAACGGACGGGGGCAGCGCAGCAAAGCCCGAGGGTCAAGAGTACCGGACTTGTGCAGGCGAGGCTCTCTGAGCTTGGGCCGCTTCTTCGGTGGCTCGGCCATGCTTGGCTTGGGAGCCGCGCTAGGACGCTGACGATGCCATGCGCAAATTACGAATTTCGGGTGCGAGGCTTGCACCGAAAGGGCAGCAGCACTACTCGTAGAATGCAATGGCAATCCCCCTGTTTGGTTGGACTGAAGGCTAAATCTGAGCTGATTCAGTGAGTCTGCGAGCTTCCACGGTTGTAGATTGTGCAGAGCTACAGAGTGCGCTATAGCAGCTCCAGAGCATATTGATCGGAATGGCATGCCTCGGCAGCATCTCTTAAAGTTCTGGACGAACGAACGGCCGCGGCTCAAGTCCAGCTTGGCGCGGTAGTCGGCCCCGTGATGATAAGGGGCTTGCAAGAGTGAACAGTGGCCAAACATCTTTGGACAAGGCGACAAACATCTGTGATCTCATGCGAAACTGCAACTGCACCGTCAGATCCCTCGAGCAGCAAGACAGGGGCAATTCCGTAAGACGTAGCGCCCTCAGCCGGGTCCTCAAGCAGTCCAGGCACGCAGGATGCTGCGGCTTCAAATAATGGCCGCGCGCCTGAGCCGCACCGAGACATCCCAACTCCCATTGCCGCTTTTACTGAGGCAGGTGCAACTGCACGCATCTGGATTCAGGGTGCTCAACTTGGCGTAGGACCTGAGACGGGCCATGTCCCTCTTCGAGATACGACCAAGTCTGCGAGCACATATGCCAAGAGCATGCTCTGCTAGAGATCGGTGTCTGGGAGCTGAGCCAAAGAATTGTGGACAGCTCGAAGGGCTTGAAGTTCCTGACCTCGCCCCGAAGAACCCTAAACCCATACCTTGCAGCTCCTAATAAGGCTTTCTTACCGTTCGGTGCCCTGCCTGGCCCTGAGCAGGCGTCGCAATTGCCTCCCGCAGAGTGCTGGGCTGAAAAGCTGCTCCTTTTCGCCAGCTTTTTTACACACAGGGAGCGGATCGGGCTGTGCCATTCCCAGAGGTCGGATGCACCAAGCACGCTGTCCGATGCTGTACAAGCGAAAATCCCTCGGGGGGCTGCGGCCTATACAAGCACTTCAGACTCAGACTCCCCCAGGCAGACGCACTTGCCGATGAACCTGGGAAGGATTCCCGAAGCTTTGGCAGCAACGGGTGCAGTCTCAATTGATTCAATGACTTCGTGTTGCTGCTCGCGCTTGCGACACATCACCTTGTACAACTGGATTGAAAGGGCCGGGAAAAAGCCAGCCATTCTCTTGTCCCAGACAGAAGGGGGAAGGTTCCCTTGTGGCTCAGGAAACTTTGGCTTCGACGAAGAAGACTCTAAACATAACAGGATACCAGAAGCACTTGCTGAAACCCCCAAAAAGGCTTCGAGCCCCTGCCAGGAAACCGCTGTGGCACGATGAAGGTGCAGCGCGGAGCCGCTGTCCCAGTCAGAACTGCCTGGAAGGTGGGCTGAGAGCGGAGAGTTCGAACATGCCCCGAAAGTCACTATTCTAGAACTACATGCATTTTAGAATAAGGAAGGCCCAAAATAGCATAGGTAATTACCAGGGATGCTCCTCAAGCCCTCCCCTGCACAAAGGGAGCCTTGAGCTCGTGGTAGGCGTGGCAGGTGAAGTCCGCTGGCTGAGCTTGCTTTTCTGTCTCCACGTTCGTGGCGACCTGACTCACAGGACGGCTTGGGGCAGAAAGACTCGTTGAGGATGTAAGCCACATGCACTGGAGAGAAACCTATCTCAACTTGTGATTTCACAGAGACGCATTGCACAAGTGTTATCGGATGTGGAGAAGCTTCGTGCATGCAAAGCGGCTGAAATCACGAAGTCAAAGCCTGGAATATATGTTGTCTGTGACTGGTACCCATATGTGTCACCCACATGGCCATAAGCATCCGCATCACCGATGCTCCACGCCAGGTTGAAGGTGCCCATTCCGTAGAACTTGAAGCTGCCTTGGAAAACTCACAGCTCTGAGAGGGGAAGACGGGCACTGGCAACAGGTCTCGGTGTTTGTGGGGGACTGCAGGGGTTTCTGTTTTCAGGAAGTGCCGTAGTACAGTACAGGAAAACTTTGCAAACGCTCGGGGTCGGCAGTGCAGAGTTGCGGTGGCAGAGGCCGCGGTGCTGATGGTGCTGCTGGCTGTTTCGGTTGGTGGCGCTGGTGACAGTTGTGGTGGCCAAAGCGTGGTGGGGCACAAGGACGCGGGGCAGGGGCGCTAGGGAATCTCAGATTATCCCGTGACCAACAGCTACACAGGGCCTGCGCGCCCGCCCTGTCTAAAACCTTGATAGAGGGAAAGGTGGACCTGCTTAGCCTGAATCTACGGGAAGCGGTACAAGAATGATGACTCCCAGCATGCCACTCATTCCTGGAGCGGTGAAGTTTGTCAAATGCGCTTGCGACTGCGCCGTGACAATCTTGGGGTCCTTGGTGTTGTAGAGGTCGTATGTAAAACGAGCAATGTCGGCAACGGAACCAACGTAGTCCCCCGCTGTCCAGCCTCCCAAGCAGCTGACGTTCCAGACGTCCTGCTTGGGAAGCTGTGCGCTGGGATAGAACCCCATGAAGCCATGCACAGGCGTGTACTGGCTGCAGGGGCCGTGCTTCACGAACAGGGACTGGGTGAAATCCTTCTGCAAGGCGGCGGGGACCACGCTTGCTTGATCGTAGTCCTGCCAGCTCCACGCAGTGCCCGCTCGATGATGGTGCGTGGCAAGGACGAAGCCCAAAAGAATATAGTTGGTGCTGCAGTAGCTCTGGCGCTCTCCCGGCGAAGATTGAAGGGTGGGGCTTACGAACCGGGTCAAGATCTCCACCGGGCCGAAAGCTTTGGAGCGGTTGGCAAACTGAGCTGCCGAAAAAGCCTCGCCATCGTAGTCTTGGATGCCGGAAGTCATGTGAAGCAGATGCTGAATTTCCACATCTCGGATCGGGCTGCCGAAGTGGTCCTCCAAACGGGTGCCATTCAGCTGCAAAAGGATGGGATCGATGTGCAAACTGATGGGATCCGTCAGCTTGACCAGCCCCTGCTCCACCAGCTGCAGCACTGCCGGAGCTGTGATCATCTTCGTCGTGGACCCCCAAACCTCAGGCAACGCAGGCACCGCTCCCACGGGACCGGACACTTCCCACGGAAGGTAGGCGAGCGCAACCCTGATGAACCACCCCTCTCGCAGAAATCCCCGACATTGCTCTCAACATCACACGGCCTCAGCTACTCCTTGAAAAGAGTCCCTGCCCGGGCACATAGAGGTCCTCCGGTACTGCGAGCCGCGTTTTTTGGCCAAGCCCGAGACCTGAGAGGCGATCAGAATCCGAAACAGTGGAGGCATATGCAGCATTCTTATGTAGACAACAACTGAATATGCAGACACTATATGTACATATTATACAGCCAGAGAGAGAGAATGTGAATGCATCATGCATGTGTATGTACTTACATGTATGTATATGCATTTTATGCATATAATATATACAGTATATACACACATACAAAGATATGTATGTATATGTATATGTACATATATATGTAAATAGATTGAGTTCATATACACAAACAGAATTACACACATTGTTAAATGTAGCGTCCCGGCCCTTCTATAGGCCCTTCCTGCCAGACCCAGGCTCGGACCTGCATCCGTGTAGCCCGAGGCAACGCTAAAGGAGAGGTTCGACGAGTGGAAGGCTGCCGCCAGTCCCATGTCGTACTTGTCCTGCCAACGTCAAAGTGTTTGAGCATTGACATACCGGGTGCAGGTGATTTCGCAGCCAGGTCCCGCATCTGGTCCGCCACTTTTGCCTCAGAGTTACGTATGTGGTGAAAGGCAGCTCACGAAAGGCTGTCGATGACAAAGCCTCTACATAAGAAACCTGAAAAGCCAATGTCCCTTGACTACCTGCAGGCTGGACTTCTGGAAGTCTAGTCTAGGGCCCAAGCAAAGCCTGAGGGCCTTTAGGCCTTGACCGAGGCGCCATGGCCGCCCGAAGGCGATCTTCAAGCTGCGGCTGCGCTGCCGCAAGGGCCAAGGCCAGGAAGGGAGCCCAGGAACCCAAAGCCATGGCTTCCGGCGGCAAGCGGCAAAAGCTGTTTGGGAACGCTTTTGTCGAAGCGATTTGTCGAGGCTCTGAGCCTTTTCTCGCTTTCAGCAAGACCTTGCGAGGTTCCATCGGTTTCCATCGAAGTCTTCTTGGGGTTCTTTCAAAAGGTTTGAGCAGCTGCTCGCCGACCCCGGCAGGCACGAAGAATCAAGCAGCTCCTTGCTACCTACAGGCACACCCACCCGAGGCAAGCAATGCTCCGCAAAGTGTGGACATCTGTGTATCAACCATAGCAAGGGATGCGGCTTTAGTGCATAAGCAGTGCATTGCCATCAGCAGTGGCTTCCAATCTCTTGGGGGGCCTGTAGCAGGTTCTCGTCCATGGCGTTCAGCGTCACCATGGCCCAAGTAATATTCGCCAGGGCCTCCCAGCAGTTTCCCGGTCTTGATAGTAACATTGACAATCATGGACATAATTCTTGACTCCAGTATTGGGGCAGGGAGGGACCTCAACGAAAACTCTGAGGCAACATGTTGGACTACACAGTTGCTCCCGCAGAGCGAAAAGGCTTAATCAATTAAGCCCATTGTCGACAATTCGCTGCCACCATTGCGGCAGCTTTCGTTGTCAGGCTCTTGTTCAATTCCGGACAGCCTGAGCGGAGGGCTTTGTTCCGCTGGCGCTGGCCTCGGGTTCACCAAAGCCCCAAAAGTCCCGCTGAACAAACACAAACATACACAGACAAACACGCACACACACACAGACAAACACACCTCTTGCGGTTCTTCACTGTCGGGAACCGGCCCTTGCGAGCACGGTGTTGGCCTGATGGATGAGGGCCTGGCGAAGCACTCGCCGTGAGCAGAGGTGTTCAAGTTCCACTGCTTGGTAGCTCGTCCTTTTGTGAGCGTGCGGGGCAGGGTCTCCGGGGTCTTGATCTTAGCATGACATCCCACTCCCGAAGTTTTGCACTTGGCATGCAGGTTGATCTGCGTAAGCCTCTGAATTCTGCTGGCCTTTTGCGCGCTGCACGTGCTGAAGCTGATGCTGGCGCATGCTACATGGGTAGGACGAAGACAAAAATAGAACTCGTCAATGTAGCCCCGAGAAGGTTGAGGAAGCACTTGTTTCGACGGCTACTACACATAGTCTCCTCAGCTTAAGGACTGCAGAGATGCTCGACATGGTGCCAGATCTGGCATCCCAAGCCTGCACGACGCCCTTGACCGTCATAGCGGCTTCTTGATCTTCGTTTGTGGTCCAAAGTCGCGCTATCCGGTGAAACCTTGGGAGATTGCTGGTTGGGTCAGGTCGGCCTCCATCCCACATGCTGAGCAGGGTGCGCTGTGGAAATATTCACGAGGTTCATCTGGGACACATAGGCCTTGCCCACTTCTGATGAATGATCAGGCAGGACTTTGTCAAAGAGTACTGGCTGTAAGTCATGAGGTGCCTCGATGGTCGTCGCCAGCTCCATGAGGTTGCCAGACCTCGCAAACTGCGGTCAGAACCTCCCGAAAAAAACACTGACAAGTTCTGAGGCCTCTTGGTGTAGTACCGAGGCCCGAGCTCCGACACCGTGATGATTTGGCTGTTGATCCATGGGAACGTGTCGCGTTTCGATGCACCCTGGCTGCGATGCAAGCCGCAACCCTCGGCCCGTTCACGTCAATTCGCCACTTGCGCGTGACCCTGCATATCGGTGTACCCGACCCAACGGCCTGGCGAAATCTTTGGCGCGAGTTCTTGTCCCCTTGTTTCTTCTTGGCACCTCGACTGATGACAAGAACTGGATGGGCGTCAATTCAATTCGATATTATCAGTTTCGGGATGTGCAAACAAAGAGACAACATGCAGGCTTCCCAGCACCCCCGCGAGCTGAGACCAGGGCTCGGGTTACCGGGCCTCTCCTGTCATCTTAGAGCACAGGGCTCGAAAAGAAATTCCAGCCCAAAGCCCAGCTCAGTCCTTCTCCACCATTGCGGAGAGAAGGACCGGCCTCAGGCCTCCGGGAACTCAGAAAGTCTGAGGGGGGCTGTGATAACTACGCATCCTGCCTGAGAAGGGATGCCAACAGTCAACTACCCATGCCACTCACAGTCGCTTGCGGCTTTGTGCAGTACTGGCTCGGATGCTCCATCGAGCTGTTCTTCAAGCTAGGCACAAGGCTTCGGAGTGCTCGATGCTTTTGCAAGACGGCGATTTCCGCTAGCTACTTTCGGCTGACGAGTAGCTCAGAGTGAGCTGGTGGACTGCGAGGTTTCTGGCTGATTCTGTGTAAGGCTGTGCACTTCTTTGAGCCGGAACGGCCGCCTCTGCAGTGCGCATCCTCCACACTCTGCAGCAGCAAGTACCAGGCGGAACTCGGCCGCACCGCACGCGCTCAAGTTTTTTGCTCTCCACGTGGTAAAGATTTAAGAGACAAAGCAGGGCACAGATGCCTTTAAGGCAACTGGCCCGTGGCCGGGTCAGGCCAGGTCATTAAGCAAGCTACCAGTGAGAGGGTAACATCTTGGACGCTTCCTTTCCGAAAGGGGCACTCCACAGGTGCATAGCACCTACAAGTTGGCAAGACCTTCGGATTTCATCGGTTTCTGATAAGCTGAACCTGCATTTGGCTCCTGCAGGTACCCCGTACGACACGTGACAGCACTCCACCATCTCCGACGCTGCACGAGTGATATCATTAGCAGGAGGTGCAAGTCTGCCCGGGAAAAGCTCGCATCTCGTGATCGGTCTCGATTCTCGGATCCGCGTTTTGTGCAGGCAGTCTTACACCCAGAACTTCCTGAGATGCGCCCGAACCACTCGAAGCGACGCATGTCTCATGCTTCTGGTTTGGAGTGATCGGGACTCAGCCCAGGAAGATCCGCAGGCATTACCATGGCCGTTGCGCGGCGCCCCACCTGGGCACCCGGTCACAAGGTGCCCAGGACTTCCTGAGTCTCGCCGACTCAGGACTGCCATCTCCATCGGCTGCTCTGCTTGGGCTGCGGCCCCGATGCGCTCAACGTGCTTCAAGCTCGTCTTCACCGTCTCGTCCAGCTTGGCCAGCCGCGTCTGTGCGAGCGTGGGAGTCCCGCCCCTCTCCCCACCGCTTCCCCCCCATGCTTAAGCTGTCGCGACGCACGAGGCCCGGCTTGGCTGTCGCACCTCGACCTCAACCTGGAGGTTGCGGATGTCGTCCTCAAGGTCGGATCGAGCAAAGCGGGAGCACTGCAATCAATCCATCTCTCTCGCATTCAATCTCCCCGATCCTGCAGTTCGAGCTCTCCGGCCGATTTGGGCCTGAAAAGGAACTTCCCAAGCGATTCGATGGCCCAGAGTTGCCCAAAGTGAAGCAGAAGGCCCTCTGAGGCTTCTGCGGTTCTATGGTCGTAAGCCTGGCAAAAAGCGCTTGCATCAGACCAGGACGAAGATTCAAGCGCTCTTATGCGCTCTTTAGGGGCCTTTCTGAAACACGGAAAGCATCCACTCCAAAGCCCTGCCACCCGCGAAGATCCCGCTCGAGATCCCTGAAGTGCCGCCTGTCCGGAGGGTGACCTCACAAGCCACGGCCGGCAAACACCCACAAAAGCGCAATCACTGCCATCAACAACACCAACTTAGGGCTTAGACTGTGGGACATTGTGCTAGAAACTCTGATCCAGGATTGCGTAGACCTTCCACCCGAACGTCGGAGCACTGCGACTTGGATGAGGCAGTTGTCAAGGGCACTACCAGTTCCTGCACAGCGCACAGCGGATCTGGAGGCCTAGTGGGCCTAAGCAGAACTAAATACATCAGTGTTGAGGGTTTGTCTTCGGATGCACAGCAGAGTTCCAGCGACAAGTGACATAAGAAGTCGGCGCAGTGTACCCTGATGGGGACAAGGCATGGACATGCATGGACCCAAGAAGATTCTCAGGACCGGTCCGAGCTTGTCCTTGAGCCGCCGGAGCTGCTTCTCGGCTTTCTCTGCCTCGATTCAAGTTTGTTGGTGGCGCACGAAGCGTCATCGATCTGTCAAGGAATCCTCTGGGAGAAAGGTCGTGGAGACTTGTGAAGCAGAGATGAACTCGCAACAGAGCAGTCTTGGGCATTGCGGGGGCCCACCTTGGGCATTGAAGGGCTAACACTGAAGTGGACGCCCGCCTTCTTCTTGGCTTTGAGCATGCTGAAGGCGGTTGCTTGCCCGAACAGCTCGGGAATGCCCTGATGCACACGGAAGCGACACGGACTCTGCAGGATCTTACTTGGGTGGGCGAAGCCTCCATCGCTTCTTCTGAACATGTGAGCCAAGAGCCTCACCCAACACCCTGCCTCGCAGAACTCGTCGATGCCCATGGATCCAGAGCCGTCCGAATCCAGTGCACGGAAGAAGCGCTTCAGCTCGCTCTGCACGAAGGGTTGGAAGGGGCAGCGACAGGAGGTTCGATCGTGGACCAGAGCACCAAATTGGATGCTGTGGCTGTGCAAGCAACTTTCTGCGGGACAGGTCCAGGCGCGAGCCTCCTCCAGGCCAAGGAGGAGCAGCTTGTTTTTCAGCGCCTGCAGAGTCCCCGTGCGAAAGTGAAAGGGATGTGAGAAGTCGGATGCTTTGGCAGATTCCGGCAAGCTAGTATGTCATGAGTCATGATTACATTGTGCATCAGATTTCCCCCGGAAGCCTATAACTCACCCCTTCAAGCGTTTTCTGGCAGTCACTTCACCCGTTGTTCTTCCAGGCTCACTGTTCTCATCAGTGGGCTCTGCAGAATCTGCCCATGCTTCTCGGTCCGCCAGCTTGTAAAGCACGCAGACCCATTTTCGAAAGGCAACCCCGCAAAACTAAACCGAAAACCTACCAAAGGACGCCAAATGCGACCCAAGAAAAGAAAGAGCACCCAAGAGCTCATGCGTGTTCTGGGGCACAGGCTGGAATCTCAAAGGCACCATCAAACTCAGCCGTGTCGACCTGCAACGCGAACTACCGGTACCATCAATGGCAGGACTGCAGCTGCATCTTCTTCTGGCAGCGACCACCATGCCAAGCAGAAGGAGCAGCGGCACTTGAGAATTGTGCAGAGGAGCCGATGCTTAAAATGCACCTCGCCGCTGCCGTCGGAGTCCAGGAGCTTGAAAAGCTCCCGCAGCTCCTTGGTCACGGCGTCTGAAGCTTCAGAAGCTGTCATTCCACTGGAACTGTTTTTTGAGCCTTACCTCGAAATCCGCACCTCGATCTGCTTCTGCTTCTCCTTCTCGGCCTCTTCAGCCCTGTTGGCCTCGTCTTCCTGTCCACTTTCGGCCCTGGGACCCCTCCGTGCTTAACCTTCAGCCGGGCGCACGCTCACGATCTTCATTGAGTTGTCGCAGATCACGGCCGTCACCAGGTTCAGGATCACGTATTGCGACAAAGCCTTCGAAACGACCGGCTGCAGGGTGGTTCAGTGGATCCCTCCCCTCCCTTCGCTCCTACCTGGAAGGCGAACAGGAAGATCCAAATGTAGGGCTGGCCCTGGCAATGGCAACTTCGAGCTACAGCTACGCCGCTACGCGTGCCGAGGGCTTGAGACCCTGTGGTAGTGCGCGTCGTGGCGGCCAGCTGAGCCCAGCGCATCATTCGGGTACGGGTTGCTTGGGTCCTTTGCCCAGGGCACCTGATGCACAGATCGGCGGCAGGCTCATCCCCTTTCTTTCGCATTTACATGCATTCGATTCGGGACTGTAGTTGGAGGGAGTCGGTCCCTGATCTGCAGCGGGAGCCTGCATGAGGTACTCCACAATATCCATGGCGCCGTCGGAGCTGTGCAGGGCCGTCAAGAAGCTCTCCACTCAGAGAAACCAAAAGAGACCGAATTGCATTAAGGCCTAGGTGCTTCAAGTCAAGTACCCGCCTCATGAAGCGACTCATTGTGAACATCGCACTGCCTGAGCCGGAGGTTGTGTGCTCAGCTTTAACTTCATGCTCCCAACGAGGCTCGATCCCAAAATCGCAACGCAAAGTCAGAAAAGGCCACGGCGCGAAAGTCTCAGATCCTCTCAAAAGCGTTTCTCTTCTCTAGCTCAGTCCTAGAGCGTCTTTCGTCTTCCCTCCTTCATCCCCTTTCAGCTGAATTCCAAAGAAACAAACTCCTCCGAAGAGCCCGAAAAAAAACAGCTAAATGAAACTTTGCCAAGACACGGATGGACACAAACCACCTCGGAATGGCGTCCTTCGAGGCCACGCATAGAGCCGGAGTTCAAGTATATTGCTGGTACTCGTACTTTGCTTTTTTTTTAAAGTGCACTGACCCTTTCTCCACTTCTGCAGTACTTTGCTTTAAAGCTCTGGGCTTCGCTGCCAGCCGCACTGCAGACGCCATCAAACTTCCGCCTCCGGCTGGTAGGTCCACACTTCTGCATACCCGATGAGATCCACCTTTGGGAATGCAGACTGTCTGCATTGGCTTATCATATTCGGTAGTGGTCATTCCACACATTAAGATGCCCAATTCTGTGCGCTGCTATACGTACACACACTGCGGAAGTGTCACAGTGCAAAATTCCGTCCAGCGCAATTGCGAGGACTTCAAGAACATTGTCAAAGCCAAGCCTAGAGTGGGTTGCACGAGAAATTTTGCATGGCTCCAAAGACATCCCCAAGCCGGCACAGATCTTTCATAACGCCATTGTTAGTCATGGAACCCTTGCAACACCCTTGCAGGACCCTTTTGCAAACCTTGAAGCCCGAACCTAAAACCACCTTTAAGAAACCGCAAGTCTCTGTCAGACCGACGCTTGGGCCACGCTGGGCAACAGTGGATGCCCAGAAGTCTCAGGGTCCTCTAAGCCCATGGCAGCGATGATGCTGAAGAACAGCCTGAGCTTCGGATCTCTCGTGGCATGGCATCGATTGGCATCGCATGACACGTGTCACACCTCGAGCCACCAAGAAAATCAACGAAAGCTCGCAAGCCTCTCGCAATCCTCATCCTGCAAGTTCCGAAATCGCACAGACTGTACTCGAATGCGACTTCGGGACACAGAGGTCGCTAAGAGGAGACACGACCAGAAAAGTGTCCCCGCCGAAGCAAACCTGCAGAGCAATCTGTTGTGCAGGCGATCTGCTGTGAGGAGTCCAACACATCACATCAGACCTAGTGATATGCACAATGGCCCAATGGCGTTTCAGATATTCCAGAAACTGAGTGGTCTTGCTGACAGTCTACTTTATCTAGTCGTGTCCGGCTGGCGCACCGCCCAACCTGCCAGCTCCGTTACAATCCGCTGTTACCTTTTGACAACACTTGCCCCCTCAGCAGCTTTGTGCCCGACAGTCCAGAGAGGAGGAGCCAGATGACTTTGAATCCCTGCGAAGCAGGCATTGATTGGCACCCTTTCTATTTCCAAACAATGAGTAGATGTCCACGGCTCGCCACATTGGGGGCGGGGATTGCTACGTTGCGCAAACGGGCTGCATAGAAGCCTGTCCGAACCTGTACACTGCTAGATTAAAAGATTTCGGCATGCATTGGTGCGCCTAGGACTGCAGCTGACCGCAACCGAGGAAGATTGAACATTCGAGCCCTCTTAGCGTGCTGGCATGTCATCAATCGTCGACTGCTGACTACCATCAAGCTTCGCAGCTTGAGATGCCGATTCTAGCTCCGGGAGTCAAAGCACTGAAGTGACGCGCCCTCGACCACGATCTCAGGACGGATTCTAAGGTTTTGTAATCTGTTGCCTTGACATTCTTGATGGTATGGATGACCTTGCCAATGCGGAGCATCCTGTGACAGGCCGTAGGACAGCATGCCCTCCCATGTCGGATCTTGCATGTTTCAATTGGTCTTGAACTGCATGATACTACATGGACTTCCACGCATCTGCCGGCCAGAGCGGGCCTGACCACGATGCGCACCTCACACGTGGTCGTTTCAGTTCGAAGCCGAGCTAGGACAGAGTGAGCCCACTACGATCTCCACAGTGTCGCCCAAGGCAGCGAAGAAGAAGGGAGCAAAGACCTGAGGAAGAAGGCTTCAGCCGCCCATGGCTCACAGACAGTGTCATCCCGTGTCCGCCCCTTCGCAGATGAGGAGCAGCCAGGGTGAACATGATGTTCAGGGGCTCCTAGAACCATGAGCTCGTGCTCTGGGCATAACGAAACGGCAGCGGCCTTCAGCCAGAGCGCACCGCCCACGATGAAGCGAAGGACCTGAGGAGAGAGCCGAGGAGCTCCAGGCTCATCCAGGCTATCCCGGCTAGGATGGCGACCCACTCTACGAGGAACGAAACATTGATGATCCACATGCCTTGACCACGAGAGCGTGGAGCAAGTCGCACAGAACGCAGGCAAGGCTCTGTTCCGATGCGTTCTTGGTCCGGCACAAAGATCGATCCACCTTGCAGCTGACAACTTTGCAGTTGACGGAGTTGGGACGGTGCTCGGGCTCCTGGCACGGGCTTCGGCGTGCTGCCGTCGTTAGGGTCCCAAATTTCTGCCTCAAGATGGGCGACAGAAGAACAAGCACTGGCTGCCACTGGCTGCTCAGGTGGGCCATCCCGCCTCAATGCCCATGATAATGGCACTGATGAGGATCGTCAAGGTGGACTTGGCATGAGCAGTGTTGCGTTTCGGGATTCGGCCGGGCGCACGAAGTGGCACGTCTCGGAATGCCGCGGCTATGTCAAAGTACATGTTCCGCACCAGTGGCTTCAACTGCTTCCGTAGCCTGACCACAGATGCACTCTGATGAAGATGTCACAAACACTACAGGACAGGAGTTCAGCCTTCGGAAGGTCTTGTTGTAGCAGGTGTTGTAACACGGCCGCAGCCATCGAGGGACGCCCATCTGCCTCCTTGCAGTGCCAGGCTTCCGGGAAGCTACCGGCTGCTGCACCGCCAACTGCACGGAGGCCCGAGACGGTCCTCTGCGAGGTGTCCTGGCAGAAACGCGAAGCCGAGATCCGTCGGGTCATGGGGCGCAAAGCTTCCAACTTCGAGACCCCGGCCTTGAAGTCGTAGCCTGAACGGACTGGAGGAGTGCCGGGCCCGGTGGGGTCAACCCTTGAGGCGTTTTGGGGTCATCCCTGTGCCACCCACTTGCTGGCCGAAGAGCTTATCGCTTCGGTGGACAGGGCTTGCGCCAGCGCCTGTCCGAGCAAAGCCTCTCCCCTTCCTCAACTCGAAGAGCAGTCCGGCGTGCCTCCTCCTTCGCCTCTTCCTGTGCGTCGGCCTTGCGCTGCTCTAAGTGAGGGCTAGCCCATCGCAAGGTTGGTTGGGCTTGTGTCGTTTTCATGTGAAAGATTGTAAAACAGTGTGGCTGAGCTGTGCACATGGTTGCTATGACCCGTCTGCGCAGTTTAGGCGCACTATCGGGTCAGTTGTCATGTGGGCAAGTTTGCCAACGACTCCATAGTGGCATAAAATGGCAGTATGGAAGGGGACGTCGGTTCACGGTTGTTGAAAAGTCCTTTCTGCCTCGTCTTGGCGGCCGATAGCCAAGGATTTCCTGTGGAAAAGGCGGCTTGGGGCAGCTCGGGCTAGTTGACGACCAAAAACCCAAGTACTGCTGTCTCACTGTCGTCGATCACCCTCAGCCCCTGGATTCAGCTACCATGTTTATCATCAACTCATCCTCCTGTCGGCTCTAAGGAGCAGCCATTCATTCGTTCGCGGAGCAAACCAAAGAGACACAAAGAAAGAGCGAAACAGAAGGAGATGGTTTGTGAGACAACGAGTGCAAGGCAACTCTCTCTTGACCCTGCAAACAAGGTCCTTTGCTTCTCCGCCAGCATGGTGATGCGCCTTGCCTGATGGTGTGGCATGTGTCTACGACTTTGACCTGCTGTGCATTCGTCAGTGAAGCCTTCTCCGAGTCCATGGTGCCCATAAGCACAAAGCCGGACTGAAAGGTGGCGGAGAAGGGGGCAAAGCCAGACACCCAGGAATATGCCCACTTGTCCCTCGCGCTATAGCAGCCATGATCTTCTTGTGATCGACATGAGACGAACATCTGAGGTTGTGCTGGATGGGCGAGAAATCAACTTGCATTCTCTTCCATCATACGTCATACGACCCTCCCCCACCCTAGACACATGACCATGTCTTGCAGAGCCAACACGGCCAGCAGTCACCAAGCATTTTCCACTAAGAGGTGCCTGACAGCAATTGCGGACAGCGAGCCTTCCGTGCCCACGAAGCACACAAACGCGTTGTTCTGTGTAGCTTTCAAGCCCAATCCCCTTTACCTCTCGACACTGCCGGCAACCAAACAGACGATTGAATGTGCCGAGGAATTGAAAGTAGATGCCGATGATTAGCATGCATGGCACTGGCACAGGCTCCCCCTGGGCGCACAAGTTCAGCACCCTCTCCGACTTGCGGCAGGACCTGAGCTGAAGAGGAGAGTAGCTGATGCATCGTGTACCCGCACAACGTCACTCCGCACAACTTTGAAACATGTCCTTTTGTCGCTCGTGGAGCGTGGGGCGCTTGGCGCGCACCGCCTCGCCGACGGGCTGCGCACTCCGCTTCCTCGGCACCGGCATCTCTGGCACAGCCGCTTCCGTCTCTTCCGTCCCTTCCCTGGCTTCGTTAGCTTCACTCGCGTCGCCGCGGGCCACTTCCAGCATCTGCAGCAGCTGCAAGCCTCGCTCAGTCTTCGGGTAGAAGCTCCAGGCAATGACCCATTTCACATTCCGTCCCTGGCAGATCTCGAACCGGCGACGTTTCGCACCGAGCTCACCTAAACGCTGGTGGATCGGCTTCATGGACGACTGCCTGGAAAGCAGACTCGAAAACCAAAGACACGCCAGCCGGAATCGCTGCCTCGCGCTCTCTTCCACTAGTCGCAAGACAAAGCCCACTTCGCCCCCCTCGCAGCACAGCTCTACTTCCTGGCCCTGGTAATTCTTTTTGTTCGACAGTTGCTTGCCCCTGCTAAGGCGTTTCCACTTCATAGTAGCCGCCTGTTCTGCATGGTCCAGGGTCTCGTGGAATGGCGGGTTACAGATCGTGAAGGCCAGGGACTCCCCACGACGAAGTACTCCCTTCAATATCTGCTTGGGGTCTGCTTGTCTCCGTAGTGTGATCCTGCTGGAGAGAGAGTTCGCAGAAAGGACGTCCTCGGCATTCCGGAGTGCCACTTCGTCCACGTCGCTGGCAATGAAGCTCCAGCCATACTCTCGAACTCCGAGCAGAGAGTAGATGCAGCTCGCCCCCGCACCGATGTCCAAACCCCAAATGCGAGGCCCAATGGCTTCCAAAGCTTGCTGGTCGTCCCCGGCAACGATGGACAGCGAGGCATTCAGCAAATCTGCTATTGTGTGGACATAATCGGCCCGCTGGGGCACAGGGGGGCACAGGTAGCCTTTGGGCAGAGTCCACTTACGAATGTCGTAGAACTCTGCTAGCAGGCTCCGGGTCAACTCCTCCAGGGCCTCCTGGTTCGAGTAGTCGATCGAGGCGCCGCCCCAAGCATTCTCGAAGACGAAGCGCTTCAAGCCTTTCTGCCGGCAGGCCAAGTCGCTGTAGTCAAGGTACTCCCGGTGCTTGTTCCGAGGGTGCATGGGTGCATAGCAGCATCGAAACCGAGGAGCGATCCGCTGTCCTAGGCTTATCTTGACCAGTGCATCGTAGCCTAATTTAGGACAGGCTCTCATGGGTGGTGGTTGGGTTGACCATGCCTGTGGGTGTCTCTTGCACAGCTGCGAAAAGGAACGCGATTGACTGGGCGTGAAAGTCATGCAAGGCCAGCTTCGCTGTCGCCCATTCTTGCTCTGATGGCGCTCTCGATGGTCTGTTTTTGTTCCTGCTTGCAGATTCTGTCACGAGGAAGCCGATGCAAGAGGCATAAGCTCATCATGGCCGAGCCAGCAAAAAGGTGGCTGGGCCTGCGGTGACGTTAAACCGAGCCATTAACAGGCACCGAAGCCAGTATACACAGGCGGCCTATGTGGGTGGTTCACAACCACCAATGTCCCTGGGGTAGCCCCAGCATTTAAAATCGGAGACAGGTCCAGCTGGATTTCGTCCTAACCGAACTCATCCTCTTGAAAATTCTCAGGTTGTGGCAGTCGCGAAGACTACAAACCTTGATGCCTGCTTCCGCTGACCACCCATTCACGAGTGTTGCCGTCTTGCACGAATCGTCGTCTCATTTCTTGCTGTTTACTTCTGACTGTTTTTAGTCACTATGTCCTACCACCTGCAACTTAGCTACGTCTCGCTCTTTCGTGACTGCCGAGAAGCCGTGATCTTGGAGCGAATCAACTAGCCCTTCATGAACTTTGCCAGCGGAACGGGCTGTGTTGGCCTGGGACAGTGTTGTCGATAGGGCTTTCTGAGGCTTGGAGAGACGGTGTGCTTCGAAGAAGTTCTCTGATCAGTTTGATTCACTGAAAGGATGGTACTCGGGTATGATCTGTGCATTATGCGATGCGACGATGCGGGCGATACTGCAAAAGCCATGGATTCTGCTATGGCTTGTCATTGCAAGCCCTGACCCCGCGCAGGCTGAATGTTGGCGATAAAATTCTCTGAGTTCCGTAAACCGCCAGAGGTCTGCCGCTCGGTCCAGGCTTCGACCAAGGCTTAGGCAGACCGTACTTCTGCGCGGCCGCCTCTCCGTGCACGTCCACGGTGTAGTTGGCTTGTGCCTGGCTGTGCTTTTTCTGAGACCTGAGGCTCCCATCATGCTCTGGGAAACGATCCTCAAGCAGCTTCTGTGGGTCGGAGAAACATTTTGTGCTGGCCCCTGTCTGCCTCGCTTCTCCAGTAGATCGGAGCAGGGCCGCCGACCTCTGCCGCACTCTGTCGACGCTGGGAAGTCACAATGCCTTGAAAGGGCTGAGAGGCTTGCAAAGTTGGACTTCAGGTCGTCGTCGCCCGCCACCAGCTTCTCGATGGCCCGAAGAGACCCCTGCAAATTCCCACTATCAATTCAAAGAAAGAGTCTTGCAAGTGAGAGATTTCAGATCAGGATGACATGCCTGTCCCTGCGTCGCAGAATAGTCTTTGTTCATGTTCCCGCCAAGCTTGTTGTCCTCCTGCGCGGGTATTGGCTTCAGACAAGGTTTCGGACCAGGGCATGATGACACATGAACGTCGTCACACTAAGAATCGGCCAAATCTCGAACTTCCTATCGCTAATAATCGCTCTGCGAGGAGACTGGAACGCACACCTTGAGGTGTAGATAGAAGTAGAAATATGAATAGTAATATGGGAGTCTATTTAGGGTACTATATTAGGTTAGCCCAACATTTTCGGAACCTCCCATACGAATGTAAACTGCGCAGCGATGAAAAAATGCCGAGACGTTGTGCATCCCACCGGCTGGCACCTCCAGGGCCCGAGCACGCGCGATCATGGCCCAGTACCTCTCCTGGCGAGGTGAGGCGAGGCCAGAGCGAGGTGGGCAAATATAACACATTTTACATATACATATAGACATATAGATATATTTCTTCTATATGGCCTATCCTGGTACACTATACATGATGATGATGGTCGCCTCGCAAAGAAACCCAACTATAGCACTCGTCATGCAGAGATGTCCTAAATGCGGGCTTCCGGCGCGGAGCACTCTTCACACTCATCATGAAGACTTCTCTGCAGTCATTCGAGGCCGCCTGAGTTTCGGCCTTGCGCTTCTCGATCTTCTCCTGCGCAGGAGCATGCGGAGAACGCGAGCTGAACAAAGCATTCGCACTTTCTCTCCCACGCTGACGCATTGCGTGAGAAGCTCGGCATCGGCAAAATTTGCCGATGCCCCAGATTGGCCTAGTGAAAAGCGAAATCGCAAAGCCTGACCTCCAATGCCCTCATCCGATGATGTCTGAACTCAGTCAATGATAACACTCAAAATGAAAAATAATGATGCTAATCGTAATAGTTGCAATCGTAAACAGCAGAATAATGACAATAACAGCGACAACACTAATCCTAATAGCTACCCACGAAACCCCGTGAATTCAGCTTTGACACCCCTCTGGCACCTGGCCTGAGCCCGCCGACCAAGGGCGCTTTCTTCTGGGCTGGCCTTCGGCCCGACGCTCGCAATTCACTCAGGCACAGTCCCTATAATGCATATACATATATATATATATATAGATAGATAGATAGATAAACATATATACATATATATAATATGTATATATATATGTATATACATATATATATAGAAACATATAAAATGCACATGCACATGGACATGGACATATACATACATATACAAATACATATACACATATGCATATGCATATACATATACAGTAGACAGCATACAGTGTACATATATGTGTCTTTTGTTTGTGTATGCATGTTTACAAATTCTATTTTTATTTATATACATACAAAATTTCTTTATACAGACTCATACATATTACCCATGATACAGTATATGGTCGATTTTATCACGGTGCCCGTATCGGCTTGGAGCTTCAGGCACCGGGCCCTTACGACTTGAAGTTCAGGAGCTGAAGGTGACGGGGAGTGGGGTAGAAGAGTTTGGATGCAGGAGCAGAGGCTGGGAACGCCGTGGAAGACAAACGGGCTGTGTCTGGTTTCGATTTGAAGGCTCGGGTAGCCGAAAGTTGACCTCTGATGCACCAGTAATCGTGTCCCGAGGGTTGTCCGTCGCCACGAGAATCCATTGCATGAGCTTTCCACCCTTTGCTCGCACTTGAACAGCATGTTGCCTAGAGCTCTGCTTTTTGAGTCGACTCCTCGCTCTCTTGCAGCCCCGTGTACCCTTTTGTAATCTTGCTGGTGTCGGGCGTTGCTTTGAAAAGCTCTGCCCCGTTCTTCTCCTGTACATGGGGTGTCCATTCCCCAGTCCCGAAGGAGAAAAATCACACGACAGCAAAAGAACGTTATCTGGTCCGAGGCAAAAGAGCTGTAAGCAAGAACATAGTACAGCGAAACGCTGAGCTGAGCAGTGCCTGGCAGAATGCGTAATTGCTTGAAAACGCGCAACAACCCGACTCTGGAAGTTGTAGAGAGCTAGCAAACCGCCCGACTGGCGACTTAGCCCCTGGCAGCCTCATTGAAGGTTGGTCTTACTTTGTGACACTTTGTTGCTCTCGTTCCCCGCCCGCCGTGTTCGACCGGGTGTGCGCGGCCCCGTTCGGATGAGGCTTGCAGGCTTGCGTGTACACGCTGTTGGTGACTAGTAACTAGTAGCATCAGTTGCACCCAAGAATGTGGAGAGGCCTTGAAAGCCTGGGGCGGATCTCGCACGAAGGGGAGGAAGCTCTCCGAGTAGGTCGTGACCTGGCCGAAGGATGCCCCGGGCCCGCCGGGCCCTCAGGCCTGAGGCGACGTCGCCTCTTGCTACAGCAAGACAGCTCATTTCGAAACAGAGCAGCGAGAAGCCCAGAACTCCCTCGCCCTCAGGATTCACTTTGGAGCCCAACAATTGGGAACCCAAGGACAGGCTCAACCCAAGAGCGTCGGCTGGACAAAGCGCTCCTCCTTCTTCTTCTTGCGCCCTGGAGCCTGGCGTGGACAGGAACACATTCAGCCTCGAGCCGAGTTTGACGGACTGGGACCGGAGAGGACCAGTTACGCAAACAAGCCTGGAACAAAGGTCATTCCACTATCAATACCTTCTTGAAAGCAAAGAGGAGGAGGTCCGCAAGGACGACGACTCTGCTATTGCTACCACCATCCTCGCCTGTACAGTACAGTCTCGTATCAACCGTCATCCGCTGGTGGTAGTATATTCTAACCCGTTTCCACCCTGGCCAACTCCCAGGCCTTGGATCCGGTCGCGCCGCTGGCGTCACTCCTGAAGAGCGTATTTGCAGAATCTGGTGGAGAATGTATGGAAACGAGTCGTCGATGGTGGATCGGCAGAGAGTTTTCAGACAACTCCAAGCTGGCCCCTCCTGGGAAGCTCCGGAACCTCGTAGAGATCCACGTTTCTCAGCGAAGGATGATGTCGGAAAGCATCCCCATAGCTGGTCCTGTACGGCAGAGCCAGTATGTTCATGGGTCTCAACTTCGAAGCAAATCCCATCCCGGCTGGAGGCCTGAAGGAGGCCCCGTCCAAACGGGCCAGGGCCTAGCAGGGCAGCGAAGCGACAACTCATGACAACTGACAACTCCCCCCTGTCGAGCACGTTCGCCAAGCCTTCTTCGTGGACGCCGGCAGCGGCGTACGGAAGTTTTGCCTTAGCCCAGGCACTTGCTTGCAACCTTCCAAATGCGAGAGTTGCGGCGTTCAGAAAATAACCAGAACTTGCCTTCCTTGCAAAACTGTGCGCGCTGATACAATGCTGAGTCTCTTGCTGGCACATCCACTGTCTGCGCGGATCGCCGTCGCGCGCCATGGCTTGCCGCGTGCGAACTGAGCTGTCGCCTACATATCTGTATCTGTCCGTGGACCACCGACGCAGACCGAGGCCCGAACCTACTGCACCCTTGTGGAAATCCCACGTAAGAGTCGTCGAGTCATGGATAGACACAACACCTTGCCTGTTAGCCCTCACGACACAGCTGCTTCCAGCGTACGAACATCATGTGGAGAAGCCCAAGCTATGCCCGCTACGACTGACAGCAAGGCAGCATTCAGCAGCTGAACCGCGGAGCTGGCTTGTAACTCTTGTGCAGGGCGGGGCGGCGCGGTATGCACTTGCATGATCAACACAGATTGTGTTCAAGTGTCGCGTCAGTGTGGTCTGACGTAAGTCGTTTGGGCAGCATGAGAACTTGCAAGTTCCTTCCTGGGCGTTGTTGCGGCAGAGGCTGAATGTTAGAGACCGCCACAGTGCAGTCCCTGTTTGAGTCTATCCCTTCCAGGCGTCCGACATGCTCGGCCGAACACAGCTAATCTTGTTGGAACCTACACTCGACCATAATGAGGCCCCGAACAAAATCGTGGCAACCAGGCCCGGCCCAGCATGCCTAGCGGACAGTCTCTGAGAGCTGCACATGGCCACACGCAGCATCTATCGTCCAGTCCTGCTGCGCGACGAAAACAACGCGAGTATATCCCGGTTCTGTCCACTGTGACATGACTACCGCCACTGCTCCTTTCAGAACCGCTTGCTGCCATCACGAAGTTCCCCTTTTTGACTATGCAAGGACTCCGTCAGGAATGCTGAATGCGGCTCGCAACGAAAAGTCTCACACATGGAACTTTCTCTGCGGGCCGCTCGCTCGCCGCTCAGAGGCAGAAGGTACCGAGTGACCGAGTGCCTCTCTGCTCGATCAGGGAACTAGTCGGGAGCTGAACACTGGGAACTCTCGAAAACTTTAGTATGTAGCAGTAACAGACTTGGATTGAACATGGCTTCAAACTTCAAATTCAAAGGCCTTCCTTTCTTTTCGCCGAACTCAGCTCCCACTCAAGGCTCGAGCTCAACTCTCCGAAGGGCTCTGCCTTCTCTGCCCTCTCTGAGAGCAAAGGACAGGGCTACGGGTATATACGATATGTACGGGTATCAAAACTATCGAACTGAGAGAGGATCGCGCTCTCAAAAAGAAGTCACCCATGCGGCCGTGTCTTGGACAGGCAGCAGAGAAGCATAAAAAAGAGCGCGTCAGAGTTCCAAAGTGCATGCTCCTTGGGGCCAGTCCCCAAGCCCCAAATAAGGAAATAAACGAGTTCAGCAGTCTTACAGTTGCAGCGCAGCTAACCAGCACTGCACGACCGACATCGCCCCCTCGGCACTGAGACGTAGGCTCATGGGCAGAGCCCGGCCGGATGCTCAGGCGTTTGACCTGAGATGTTCACTGGTAGTGGCTGGTACAAGAACACGCCCTCATGCGCATCCCTTCACCCTTCCGCATCCGAGCTCCCAGGCCCGTTGATGAGCTTGACTATCTGCCTCCGGAATCTGCACACTCATGTCTGCAAGGGAGTACTGCTGAGACAAAACGTGCAGCAAAGGCAGTAAGGCCATGACTCCTGTGGGAAGACACCCACCCCGAATGAGGAGACCTGAGCAGAAACACCATGGCTGCGACCTGCTCGGCCACGGGATCTCTGGGAGCTGGGCCGCACAGGAGTCTGCCCCTCCGGGCCCTGTCTCAGCCGGAGTGGGGGCTCAGCTCTCTCAGACTAGGCCACTAGGCATGAACAGGGTGTGAAGAAGCTCAAGTGCCTTCGTCGTCAGAGAGGACTTCTGGCACATCCGCGTTGACGACCTGGCAGCCCATGGAGCACGGGGAAACTAGGAAGCTGAAAAGCTGCAGCGTAAGCCCCTGGCACAGGGAGTCGGAGACTGCCAGTTGCTGAGGTTTGCCTCGCGAAGACACACCGTCCACGGCGTGGAAAACACGGCCGAGCCGAGATCAGCTGCGATCTGCAGAGGCCTCGAGTTGGTTGAGACAGTCGCTCAGGAGGTCGTCGCTGGTTATGTAGAAGTGGACAGCCTTCGGGCACCCCAAAATCAAATCCCATCGGGTTTTGCGCTTTGCTTCTGGCCTGATACAAGGGAATCACGAGATGGCGGAGGAAGCCCACCTGAGCTCCGCGAAGTTGATGTCTACGTACCGGAGCCCCTGCCCCTGCCCAGCCTGAGAACTCGGGATGTTCACGTCGCTCCGGTCACACAGGGGTGAGATCGGCAGGCCAAGCCTCCATTTTCAGGGGCTGGGGGCATGTCCGTTTAGCTGAGAATCTGAGCTTCGCGCTGCCGCTCTTCGTGGCCCTGCGCGAAAAATTCCCTGATCAGGGGCGCACTGCAAGCTAATTCTCCATCGACTGCTTCATTGTGGACAGTGCTTCCCAAACCCCGCTGATCAAGCAAGCTGACGAAGCTGCCGACAGCAACAGCACCACCACCAACAACAAAAAGCACAGGATCTGCTCCTTTTCTCTAGGGAACGGCAGGGACGGCTTCTGGCAGCCAGTCGACATCAAGCTCGGCTGCTGTCCCCAATGATGGCTACGCACGGAATGAGAATCAAAAAATGATCCTGCTGTGTAGTTGGTTGTCACTGAGTGTGTGGATGGGGACAACCATTGGGGCTGCGGCATATGGATGCGAATGGTCATCCGCTTCGTGATGTCCTGAGCAGGGGGTTGGATGTGAAACTCAGGTCAAAGACTCCTGTTGCTGCGTTTAAGCGTAGACAAGCAGGCAAGTCTTCACTCGAGCAGATATGGGATGGCAGTTGAAGTGTGGGTCGTGACGGCTGAGCGAGCTTAGCCACGAGCTGTGGGCTTCCCTGCGTGGCCGATGTCTGCTGCCTGCACGACAGTACAGCATTGGGATCCTTCTTTGACTGGCAAGAAACTTAAGGCTCCTGGCCTTCAAATACACAGAGACCACCCTGGCAGATCTGTCGGCCTCACATCACAAGGGCTCGCAAGTCTGTTATCGGTGATGGTGGTGGTGGTGGTGGTGGTGGTGGTGGTGGTGGTATGTTAACTGCTGCAGGTGCACTCGATCGCTTTTACCTGCGATAATCAAGCGTTGAACCGGCACCAGTATTCCGGATTTCGAACCGGAAAGCCGTTGAAATTCACTTCCGCGACCGACATCATAATTCATAAACGTGCTCCCTCCCTCCCTGTCCCTCCATCCTGCAGTCAGCCTGGGGACCGGGCCAAGGACTCCGAGGAGATCGGGGGCTCCTCGTTGGACCGGGACTGGTCTGCGGGGGACCTCGGCATGAAGGGAGGCAGCGGAGGAGAATAGGGGTACCATCTTTGGGGGTCCTTATAATAAGGATCCTCCTATTTAGGGTACCATCTTAGGGTCCCTGTTTTCGGAAACTCCCCTCTGCGCTGCTTTCTACACTCTAGGTCGACTTGAGTCGATCCACGCTTCTTGCCGTCACTGTGATTCACCATCTCGATCTCTCGACTTCAGACGCCAAGCACAAGTCGCTCATGAAGGTGGTGAGATCCGCTGAGCACAAAAAAATTTCGCACACCATACAAAGGCGCGGGCTCGCAGAAGTTGATCGAGGCTTTGAACCTGTCACGTTTGTCCATGAACCCACGTGTTGCAAGAGTCAAGCTAAAAATCGGAGCTGCGGGAGCGAAAGTCGAGAACACACCTCCAAGCCAGGAGATGTAGGAGATTGTAAGAGAGAAAGCTGCTGCGAAGTCAAAAACCGAATCCAAGAAAGCAACTCCACGAAAGACGAGAACTTGCAAAGAATGTCTGCTGGCACCTGGCCAAAGTTTCAAAGTGCTTCGCCATGTCCGTGGATAGCACGCTCTCCACCACGATGCGCCTCGCTGGTTGACGAGTGCAGGAACTGAAGATTGCTGCGGATTCACGGACCCGCCCGTCCGCGTTAAAAGCTGGTGGATAAATAAGATCAACATCTTCTTCACCTATGATCATGACCGTGTCCGGCTGGCAAGTGGCCTCAATAGTGCAAAGTCTGCATCCGGCAAGCCTGTTCCAACGAAGAGTGGAAGCGACGGGGCGATTGCAATGCGAAAGCGGGCGAAAACGTCAACACCAACATGCCTTCACCAACAGCTGAGTCACAGAGGGAAATGCAAGGAAATGCCATATCAAGACACTGAAACAATAGGGCGGCCTGTACACTCGTTGAAACCATCTTGGTCCTGCAGGAGTGGTGTGCCCGTGCCGCGTCTTTCAGCTATTGCAGATTCGAAGGTGGAATCACGTGGACTACGAAGCACAGTGGCCGCTGCCCCAAACTCCCACAGGATTCCAAGCGAAATTTGTGCACCCCTCCTTTTCCCGCTTGAAGAGGGCCGCGTGCGGCTGCTGCAGGATGCTGAAACCTCAACATGCAGCTCTGGGCTTCCACTTTGGGCTCTTGCTAGATTATCAAAACGGCATCACTCGCTGGGATTGAACCGAACAAATCGAACAAGCTTTCTTCGCAAGGACTGGCAGCGCACGACTAGCCGTGAGCGCACAGCAGGTTGCCACGCGGCTCACCAGGTTGGGGTGAAACCGGGTTCGGCGAGCCCAGGTGCCGTCCGTATTGGACGCGCCGCAGAAAAGTGCCAAAGGCGAGCCCTTGCCGAATGTTGAAGGAGCTCAGAGTCTATCAGAACCTGCAAGCTATCCGAAGGCATAATGATTCGACAGCGGCAAGGGCACCGGGGCACGCTGTGGACCCCAAGCCGATTCAAAGGACTTGAGTGCACAGCCGCGGGAACACTAACGACAGGTACTACGCAAAGAATTTTTCGAGTAAGCCGCCACTGGCCGGTGGGCTCCCAAGAAGGGTCGGCAGTGGCTCTGCCGGCTCTGGTTCAGCTTCCGCCGCAACTTCCATGGGGTTGTGCCAGGTTTCCAAAACTTGCTGCATTGATGGCCTTTGCGCTGCCCGCTGCAGCAAAGGCATCACGCGAGCTCGCATGCAAGCTCGCAGTTGCTCTGAGGGCCTAGTTTTCTTCAGCAAGTCCAGGAATGTGTGGCCAACCATGTGCACATCTTCTGCGAGAGCGCGGCTGGGTTGGCCTTTCTTTTTTTCCGGGCTTGAGCCAGCTAAGTTGCCCCCAAAACGATCTAGAAACTCCTCGGCCTTCTTCAGCTCCTTTGCTGAGTCGAAGTCTATGAGCTTGATGTTGCTGCAGGGCAAGGCGCTTGCGAAGCAGATGTTGGCCGCTCTAATATCCAGGTGTGCTACCAGCACACTGTGGATATAGGCCACGGCGGTGCAGGTCTGCCTAAAGGCCTTGGCCAGGCGTGGGCCGCTCAGCTCCCTTGCCTTACGAGCCTTTTCAAGACTCTCCCCGAGTTGCTGCATTGTATAGCCGCTAGTTGCGCCATTCTCAACCACGACGGATAGGACTTCCACGACGTTCGGGTGATCAAGCCTTCTCAACAGCATGGCCTCTGCAAATAGCGCCTTTCTGTCTTCCTCGGGAACTGACAGCATGTTTGGATTGTATTTATACTTCTTGAAGGCAATCGGTCTGCCGTCATGAATTCCCGAGAAGACCGTGGCGAGTCCGCCACTGCCCAGTTCCTTCGTCAGTTCCAGGTTTCCAACATCGACGACGGGAGGCATCGCCGTGTGCCTCTGGCGAAGTCTGCTTTCCGGTCCAAAGGTGTAGGCACACGCGCGAGGTAGCCGCACGCTGGCGTCTGGGCTGTAGCTCCCTGGTCCGGGAGTAGAAAACTCCCGGCCGGGGAAGCGTGCGGCTTTGGAAAAAGCCATGGCGGTTCAGGCCACCCGTCGGTATGTTGAAAGGGTCAACATAGAATGCTGAGGATGATGGCCATCGGCCGTGAGAAAGACGGATGTGAGTAAGTTTAGCAGATGGCTCATGATGCTTTTCCATTTATGAGCCACCAGCGGCCGCAAAAGAGAGTCGGCTGCCAGCTGTGTGTTCAGTTTGCTTGCTACTGAGAGTTGCAGGCTTCATGGCAACTGCCACATCCTGATGCTGAAATATGCCCGAGATTGCCCAAGATGCGCACCGATGGTGCAGTGCATGTTCTCCAGAGGGGACTGGTCCTTCATCGGCTGTACTTGTCACTCGTCACAAAGGAACGTTGGCAGGCAGTAGGGAAATTTTGAGCCTCGGGCATTAAACAAAATGGCCACAGGATCGTGGCGAGCAATGTGATACCGATTGGTCCTGGCCAGTACAACTGGACACCACAACTCCCCTCACGCAAGCTCGACCTGCTCCTCTTTCAGACAGTCTTTGACAAAAAACTACGTCGCGCCTCCCGAAGTGACCGACATCATGAATCACAGCCTCAGCCGTCCGCCGGATGATTCCCTGTGGCTTCGGAAGTCTATTCCTGAATCATCGCAAGGCCCCGACCGCAACGAAACCTGCCAACCGGGGGATCGGAGACAGCGGCAGGCGACTGACGCGCCGGTCCTGAGGCGGCACCATCATCATCCATCATAGACTCAATAGACCCAAAGTTGCTTTATCCTCACTGTAGCCGTAACAGCGTGGCTTTCCCTGCAGGAAATTCGGAGTCTCAGGCAGGTCCTCGAACATGAAGTACATGCAGGAGCTCAGCACATCCACTGCATGGATGTAGTTGTGGTACGGGACGTCACGGTACTGTCTCTGCACGTCTTGCAGGAAGCCCCTGCAACAGACCACGATTTCAACTTCCCATGACCATGGGCTGCTTCGGCTCTTGCCTCAGGACCAGCTGATAGTTGGAGACACCGGCCTTTCGGGGCAAACACAGTCCAGTGACAGTCCAGAATACCCAGAATCCGGAAAAGTCTTGCCTCCGAGAGGAACTCGGCACCCGCAGTGAAGCCAGCGTGTAGCCTGACAGATTGTAGAACACCCGCCCAAACGCGAATTGCATGTTAAGTCTGTGCTTAGTTGTAGTCTTCTCTGAGGGCTGCGGCAGCGCATTGCCGTGCTGGCGTTCCTGGCATGCTTCCGGCAGAAACATGACAACCTACACAACACCAACAGCGGACGAGTAAGAAGCTGCACAAGCTGTGCCACAAGCCGGGCCCCCCACGAAAGCGTAGGCGTCAAACTTCCAGCGACCCAGGAAAGCAGTCTGGAAGGACGAGTGCACACTCCGCAGTGCAGAACCATGCGCGCTTCTGCTGTGGGCCCCCGGGCGTCTTTCTTGTTCATCGGCTCTGGCCTTGCTTTCCGGGCCGGGGGCCCCCGGGGGTCCGGAAGGATGCAACCGGATCCGGCACCGGCACACGGCAGTGGCCCCGGCATCTCGTTGTCTTCCGCGTCGTTGTCGTTGAAACGACCTGCTCACGCGTGTGCCCACTGTACAAAGCGCTGACACGCTCAAAGATCGGCATCTGCGGCAAGGGAGGCAGGGAAAATCCCAAGGTCTGCCAGCTAGTAACTGCTAATATCTCCGGATATCTTGGGGCCATTGAAGGGCATGACATCAACTCGACCCTGATGGTTGGGCCTCGATGGAGCTGAGCCAAGAAGCTGAGCTGATCGTCGATGCGCATCGAACCCTGCAGTTCAGGGGAACATGCAGCGCTTCGGCCGTCACCCGGATGGCTTAGGCAAGGTAAGGATCCAAGGTCTTACGGAGGCCCACCCCGCACAGACCCCGCTCTTTGGGGCTCCCTGCACTCGAGCGGTTGGAGCGGGCGGAGCGCGAGCTCTGCCCAGGCCCCGAGCGACTCCGGTGCGGGTGCGGGCCCAGGCGGTTGCTGGACCTCCGGAAGAGCGGAGAAGCTCTTGAAAATGGGACTTAGGGGCCTGAGGAGCACATGGGGCCATGGGGCGCTTCAGAACGGACAACTGGCTGAGGCCCGGTCTTTACTGGCTTCTTGAGCCCATCCTCGGCGAGGATTGGAGATGCTTGGGTGCTCATCCCTCGAAGAGCTGCAAATTACCTTCCCCTTCAAAGTGCGATGGCCGAGGCGCCGAAACATTGCCCGGCAAGTCGTCGACGATAAGCGACTGCACAGGCAGCAAGATACACCAACGTGCAGCAAGAATCAGAGTTCGAAGGACACGCAGCTGCCTCTGATTGATCCATGTGCTCCGACCCAGTCGATAGCCCTCGGCGACGGGGGAAACGAAAGCTCCAGAAGCCTGCTGGGAACCCTGAAACAGAAACCCCCAACTCTCCGCCTCCCCCCCCCCGCTGGAGCGTGGAGCACCGCACACCGAGGCCTCGACGCGGCTTGATGTGCTCCACCGGCCTCGGGCTCCACCCTTTCCTCTGCTCCAGTTCAAGGATTTGCTAGGAAGCCGGCTCGTTGTCGACCATGGACCTCACCTGCCTGCCAGAATCAGAATACAGGCTACGCCTCCACTCTACTCGAGGTTTGCGTGATGGCTTGCAGTCTTTCTTGCCTCAGCTGCTCGCGCAAAGAGCTATCGCCTCGGCCCCGCAGTCACGCTGCAGAATCCCGACAAGCACCCGAAATGTCACCACGCAGCTGCTGCAGTTCTGCTACGCAGGGTAGTTTTTGGCTGGTCCCGTAAAGTTTGAAAGCACCTTGCTGTAAAGACCGTAGTTGCGCTAACCACGGAGATGACAGCGACTTTCCTGTTCAGCACGATTTCTGAACACATTGGCTTCCTTTCCCTGTGCTGAGCAGGCTGGGCAACTCTCAGCCATGGGCTCAGCGATGGCATCACGGGGCAAATCCCGGGATTCGGCGGATCCAGCCTAGGCTTCAAAAGCAACGACCTGGACTGCTCGATCTATCTGCTGTCCCTTCGGCGGAGCTGCAATCGACCTGGGCTTCCGAGCTCGAATCTCGGTGCCATGACTTCCGTCTTAAAAAGTTTTCCCGATGTCAGCGTCCCCTGGCGGCTCAAGACGGGCTCCCTATACTCTCGAAGCGCCTGCTCTATCTGCCAGCCTTGATCTTGTGCAAGGCCACCCCGAATTCGGAGACCACCTCCGCAGTCAGAGCTCTGAGGGGCTGAGAAAGCTTCTCACAAAGCAGCCGGCCTCCTTGGACATCTTGGGCCGCTTGCTTATGGCATCCAACACGGCCTCCACCTGAAGCGTGCGGAACTTGGTGACTTCTGGACCGAACACCAGTGTGCAGCCGCCTGATGGATGGTCTCTTCGTAGTGGTTCAGCACCCCGACCATTGGACCTGGCCATCTGAGATGGCTTGGACATTCCGAAAACAGGCGACAGCTGCTCACCGCGATACCGTGGAAGAAGCACTCTTCCTCGCTAAGCAGGTCGGCTGAGCCCGTGCCTGTTCTGCTGGGCTCCCCATCCTGGCAACATCGATTCGCAGCACGAGGCAATGCGGCCCACTGCCACAACTAGCGTGTCGTCACAGATGACAATTACCACTCGGCAAAGGATTACGGGCTGGTCGCGCCTGACCGCGGTGCTTCCAGTTCACTTGCTGGAGCCGCCTCCCCAGATACTTCAAGTTCCCTAGTGAGCCATAACTGAAGGCTTGGGAGGAGTTCTGAATCCCTCCGAGCCTCAGCGCCGCCAAGGTGCTGGAATCCTCGTCCAGCTGGAAGCCTCGCAGCGTGTTGACTCAAACGTCGGCCTGTTGCTGAGCCGAATCCGCGAGTCGCCCACGCACGCCCCAGGTCAGCTGCGCCTGCGGATGAATGAAGCACAACAATGGAAGAGCCATGGCCGAACGTCGGGCTGGATCTCTGCTTCAGAACGTGCCAACTACATTTTGTGCGCAAAAGCTGATCTTTGGGCACTCAGTGCATCTGCAACGTGCAGCATTGCTCAGGGCGCTGGCGCTCGCACCGACGAGGAGAAAGGCAAAGATCGGGAGAAGAAGACCTCGCTGCAGAGCAGCATAGCAGGGATTGCAGATGGCACGACGTCACTTACCGCCGCTGGGATGCAGCGGCTTACTCTGAGTCCGGAACTTTCAACCACCATGGCATCCTGCATGGGCGTCTCCATGATGAGTGGGACCAGTAAGACTCCAACCTCGGCTCGGATGGCGGATGGCTCGGCTGCACTGCTCTGGTGCGAGAACTCTTTCGGTACGCGGCCAGGTGCCCCATTCCCTGCACTGCGCCCAGCCTGGCAGGGCTAGGAAGGCATCGTTTGGCAAACGGCCGACGCGGAGCTCTTCGAACTGAGGGATCGGCACCAAGGGGAGCGGAAACTTCGCCGTGGGCATCCGCCACGCCGAAACAGCCGACAGGAGTGCGAACCTCAGATAGAAGGAAGCTGCCCCAGAGTGAGGCTGCCCATCCAGTTCGGGCTCCGGGCTGGAAAACCCCCGCAAGAAGCGCATAGAAGTCAGCCTTGCCACATACAGATATCGCGCAAGTACGCAGACTCGGAGGCATGGCCGACACCCTGTCTTGACAGCACGGAATCCTTCCGCCCTTCCACCCTCCCTGGGTGAGCCATGGTGAGCCTGGCAAATTTGACTGAATTCAGCGCCGGCCGCAGTCCGGAACAGCCTGACATCGGCGCTGCGAGGATCGTTTCTTGTGCAGCTTTCTGGGAAGGGGGCCCGTCTCTCGCTAAGTTGCAGCATGGCGGCAGCTGCCCTGTCCAAGCCGGTGGAAGCACCGCTGCTGCCGACAAAACGATCCTGCCATGTCGTCAAGACTGGTGCTCCACTCCGAAGCAGGGCACCGGCAGCCATCAATGCATAAAAAGGTTGCGATCAAAAGAGCTCCAATAAGGGCTTCACGAGCTTGGTGTGCTCTCTTCAGGTGTCACGCAGTGCGAGGCCAGCAAACCCCGAGCCGCGCCGGGCCGACCCCATCGGTTCGTGGGCCTGGGCAAGCTTTTGTTGGGGTCGCAGCTTTGAAAGAGTTCCAGTACCAGCATTTGGGCCCTTTGCCCTTGCTCCTTAAGGACTAAGGAGCCACGGCCCGAACGTCCCAAAACCTATCCAGAGACCTCCCTGAGACCTTCAGACAGGGGCTCCGGGCTTTCAGGGACATCATCGGCACGGCGATTGCCCACGAGCCTGTGCTCTGCTTCAGGAAAACGAGCACTCTCCCGTGACCCGACCCCTGGAACCTGCCTTTGACCTCTACGCATCTTGTAACAATGGGGGAGATCACGCAGGGGGAACGAAAGGGTTCGGGGGGCAACTCCAACTCCTCCAGTCCTCCCCTCGGCCTGGCATCGCAAGGATGATCAGCGGGAGGAGCCGGCCAAGCGGCGGCCACCCGCTCTGCTCGCCTCGGGCTCTGGGGCTTTGCTCAGCCGATCTCGGAAGAGGCGAGTAAGGCTCCCCCAACGACCGCATGAGCACAAGGGCAGAGACGAGCGATGCTTTTGTATTCATGCAGATAATGCTCCTCGCGGTTGCGATTGAATTACGGACAGGCGCCATGTTCAGACTCTTCTTCATCCGACCTGAGTCGGGGCACCGGATGAGCCTAAACAAGCACTCAGCAGCTCAGCACTCGCCCGCAAAAGCCCGCGACGCCGCCGACGCCGCCGACCCCACCGACGCCGTCTCCTCCAGGTGCTCCTGGATCTCCGTCAGCTCCTGCTCCGTCATGTCCTGACACTGAGCGATCCGGAGCATAGAGGCCAAAGAAAACACCCTACTAAGCCGCCCTCCCCCTCCATCTGGGGGGTGATCCTTCAGGATGGGATCCAGATAGCAGGCGCCTGGGATGCACGAACAGTCGGCCGAACATCAAATAGAGGCATACCCCAAGACTCAAAACGTGTCTACGCTGAAATGAGGAGATGATCCTGCACCATGTTCGAAGGGTTTCTACTGTGTGGAGGGGAAGCTTCTCTTGGCGCGGGGGGTCTTCTTGACCCTAGATTTTGAACGCACAAAAAGCAAAGAACCCCGCCGGGCAGCTGTTGAAGCTCATGCTTTGTGCCTCGGCCGAGGCATTAGCTGTGACAGCTGCCTGAAAAGAAAGCACCTGAAGCCAGGGAGTGCAGTTTAAGGTTTTCGGGAAGCAGGGGGAGGCTGCTTTGGGCTTGGGCTCTTGTGCATCGTTGGAGCTCGGGTTTAGTCGACTCTCTTCCCCTGTAACATGGGACTCGGACTTCGAACACAGTGTTCAGCATCTCGTACCCGAAGCGCAAACGAGCGCCCGACTTCTTACCAACTTCTCCGCAAACTAAAACTCATGGACACACGCGGGGTGATTGTGCTTCAGGGTTGGGCGATGCTCAATCGCTGTAACAAGGAAAGAAGTTTTCTGCTTGACAGGCTTTTCGAAACCGCCGCGCCTGCGACTGCTTCTTGAAGGTGGTCTCGCCTCAGAGCTGAGCAACGGATGGGGGTCGGCTACATCCCCGGGAGTATGTGGCCACTCTTTGAAGGCACGGTGAACTCGAATCTCGAAGACAGGCATTCGCTGCCCTGCTGGCCATTCTCTGCGCAGCAAACGCATGAGTTAGCCCTTGAGCCCAGCCCATACTATGACCTTCATGTACAACTCACTAGGGGGTATAGTTTTCGCTGTGGAATCCCAGTGTCAGTTCTGCGCAAAGGCGGCGATGATGAAGGCCAGCGTCCACAAGGCCTTCAACATGTCCCACAGTTTGAGCTCTCAGATCTCCGGCGTCCGACTGAGCTCCTCGCCCAGAACTCGGGACACCTGTCCAAATCTGCCAAAGGTCTAGGAGGTGGGGCTTGACGGCTTAACGCGGGGGCTGGCTGGCATTCCATTCTCACGTCAGGTCGGGACTACAGGTGGCGGCCTGGCCCCGCGGTAGACCGCGGCCAGACCCGCCAGGGAAATGACACCAAAGGCCAGGCCCACAATGAGGCCCCAGAAAGTGGAGTACCTGATGTTGCAGAATGGATGGGTGGAGGAGGCGGCTCTATGTCTATCACAATGTTCAAGAATACCTTTTGCATGCCAAAACACCACAGTTCACCCATCAGGTCCAACTCCTTGGTGTAAACCTGAACAAACAGCCACTTGTACACCATGAAGGCCACGCCGAAATAGATCAAGCCTCGCTTGCTCGTCTGTCACTTGAACCATCAGCAAAACAACAAAACTGCCGTCCCACGGCGACCACGTTGCAGCGGTATGCCACCCAGTCAACCATCACGTTGCAGACGAGGTGCAAGCAGGCATCATGAGCGGAGCAACCACGCAGTACATCAGGGCCAGAACGAAGACTATTGTGATGTTGGTCACCTCAATTCAGAGCAGGCACCAGCATGCCTGGTAAAAAGATACACCTCGAGAGGCTGAGCCATCCCAGCGTCGAAGGCCGAAGCTGAAAGAGCTGCCGGAAAGTCCAAGGGGTCAGGCACGTCGTCAGAAAGACAGCTCGAAGCTCGCGAAGGCTCGGTCAGGCTAAGCTGGGCAAGGGGACCCTACAAACCCAACTCACCGTTATACCACCAAAAGGCATCCAGTGACAGGCTGGGCTCTCCACCCGCTCTCCCCTCAAGAAGGCTAAGCTGGTCGCTTCGGAGGCGAAGTAGCAAGACACCGGCGCCGGCGCCTCGGCCTCCCCCGCTCTCTCCTCCTGGCACAATTTGCTTGAGACGTAGTCATACAGGCAGTCCGAGGTGGATGACCATTGGAGACCCGTCTGCGAAGTAGCTGCTTCCCAACGTCATCCCAAGCCCCGAACTCGGCACACATGTCAGGTCCTCTCCCTCGGAATCAGAATCCACCTGTGGCGAAAGCGAACTCAAGTCATGCTTGTTCTCCATGACCCGTTTCTCCATGAAGCGACTCTCACAGAAAAACTCTATTGCAGCCGAGTGAACAAATTCAGGGCTCCACCCGTACAATCAGATTTCGCCAGTTGTGTTGTGTATCACATTGTGAACATGTCTTGCCGTTTTGGGGGGTCCAAGTAGTGCTGAGTTTTGCCAGGCCACTGCAGTCGTGTAGTCTGGCTAGGAGCAGAGCTTCAATGGCAAAACTAATTGATGCTAGCCGCCCTCTGCCAACTCTCAAACCTGGACCAGGGCTCCTTTCAGGGATCCTTTAAGGGGTCCTTCAAGGCGAGGAGATGCCATAACACACAGAGTCGCATGGCCTGCGCCTCCCCATCCGTGTCGCTGCCGGAGCACCCGGCTTTGGAGCTTTGCGGTTTCTCGGCAAAGGAGCGCTTTCAACCAGACTCCAGTTTGCTTTACAACGCTTGCTTAGTTTACATACCGACCTACCCTCCCGTCAAAGCCCGGGTCTGCCCGGCGTTTGACGGATGAGGGATAAATCGACTGCAGCCCCAAAACAACTTGCTGCTTCCCGTCTGTGCCCTGCACCGCTAACGTGAGGACAGGTCGCAAAGCAGTGTGCACTCCGAGGCGCAAAGAGCGCCAGCAACACGTCCACGCGAACTAAGAGAAGAGGCAGGCTGATTCCGATCCTTCCCACAAAGAACCACAGAAGCACCATTGGTCCATGTCTCACGAGATCATCACGCAGCTCCCCGGCCTCGCTATGACAAACCTTGGATGCTACCCCCAAGGCACAGAGCCGCGGCTCTGCTTCAGGTGACAACTTTCAGATCAACGACACTCCGACCCTAGGGGGGCCATAATGCAACTGGGCCACGTGGTGAAGTATACCTGAGAAGCGGCGAGAGGGTTCCCGCACACCCAGATGCCCTTGCAAGCTTAACCCTGCAGCTGTTCGCAGCCACGCGACGGAAACTTGGGGGATGGAGTTTCCCAAGATGCTGGCGATACCTCACCGTTTTGAAGCCCATGAACTTCACTCGTCAAGGCTTGGCGCGGCTCGCGAAGGTGGGAGCAGCCAACTGCTTTCAAAGCTACACGCTGGATGTTCCAATATCTGCTGCACTGAGGACGACAGCGAGCTGCTGAATACCTAAGCCGGAGGCAGCAGAGAACTCCATCAGACAAGACCTAGGATCTAGAATGTAAGACTGCTTTGCCGACGAATGTGCACGTCCAGACCATGTCTTGCGGCCCAGGTGCTGTCAACCAAAGCGAGAAAAATTGAAACCAGAAATTCCTTGCGGCAAACCGTGGAACAACAAACCGAGGCGGGTGTGACAAACAACGTCTTTTCATCTCTTCTCCCGTGCAAGCACATGTCAACGGCAAGGCGAAGTTTCAACATAATATGTCTCGTGCATAAGCCTCGTGGCAAAGATACGACGACATGGGTATCGCGCTTTTGTGTCATGCTTCGCCCCATTTTGTTCACCCTGCGGCAAGCATCCGCGCGGACTGCGCATGGAGACAAGTCTTCTTGGCCAGCCAGCCCAATCCATTTCAGTGGAGGCAGGGGGAAAAGGGAAGGGGATAGTGGCAAAACTAAGAAAATGCCAGATCACTTTCCCTCAACGCGGCGGACAAACACAGTGTTTTGGCGGCAAATGCGAAAGCAGTAGTTGGGAGGGTGGGCCACGGAACCCACCCTCCTTCCTGCACTTACCGGAACCGGTCACCTGGGGGCCACCCAACGATTGCGCCCACGCATCGGGCGACTATTGGCAGCCGCATGGGCTGTTGCAATATAATGGCGCACCTGTCTCGAAGACGAAAGTCGAGCCTGGCCCAAACTCCTTCATGAAACCTGACACAAAGTTCCTGCACCCCGGATGAACTGACTCACAATTCAAGTGCGGCAAATCTGCACCTCATGCGTTCATGCAAAGTGACAGTTCTGCACGACGAGCACGCGGCGGACAGACACACAGTTAGGCAGCAAGTTCGAAAGCTGTGGTTGGGAGAGTGGGCCACTGGACCCACCGCTCTGCATTTACCTCATCCAGAGTGCAGCCGCTGCCGTGTGTCTGGCCACCAACTGCGTCCGCCAAACGAAGCGCGGCCCAGGCACCTGAATCTTTCGAGGGCCTGCAATAGGAAAGCAAGCCACGGCAAACAAGACACAACACAAGACGGAGGGGCGAGTTAAGAAGGCCCTGCGAAGTACGTGGCTGACAGCCGTCAGCACGTACCGGCAAGGAAGCAAACTGACGTTCGTCAGCATGTAGCCCCACAAGACAGACACACACGTGTCTGAATCACCGCTTATGCACACATGCCCCACAACATATCAGATCATCTTCACACAAGGCACTTGGGCCTGGGCACCAAGTCATCTAGTAACTGTCGCCATGTCACCCGATGACGGAGGGTCTGCCGAAATCTGCACCAGAAATGCGGTAGCACCCCGGCCACGAGACAGGGCATCAGCCCAAAAGTTCCGCTCTCCAAGCACTCGCGAGATGTGAAGTGAAACGCCGACAATGGTTGGGTCATGGAAGCGCCCTTCGTAGGATCATTCGGCCCAAACAAGCAGCCAGGGCTTCCAATGCACAAAACACGGATGCCAAATCCTCGGCCCGAAACCATTCTGGGAGGTCGTCGTGGCAAGTCAGGTAGGAAAAAAAATGAAAGTTGAAACCTGGACAGACAGTTCCTGCGCACCGGATGAACTGACTCACCACTCAAATACTGCAAATCTGCACTCCACGCGGTCATGCAAAGTGATAATTCTGCACGACGAGCGTGAGAGTCCTCCCGCTGGACTTTCTGTGTATCAGGGCCGAGGCGGCGGCCATGCCAAGTCGAACACACACCACCAATCCAACCGTACATCCAACATGCAGCACGGCAGTCCTCCCTGATACCGACAGCGAGACCTCGATCATCGATTTCCGCCCCTTAGCAAGGAAGTGATCGGCATGGGGCAGCTACGATGGAGCTGTTTAGGGCTTTTGGGGGCTTGTTAGGGCTTCTCTAGGGAATTGGAAACAAACCTTGAAAAGCTGAAGCCTGAGCCTCAAGAATCCTACCTGCCAGGACTTTTTTGAAAAAGAAGCCTGCCACTGGCTTGAATGATAGACCCTAATAACCTGCTTTTGGGCTTAATGGGTCTGAATAGGGCTTAATCAGTCGTTTGGGCGATCATTTCTCCCGCGTGCGGCTGCAACTTTTCTTCCAAACCCCGCTTTTGCAAGCCAATGACATCTACTAGTTCGGGCGGGGGGAGGCGGGTGGGGCAGGGAGGTGCATCTTGCGCGGGGGTGCACCGGCAACCCCTGGTACCGCGGACTTAGACTCCGAGTGGCTTCGATGTACACAGAGATGAATTCCAGAGCCTCGTCTTCTCGGCGAGATCACAGCGATGACTTCGCAGTGCTTCAGTGGGGGAGAATGGTAAGTGCTATGAAGTCGGAGCGCGCATGGCAAGATCAAGAGCACCACCATAAGAGCGAGGACGGGCAGGTAATTGACCTTGTCTCTGCAATTCAAGGACCCCAATACACGTCGCAAGAGGGGTACTGCATGATACACTCTGCTTGGGCACGCACAAGCAGGTTATATCCCTTGGCCAGCAAGCAGCTGCACATGGGCGCTTAGCACAAGAACTCTCCCGTGTCTGAGTGCGCCCGGAAGCTCAGCCCCTCGCCAGCGAAAAATGATCTTGAAGATAACGGAACCACTCTGGGGGAAGCTTCATTTCCAGGGTCTGGACAGAAGAGATGACCTTCACTTCACTCTCCCAAAAGACTTGCGGTTGGTCATAACGCACAACAACCCTTCTGTCTCGCTTTCGAGGCGCGTTGATGAAGCCGATCAGCGGGGACCAGAACAGCAGCCCGAAACCGCAAAGGAGACGCCCCATCAACTTCCGCCTCCTCGGATGGCACCACTGGCTTGGAGGGGGCACGTCGCATTCGAGCCACGTGCCCTCCCCTCCTCAAGCGGCTTTGTGGTCAAAGCTTCCCAAAACCTGTGGGCAAAGCTCATTGCTTCTGAGCCTCTCCACGGTGTCAAAGGGTATCTGAACATTCTCCCAGATAAGCGCATCAGCCTGGCGTGAGTCTACAGTCAACGGTAATTCACAGCGAAACCTGTTAGGAGAGGATTCCAATGCCAATGCCGCAGAAGGCTCTGCACAGGAATTCAGAAAAGGTAGACTACGTACGCACATGTACGACATCCCCACAAAAAAGGTGGGAGACAGCACCGGGGATGGGAACGTCAGTAAGAGTGGCTCTCGGGCAGGGCCCTCATTGTCGGATGCTTTGGGGTTGCACTCTCCGCAGATACTCTGCAGAGTATGTCGCATATCTTGCGGATGAAAAGGACGGGCGAGTGCCGTGACAGTTCGAGTGAGAAGAAAAGCTGCCGTCAGATCTAAGAACATCGAGATCGGCAAGCATCAGTTCCCACTACCTCTCTGCATATTTTTCTACGATTTACTGATGCTTGGGTTGATATCAGCTTATGTGTACAACAAGCCTACTAATTTAATATACCCAAAAAAGAGTACCCCTTCAAAACGCAGAGAAGAGAAGGACAGAGGCGTGGGCTCGGCCTCCGGAGCTGGCTCCACGAGGATGCCCTGCAGCTCGGGGTGGTCGAAAAGAGTCACCTGCCAGGGGCTGCGGCGCTGCACTTCCGGGAGTCTCCTATGGCGATGGCGGGGGGGGGGGCCTAAACATCTGTTTCGGTAGCAGTCGCAGCATACCTTATGGAGCTCTTTGAAGACCGGCAGCCGCAGAGGTGTGGAGTTTATAGGGGTTGAGGGTGTCCGGGTCGCGAAACAAAGGGCGCTTCGACTTTTCCCGTCAGGCGCCTGCTCAGCAAGCACTCGATCCTGAGTCGTGGCAGACAGAGGTTTCGAGGGCAACAGCGAGCCAACGGAGACTCGTGGCCCAGCTTGCAGCCTCGTCGCGCTGAGGCTGCTCAGCGTGACAAAGCCCGTGCTGGTAGGGGCGTTGCTCTGCTCGCTGGTGAGGTGCGAGGACCTCCGCAGTTCCGGTCTCCCCCAGGCCTGGAGCTCAAGGCGCGAGACGCACAGGCAACTGCAGTATCCTTCCTGCTAAAACAGCCTCGCCTTGGACTTGCTGGGTCGGCTTTCGAAGGGCAAGGGCACCTGGATTGCAGAGAGAAAGTGGAAAGAAAGCCCGAGGCTGCGAAAAATTGCGGAACAGCGGCCAGATTGAGAGCCTCCTCCACCTCCAAGGCAAGTTTGAACAGAACATCCCCAAACAAGACCACCGAGGCCTCCCCGGGTCCCTGTGGTCCCTGCCTGTCCATCGAGAGCAAAGCCCTGCAAGGCGTTCTCGGTCTCCCTGGCAATTTTTTTGTTAACGTTTCGCCCATCCTTCGCATCAACTTACCTTTGGTTAGTAGGGAATGGAAGAATCCAAGTCCGCCTGTAGGTTCGGGCGAGCCGGCGCTCGAGCTGCACGGTCCGCTCCAACTGCCGATGGACGCAGCCCTCGCACGGAAAAAATGGCTCGTTCGACAAGCGCGCAGTCAAACTCGATAGAGATGGGTGGTACCTAAATATTACAATAAGGACCCGAAAAGGGACCCTAATCTTGACAATCACCCAGATTCAGATGCCATGGGAAGAAACAGCAAAGCACGCGTCCTGGCAGCAAGAGCACACCATCAGGTTGTCACCTTGGCAACTTGCAGCGTTTGTGGAACCGCTCAACAACTCCGACGAGACAAAGGCTTAGCAAACCTGTCCTGAGTATAGGGCTAGTTTTCTTCAGCGCCCGCAGGTGGTAATACAGCAAGGTGTCTCGCTGAGACACCGCTGAGTGGACCCTGCTGCACGGCGGGATGCTTCGTTTGTCGGTGGGAGCACAGCTAAGGGCAAGGAGCGGTGCAGGTTCAGAGGATAGTATGTCATGTATGTCAAAAGCCAGCGCGAGCCTGTCGGGAAAGATGCTGGAGAACAAGTCTTGGATGGCCTTCGAATCCTGGCAACGAGGACACAGCCGAAAATGCCAAACCCCGCTTTGCAGTGACGAGCGATTGGCAATCAGCTGGCCTGCTGCTTTTTCGGCAAACGCTGTACTAGCAGCGAGTATTGAGCCTGTCGCAGCACATTGAAGCCGGGAGTTGACCGGTGATTTCGGACTCTCGTGATGTGGACGCGGGTCGATCAGCTGAAGGCAACCAGGGGAATCGATCGCAAATCATTAGCGCTCATCGGGTTCGGGTCTGTGCCATCAGAGATTTACTTGGGGATGTCTGCTCACTTCATTTGCTATTTGGTCTTTGTGATCCTGACCCTTTCTGGCAGGAACTCCTCCGAAACGCGCTTCTTCAAGCCCCAGCCACACTGCAGAAGCTGAAGAAGGAACGCCCTAGATCCCAAATCCCCAAAATAACGGGGGCCCTGAGGCCTGAGCCGAGGTCAAACCCTCCACTCCTTTGGCTCTTCGCAAGAAGTGCTCTTGACGAAGCTTCAGAAAATGTCTCCATTCAGCTCCTGGGATGATGAAAGAAGGGGCTTTTTCCGACGCGCAAGCCGACGTGCTGGGCTGCCCAGTTTCGAACGAGCCAAATGAAGAAGAACACCAGAAAGTACGCTCCGGCAACCACGAGCCCAAACACGTATTGCTCATCGGAAGCGGACCTCAGTTCAAGCGTCGGCGAAATCGTGGACGATATAGAGAAACTCCTGCTTCCCTCCGAGTCGCAGATTGCTGATCGTCAGAGCAAAGATGCCACTTTGTCCACCTCCTGCTGTCGCATAAATGGGCGTCAGGACCTGAGAGAACCCTTGGATCTCTCTGCTCGGTTTGACGTCTATGCACCGCTTGGACTGGGGACACGGCGAAGCTGATCAGCGTGCCAAACGCAGAGAACTTCAGCCCCAACAAACAGAGGCGGATAACCTTCTAGGCAACGCCCACGAGCATGTAGAAAAATTCTGGACACCATTCGCCACGTATGTTGAGCCTCTGAGCCTCCGGCCATCTGCCCATCGATGGGGATCACATCCATGTCGTCCAAAGCTACCCGGTAGGCATCACCTCGCAGTTTCACTTGGTTTCGACCTGCTCATGCAACCCTGTCCAGATGCTATAGTCGAGGCACGAATCCATTCCCAAGGCATTCCTGCTTGCGCACAGAAGGGTATAGGGTCATCGCAGCCTCAACGCCGCTCCCTCTGCAAACTCAGTACGACGGTCCTAGGCGCCCTTTCTTCTTTGGAACGAGCACCTCCCGTGAACAAAGGAGTTGAGAAGACTCGCTTTCGATATCTTCCGACCCACAGACCAGATTTATAACCTGAGCCTGAACAGTCGGAGATGACTCCTTCCACTCCGACCTCCGTGTCTCTCTCAACTAGCGCGTTCTATTCAGGCGGACACGATCTATCTTGCTGCTGTGAGCTGCTAAATACACTTAACAGATGCGTCTGTCTTCGGGACGCAACAAGTCCTCCAGAGCCACAGTGAGTCACGGGTTGCAAAGGGGAACGTCGTTAAGAAGTTTAGGCGCTATCCGAGTCTGTTAATGAGAGTGATTGCAAGACTCTCGCTCATGTTGGGGAACTTTAGTCGCCTCTAATCTAGTATGCATCTGAGAAGTGGGATAAAAACCGAGAGCGTTCCTGCCCTGAGAACTGACCCCTTCCAAGGCTCACGGAGCCCTTCGAGTGGGCAAGGGCACCTTGTGAAGCCGCCGGCTCCTGGAGACTAGATACATGACAAGTAGCGCCGCTGCCAGCGTGCTCAAGTTCAGCCCCTTGGCTTCCAGTTGCTGCATCGGGAAACAGACCTTTCGTCCGCCCTCTTCTCGTCCGCCCTCACTCAACTCAGGCCCCTGCTGCGGCGAGCAGCAGAGTCGTGGCCTGACATGGCATCGCGAGACGCCAAGTGCCTTGAACCCTGGCCGCTCATCCAGCGCACCCGCTCACCGCTCCCCATCCACTCCCCAGCCAGCCGCCTTACCATTCTGTCTGCCAGTGTCTTTCACTGCCAGCGCCTGGCAGCTGACCACCACCTGGCTGGAGAGGCCAGTTCACGTACCCCCCCCACGCGAGCGCCAACATCCTGAGACCCGGTCCACTTCGGTCCCGTTGCCGCTCGGGGTGGTGGTGGTGGTGTTGGCCAGGGTGGTGGCCAGGGTGGTGGAGAGGAGCAGATCAATACCTCTGCGCTGGCTTTTGCAAGTCAAGAAGATGCGGTGCGAGGGGCCCGGGCGAAGTACAAAGCAAAGGTGTGTCGTGGATTTGCTTGCACTCTGTCGGCGATGACAAGTCAATGACAAGATGGGGACAAGCAAATCGCTCCGGAATGGCCAGCCTACCCACTCCCTTCGCAGTTTCAATCCCGAGCCCAGGCACTGCTCATCGCGCTATCGAATCGCCTGGGAATTGCAGCGTCGAGTTTGGAATCTATTCGCCTCGACCGGTCTAGGAATTACCGGACAAGGTTCGTCGAGAAATGCCAGCTACCAACCACAACTTTCCAAATCAGAGCTTGGACTTTGCGAGGGTCTGCTGTCAGCATTTTGCATGATTTGCGACCGTCAGGAGGGTCCGGGATCCGAAGCTCCAAAAACGTCCAGAGTCCAGCCCTGCCGATGGAATCCTTCAAAAACTTCGCATCTTGTGTGCCAACCCTCCTGTCTAGCTTTACTCCGTGAACATACCTGTACTATTTCCAACAACCTCGTTGCAAAACAAGCTTTGTCCTACCCGGCTCGTCCCTGAACCATCGCCTGAGAAATCTCAGCAGTGGCCAGCGCGGCCACCCGTCCGATGCATGCGAACGACTGGAGAGTTGCCGTAGATGCTGAGATGCTGGGTGCGTGCGGCGAGGAGGTGTTGGATCTTACAAAAAGTCTTTCTCTTGGGCGGTTTGCAACTCAGGGACTTCTTCCACTGATTTCCTCAACATGTGCTGTCAGCCAAGACGGCTTTGCGGCAGAGATCCTTCAGCCAGGGGAACGGGCAGTGGAGAAGCCACGGGTCAAGCTTGGGATCTCGGCGCTGCAATGATCGCACCACGCAGGCAACCTCAGCATGGCTGCGTCATTCCAACACACTGCTACTCTTGCTTACCCGGCGCCGCCCGCTGTCAACTGCGACCCTTCACTCAGGGCTAAGCCATCGGTCACCCTGACTGTCTATACCTTCTTGCCTGCTTTCTATCAGATTGATACCGTCCGATGCGTGCCTGCATGCGCTCTGTAAGGAATGCACTGCTCGCCCATTTGCGCATATGTATCTGGATGCCTATGCGCGCATGTCGCATACAGATATCATTTGATTACAAGATCTCCCAGGAGCCAAAGGCTTGAATCCTGAATATTGAATAATATAGTGTTCCAAAAGGCATTCCGAATGTTTTCCAGAAAAGCGTGGGAAATAGTGTTCCAGATTTCGAAAGTGTTCCGAAAAGCATTCCGAGAGAGCACCCTTGAATCTGAAAGCTTCCGGCCGGAAACACATCTTGGAACACTTTTTGGAATACTTTTTCAGCAGCAGGTCATTGGCGGAACTCTTTTTGGACAACACCTTTTGAAATGCTTTTTGGAATGCCTTTTCGGGGGCCCGTCCTCTTCCAGATCCAGGTCACAAGCATTCCAAAAAGCGGTCCAAACAAGTGTTCCGTAAAGCGCTCCTTTGGAATGCTTTTTGGAACACTTTTTGGTCAGAGGGTCCCCGTGGAACACATTTTGGAATACTTTTCAGCTCTGCGTCAAAATCAGAATGCTTTCACCACGTTTTTCAGGAATGCTTCTGGAATGCTTCTTGGAACACTTTAAAAACCGATCTACCCCTCCCTTTCTTTAGCCCTCGGGATCTTGTAATCATTTGATATCATGCACTTTCGTGCGCCAGGAGTGGTGCATACACAGATGCTTGAGCGCATCGATACCGTGCTGTGGGTATTTCATGGTATATCGCGGGTACACGTACACCCAAACGGACCTTGGGTGGGTGGATTGATGCTGCTTGGTCAATGCGAGCATGGCTGACAATTGCCGTACTGTTGCACAACGGGGAGTAACACGACTGTCAAGAACACTACGACAGAGGTGGTGGATGTGACAGAAATAAGAAGCTCCACTTCAGTGCCGAACTACGACCGGTGCATAAACATTTCACCAAAATAAGCGTGAGGCAACGGCTCCCGAATGTCTTCAACATGATAAACAGCAGATCTTGTGGTAGGGCGGTTATAACCTGAGATGTACAAGCCAATAGCAGTCCCACCATCATGCCCTTTAACGGATGTTTCTGAGCCACTTGGTCACTTGATATCAGCCTGAACGGTTGCCAGGACTTCTGCGAGTGAGGAAGTGTAGGCTTCTGAAGGAACATCATGTTCGCCATCGTCCACAAGACAGGTCTTTGTCTGGCTTCAATGCTGCAAACCGTACAGGAGTAGCCTCATGTAAGTGCTGGAAATGAGGTGGTCAAGTAGTTGACTAACTCATGGACGTGCCGGCATGGGTTCGCGTGCACGCGCCAGCAGAGCGGACCAACTCAAATCAATGCGGTCACCTCGCTACAAACATGGCTAAATGAAGCATACCCAGGAGGTGTAAACCGACGTGCAGGACAGACCGCAGTCAGAAAGCTAACAAGGCGGCTGAATACTTAATCCTGGGATTGAGCAGCAGGCAGGTATATGATCCCTATTGTTCGTCATTGTTGTAAGTACGAAACTACGCAGCGAAAACACTACCGGCCGCAGAATTGAAATGCAAACCCTAACTGCAACACAAGTCAGACCCTTATGCCCATGTGTCCCGTGTGTGTGTGTGTATGTATACATACATGTGTATATATTATATCCATATACTATATACCAAATCAAACACTGACAGTTCCGAGGCGGCAATGTGAAGCACCAACGCTGTTACCACGGATGCAAGAACATGTCAGAGTGTTCTAGCACCGAACACGCTTGAAGTGCAGATTCGACAGAGGCAACCCTTGAAGCACGGCTGAGCCAAGGGCAGCAACAAACAGCATCCACACTACGTAAAGCCCAAGGACCTCGGCAACAATCACTCCTCCTAAGTGCTTCATGCAGCTCAATGTCACAAGAGGGCTTCAGTTCGTGAGATGACTCACTCAAACCCCCCAAAGCTAGCTCTGATACGGTCTGCTACGGTACAGGACTTCAGACGAAGTGCGCAGGACGACTACCAAACTCACTAGCCTGAGCTGCGGCAAGTCGAGAGGAGTTGGCTGCACCAGTCATAACGGCAATAACAAGCATGACAATCGCAAGGGAGGCCACACGGCAGATGCCTAAACGGTTCGGAATGGAAAGGGCAGTTGCAGCTCGAAGCGGTAAGCTGCAAGCAAGCTGAGCCTGGGACGGCAACTATCCTCACCTTCTGACGCCTCGGATATCTCCAGTTATCTGCGAGCAGACGATGTTCGCTTTCAGCTGGACTACTCGCAGGCTTTTCCCCGTGGACCCGCGCCATCTGACGAGCAAGGGCGATGCACTGGGCAAGTCGTCGCCTTCCAAAAAAACACTGCGCAGTGATGTCGGAGCTTCGCAACAATTCGCAACCATGCACATACTTCAGAGTCTCTGGCTCTTGCGGAGTTTTCCGTCTGGAACGACATCGAGTGAGAATTGAACCTGCGGGCATGGGAGGCCGAGTCATCATGAAGTGAGGAGGCTGCAACGGCCAGAGATGTCGCCCTGCCTCCCGGGCCTTAGAAATTACAGAGGCGCAGAGCTTGTCCACATTCGCCTTGCGCAAACCATGGATGGCTGCACCACCACCACCACCCCCACTCTCCCCGACTGTCACCGGAAGACCAGAAAGCTGGGGAGCACACGGGCTCTGTCGCATTCCTGCAAAGCTAAGACTCACCTGGAGCCTGAAACTACTGGCGGCAGTCCAAAGTGAAGTGGCGTCCTCTTCGATGGATAGGATTCGCTTGTCTTGCTTCTGGAGCCTAGGCGTTGCGATGGAAGGAGCGGATCCGACGGCAGCGAACGTTGTCACGGATTTTTGGG